ATAGCCGGACACGATGGCACCACGAACCTTGCGAGGGGCAATCTCAGACATGTACATGATGATAACGGCAGAGACAAATCCAACACCGAATCCTGCAACCAGACGACCAGCAACGAGGAGACCCAGGCTGCTGGAAGCAGTCTGAAGGATGACACCGATGATGAAAACCGCGCAGCCAGAGATAATTGTGAAACGACGACCGTACCAATCTGCCAGATCACCGGCAATGAGAGCACCGAAGAATGTACCAGCCGAGAGAATAGAGACGATGAGAGACTTGCGCGAGGAGGGAATGACAAATTTGTCAGGGGAAGTGTTTGCTTTGTCCTATAGGGAGCTATTAGCATATGAAGAGGCAGCTTGTCGAGAGAAAGACCAAGTACTTACCAGACCCTCAAAGGTCTCGATGAAGTAATCCATACTGAGAACACCGCTAATGTGACCAGAGTCGTATCCGAAGAAGATACCACCGAAGGCAGCAAAGGCGCACATCAAGTACGTCTTGAAGGTGACGGGGGCTTCGATGCGACGGGCATCGACAGTCCCCATGGTTGTGACTGCACCACCAGGCATTTTGGCGGATGTCACTTGCGACACGAAGGTTGTATTTGCAGTAGAGGTAGGAGTGTTAGATTTCAAGATGATCAGAGAAGAGCAGCAAGAGAAATATATATAGATGATTGAGTGAAGTATGAGATACAAGGAAACAAAGGAGAGGGTGAGGGGAACGAAGGCAGTTTATAACCTGGGGCCGGAGGTACATGAGAGCCACGATCCCCGGACTGAAAATAGCAGGGGGTGGGAAAAAACCGCTAATGCGATCTAGTTCCACACGGAAGCGAAGACAGAGAACGGTGATTACGGATTTTGGCCACTCTCGGCACGCGATGGACGGCCATCGCCGTGCCAGACTCGGCTGAATAGTGGTAGATGGTTGGGCTATGACTGCTCGAACCTTCTCAGTCCCGAGAAAATAGTCGAATTCGGAGGGTAGGCAAACGCCAAACCCAAGCTGGGATCCATCACTAGATCGAATTGAGTCTAATGCAGGAATCCACACAACCGCGAAATGAGAGGGACATGCCATGCGGCACAGAACCCGGGGAAAAGTTTGCACGGATCAGGCCGGTCGAAGAGCGATAGGAAGCCAGCTGATTCGCTGAAAGAGGCATGGCCGTGGTAACTTGGGGGAAAAGAAAGCCCCGCTAGAACTTCTTTTAGAATAGTAAAATAGACCTAGCCATACAGAAACTCGGGTCCAGCCCGGCCGTGAACACTGTCGAAGTGAAATGTTCCCTCGGGACGCGGAGATGCTGTCTCAATTAGGGTTGGGGTCCGGGGAAATGTCGGTGATGATTGGTGCATGTTGGCGCTTGGGACAAGGGCCAGTCTACGCCACAAGGTCCGGGCTCCTTTTTTCACCCAAATTTTCACTGCGTCGTGACCCGAAAAGACATCTTCTGAACCGAGACAACTATTCGGCACCCCGAAATAGTCCATTCGAACTTCTCATTCTTTCTATTGACTCAGCCCCGAGTCGTGTGAGCCGATCGGGTGACTTACGGCTATGTCCGGCCTCATCGGTCGCTTGTTGGGAACACTCGACGCAGGCCCTCGTGTCTTGCAGAACCCTTGGGGGAAGGATTGCATGTCCTAGCGAAACAAGTAAATGGAGTTCTCGACCAGGAGAGGATCTAGCGTAAGGCACGCCTCAGGGACTTTCATTAGACCGTGCGACTCGATCGTCTGACAGCGAACTAAACCTCGCCGAGTAATTGGTCCCTTCTCTATGTTGGCTTGCTCGGTTGAACGCAACCATAACCTGCAGTTTTACCTCGTAAGCAAAACAAATCCGCCGCCCCACGACTCTCGATGGCACCCTAAACTCAACTCTGGCCACCCATATCCCGCGCGGTCCCACCCCCAGAGCGACCTTAGATTTTTCCCACGGGGTCTGCGACCAGTAAAACAGACTAGCGCTTTCCGCGCGTGGGGAAGTTTAGCGTTGGTCTTTGTCTCTGGACCCTTGGCGCCTCCTGTGGCGCCCTATTGAAGCCGTTCTCAAATATCCCCAATTCTTCCAGACCCTCCACATTGTCCGTGGATAGTTAGCGGGGAAGGAAAAATCGTAGAACTGTCACCCTACCAAGGTTTGCCATGCCGGCCTAATATCGGGCCAGAGCCTTGGAAGGCATTCCTTGCCGGGGCCGGGCCTTGGCTCTTGGCTGGCTGTCGCTTGCATCCCCTCTTCGACCTTTGTATAACGGTTCATTAAGTTGGCACCTTGTGTTTGTGGTGGTCGAGGTTGTACCGCTTGATCACCGGTGACCGAATTAAGCAATCCAAGATTGAATCTAGCCTTGGGGTATGTTTCTGGGGTGGAAGGGTTGGCGTGCCACCACATGCAGAAGGGTAGAACTACTTCCCCACCGTTCAATTGCCGAGGAGGGGGGTGTACATTCAGGGACCACAAGGCAAAAAAAAATTCCGGATGTCTTTGGAATAGGTTCAACCTACGATGTAAAGGACCCCTCGTGTGGTGAACTGCAGACATCTCGTAACAAGTGCCTCGGGCGATCCTGATATTTTGACATATTTTGACCACTTCAAACCCAAACGCATTTAAACTACATATTAGCATAAAGAGATCAAATCGATCCCTCTTTGCTGATCTTGATCGGCGGTAGGAAAAGCACTGTTGAGTGTCTGAGTGCTTTAAGTAGGCCCCTCATGCAAAGTCTCAGCTTATTCTCGGCCTAACGCAATGGTGGTATCATTAACTGCTCTTGGCTGTTCCGTGTCATTGTTCCCGAAACCTTGTCTCAATATTCTCTTCCCCACTCACACGCACACTCACACTCACACTCACACTCCCCAAACCCAAAATCCGGGCATGATTCAAGTTAGTACTACCCGGGGCCATGATTACAATATCTAACCTACGAGGCCCTTCAAAACAGATATCCAAATCACGGATACGATTATCTCAATCTTAGAGTCTCTCCGCTACCTACCTCCAGGGCTCGTAGGCTATACAACTTTCTCGCCCGTTATTGGATTCTTCACGTTCCTCTCCGAGGTTGACTCATTTTGACCAATCAACTGCTTTGTTACCGCGTCGTCCGTCTCATGACCTACCAGGAAACCTTTTACATATTGAGTTTTGTATGATCTTCGTCTGTCGATTTCGATTTTCTCGTAAATTATTCTAATGGAAAACTTCCGAGTGAAGTTACTGCTACAAGTAGTGAATGATTCCAAATTTAGCATCGCATTTCATAATAAATGCCAGCCTGAGCCCTGGAGTGAGTATAGTACTTATACTAGTATTGCGAGCACTGCTAGTAGTAGTAAATATATATTTCACGTCAGTAGAAGGACTGACGAAGTACTAGTACTACTACTGGCAATCGATGATTTCCCAAGGGCTGTCATCGCGATCTTGGGTAACCTTGGAATCCCAACATTCCAAAAGTTATCTATTTTCCATGACATGTGGATCAGTTGGCAAAATCGAAAAGACCCGCCTGGCCCTCGAACTTGATTGATATGATTGAAATATACCTAGAATGATTTAATCTCTTTCAAGAATCGGTGTGGCGCAGATCGTCGATCACAGCCTCGCCCCGCAGAAATGTTGGTTCCACATGATTTTCCTTATGTTCTTCTTGTTTTGAAGCCACGAAGCTTTATTTTTTACTCAATTTACCATTCATTCAGTCCTGGGGGGGTTTCTGACTTTCGACTAAGGAACCTACCTGGGGATCGGGTTGACCCCGGTCCCACCCGAGGTAGATCTTGTGCATGATCAACCCCCAGATTCGTCCCGAGTTCACTTTTTATGGATAAATTCTATTTTTATAGGTCCATGACTCGCGAGATCAGGGCCTGTGGGGAAGAATTAAAGACGAGGAAATCAGAGCGCAGAGAGTTTTACGATTTTTCAATGAGTAATTTTACGAAGATTAGTCGTGAATTATCTCTGAAATTTCAAGCTCTTTGTGATCCTCAACTATCAGTGGTTGCTAGTATATTAGTCGACTTCGTTTAGTCCATGGGAAAATGATATAGACGGTCCTAAGACTAGTCCTAGTATGTAAGATCCCAGGGCTATTGCTAATAGATGAAGAAACTGTTCATAGTACCTAGGTACTAGCCCTCCAATACTAAAAAGAAGCCCTCACAATCAAGCCAGATGGTAACTTCGCCAATGAGGCCGTGAATTCAAAATGGATCCGCAGAGGCTTTGACCAATTTTGGCGATATCCATACCTATTGGACTTGGACCGCACGTCTCCAGCACTGTTTTCTCCCGAGGTCCGAGATATATTGTGCGTTGAGAATTCGGTGGGGACAGAACAATCACTTCCAACCCGCCCACGTTCTAAAGCTGGAATGACTCGATATTTAGATGATTGGACACATAATTATGATGGCGAAATTGAATATTGCATCTTCCCACTCATCATACTTGATCAAATTCTGGAATTCTGTTAACAATCTCCTAAGACGTTGTGCGGTTTGGATTGATGTGACTTTTCCAACGCGTTCCTGTTCCCGTCTTGGCGCGACAGACATTGACATTGGGCCTGCACTAGTACGAATTCCAAGAAATTGTCTCGTTTCGCGCTGTAATCCTCGATAGGAGGATCCTTGCTGTTTGATCTGCCAAGTTTCTATTATTTTATGCATCTTGGCATGCCCTGATCCATCTTCTCTGGGCAAAATTAGACGAGAAGCGACCTCGGAGAACCCCCGGAAGGCGTGGGAAGGCGTGGGATCATCCTTCGCCAAGACGCCGCGATTTCCTATTCGACGGGATATTGATGCATAGTCAGCGCTAGCACTGTTTTGTTTGTAGCCGACCCTGCGCCTTTGAACCCTTCGGCTTGATCCGATGGGGCTCAAAGATAGCAGCGAGTACAAATTTTATTGACCATCCCTTCGATGCGCTGCGCGGATAGCAAGGTTATTCCATCTTATCTTCTATAAACAGCACAATGGGAATCAAGCTGAATACCCTCGTTGCTATAGCGGCCGTGGTTGGATTTTCAACCGCCGAAGCAGTGGGTTATTTTGATGATTCCTCCGTTTGCGCAGACCCAGACGGGCTTGCAACTTGTTACGAGAAGGCAGAAAACAGTTACACAAGTTGCATCACCAACAACTGCGCCGGAGGTAGCAGTTCCTGCGTGAAATCATGCAATGGGGATGCGAATTGTATTGCTAAGCAATGTCCCAACCTCGGTGTGGATTGCATCAATGCATGCGGTTGTGTCAGAGCGGGAAACCAGATCGATTGCACCGCATCTAGCTGCTGGAATCAGGTGCGATGTCATATCCAGCGTCCCGTGGCTCCACTAATAACTTTTCTACCAAAGGTCTACTCCTGCGAATATCAATATACTGTCGAAGACCTTCTCAACCTATGCGTCAAGCAACAACTGAATGGCGTTCCCTTTTGGCCTCCTCCAGCCAAAGCACCTGGCGGATGCTCTTGCAACATTGGAAAAGCCGACAAGAAGGAATTGCAGATATCGCAGTTCCTCGATACCTGTGCAAACAACATGACCAACCTGAATCAAATGTCGGAAGCGGAAGATATGACGGATTATGCGCAGGCCTGTATCTGCTGTACACAGAGTGCCATAATGTCAACGTAGGTTTGATGTTGCTCAATGCAAAGTTGGAGAGGGATGTGGAATTGACAAACTTATAGGATCTATGATACCTGCCCGAATACCGAGCCCTCCGCCATCGGAGCGGATGATGTGTACGCTGTCTACTTTGCGCATAGTAAATGGGAAGGTTGCGGGAAATACCTGGAAGCATATGATTGCGCTGGAGATTTGGGGTTCGGTGCTGAAAACGCCGGCGACACTCACACCTTCTACAAGCCCGGAGACTTCCCAAAAAATGGTACTGAATCACTATACAATACGGGTGGTATCATTTCGACTCCCGTGAGTGGTGCAACATTCACATGGACCCATGGCACCATAGAGCACCCGGTCACCGTTAGATCGACTGATAACGTCGTCTCTACCACTGCGACCGCGACAGGCACATCGGGTGATTCAAGCACCACAGCTTCCGAGACGGGAGCAAGCAGCACAAAGACAGGCATGGCTGTTTCTGTTAATATGCCGCATTGGGAGCCTGTCATTCTGTCTGGTGCTCTTGCCCTGGCATTATTTTGACTACTCTGCGATTCATTAGATGAAGAAGGCACCCGATAGCATGATTGGCGTTTGATAGGCTGCTATGTAAAGCGATATTGAGATAAACCTTTATGAACAATATAAGGTTTCGGTGAATACAAGGGTTGTGTCTTATGAACAGAATGTCTTTTGGTATAGGTGCATTATGTCAATATCCCAAGCACAATTAATTCACATAGGTCATATATACCATCATTACGAACAAACATTTCGATAAACCCATCACTCACTACAAGATTTAAAGCTCGCCGCGATTGACCGAATTCTCGAAGATTATCCATCAAGAAAATATTGTATCAGATTTGGGAGGCAGGAAAATACGGCAGGCCTCTACGAGCAGGCCAACACCGGCAATCAGGTTATAATTTGTTCTCTAAATTTCCTGGTTCTAGATATTGGTGCAGTTTGTGTGGATAGAATACAGTCCGAGTCGACGGATGCCTTATAATAAGATGATTATCGTCTCAGTTTTGTATGATCCAGCCTACTTCTCATGATGCGTAGCTTCTGTGTCATTCGTGTGCATGGTATCAAGAGCGTCAGTTGCGAAGTCGATACGCGGACCTGTAAAGTTCTTGCGACCGTCCACAATCCACTGGAAAGCGGAGATGATGATGATGATTGCGAACGCAGCAACACAATAGTCTAAATCTGTCAGTTTAGCCCTTCAGGTGCGGAAAGCTAACTTACTCATGCTGCTTCCAGTGACAGTACTGGAGGGAGGGAAAACAAAGAGCACGGTTGTCAATGCGATATATGATAGAGCGACCTATAATCAATTAATATCACTTTGTCTTCAGATTGGTAGAAGGTCTCACAATGTCGGCGATCCATCCAAGGGCATTGGGCAGCTTCCAGCTTCCCTTGGGAAGGGCCTTGCGCCCTTGCAAGCAGTTCACCAAGATAGGCATCGCGTAGGATAAATCAAGCGCCACAACCGAGGCGGAGATAATAGCATTGAAGGCACTATATAGTTAGTCAAATGAATCAAGAAGGTATGGGAATTATTTACCTCGAAGAACCCAAGAAGATGCAGCCGAAGCATATCACGACGACTACCGTCAATATCAGTGCATTCAGCGGTAGCTTGAGGGTGGGGTGAACAGTGGCGAAGAAACGGGAGGCAGGAAGGCCACCATCGCTGCAAATGTCAGTAGGCTGGCGTTTTTCTCGGAAAGAGAAACTTACCGAGCGAAAGCGTAGATCATGCGACTACTGGTTGTCATCACGCTGAGGATAGCGAGGATCAAACATACAAGCGGAAGCCTATAACCAATTAGGGATATAAAAACAAGAAAATAGTTTGAAGAGGACGTACATTAGAAGGCAGATAGCCCCGGCCTTGTTATTGGTCGCATCGTAGAGGATCTGCAAGAGGGGGCCAGCTGCCGAAGTGGTGACCGCGTCCATGCTACCGGCGACAAACAGCAGAACAATCAAGAAGATGAAGCCAGTGAAGATACCGATTCCAACACAAGACACCATGATTTTGGGTCCCTCAACAGATGGATTAGGAACCTCTGTTTGAATTAGCTCTGTCATTGACGAACTATGGGCACTGTATCTCGGTCTTTACCTTCTATCATATGCGCAACGGCATCCTGCGAGGTACATTAGCACGAGTCTTATTTTGCTTTCAAATTCGAACTCACAAAGGCAGTCACTCCGAGACCTCCTTGCAGAAGCTTTAACCGTTAGTGGTTGTGTGGTGTTAACAAGTCAATTGTACCTACTCCAAGTAGCCAAGCAACACCATCAGGCCCTAGCAAATATCAGCAAATAAACCCAGTGCCAGAGTTGGAAGTGGATAACTCACATCCAGTACTGTTCACAAAGTTTCCAAAAACAAAACTAAGTATGTCAGTGATAGTCTATAGCTGCAGGATGTCACAATCCACATACGAGGCCGAGTTATAATCCGGCGAAGAACAAGCCAAGACGGTGATTGAAACAATCACAAATCCACCGATAGACCAAGTAACTAAAATGATCAGCCCCCGAACCTAAACAAGACAAAGGGGTATCGTACAAGCGCCACGGTAAATCACCGGTAGTATGGAGTTCATGAAGCCATTGATGCAGAATGCGCCCATTGTCAACCCAACGTAAATAAGGAACTGGTGCCAGCGCTGGGGATCGTAGCTCTGTTCTTCGTCAGAATCGTATCAGTGGGGCTCGAAGTGTAGTTGCCCATACCGGATGCATCAATGAGATAACTCCAACAATCAGTTGGCTGGATAAAAGCGAGTTGGTGGCGACCAAGGCAATCTGAGATCATGTCAGTTGTAACCAATATAGTAGAGCTATTTGTTCTCTTACCCAACCAGCCACATTGATCCATCCTGTAACCCAGGATAATATGGGAACCCATTTGGGCCAGGCGACTAAACAAGATTAGCATCTGCTTGCAGAAGGATCATGGATAGTAAACATACTGACTAATATATTGGTTAGCTTGGGAATGGAATGTACGTGTGAAGGGACTCGGACTTACCAGCAACCCAATGATACTGACCACCGGCACTAAATTCGTAAGTATAATCTTTGTTTACTGAAGAGAAGGCACTCACGTGGGGTAAGTAGAAAGAAACTCGGCCAATGAAGAGGCAATGCACAAGTTGCAGAACCCCGCAGTCACAAGACCCCAGATGACGCTTGTCGCGCCCCCAGAGGTAAGACTAATCGATAGACTGGCCGACAGGGCGGTCCACGACTGAGCCGAGCGGATATTAGCTTCCTTCTAGTGCCGCAGGGACCGGGTACTAACGTTCAACACGGCAAAAGCGAGACCGAGCATTGCCCTAGTTACCCAAAGTTAGTACATGTGTATTCCGTGCGATCGAGCAGCTTGCGTGTCGATCTCACCAGGTCGAAAACTGGCGCTTCAGCTCTTGCTTGTGGCCCATGGCCGCGAGTTGGGCGTCATCATCTTGCAGTGGTGCTTCTTTCATCGCGAAAAGGTCAAGAGAGAAAAAAAACAGTCGAGTTGAAAGAAGAACCCAAGGCGAAAAGGGAGATAGATAAGATGAAGAGAAGAAACACTAAGCGTCTCGGCGATTAAGGTCCAACTAAATGCATCGCAGGCATCGCATGGCCATGTCGTTAACGGATAGCGCCGACAGGGTTGCAATTCGCTAGCATGCGGGGAAGAATCCCATTACATACAACTTGAAGCAGTTATCAGCGGGCAGGCCAATGACGATTGATCGTGGAACCAGCCAGGATCGAATCGAGCTGGTGCAATTCTCCACCGTGTCCACTGTACCCACCATCTCTGGCTTATCGCCCCGAGGCAAAGAAGTCATCGCCATGGAGCTGTACTTATCCTCCACAAAAGCTTATCAAGCTCCTGAACGGCCCGGCTTGGGTTCCCTGTTTCGTCGATCTCTGCGTGTACCTACCGAATCGCGCATAGTGGCTTCCCCAGGGCTGCAGATGCAATATACTTCGCCTCGCATGGTTCAATGCCGATCACGGTGTCGGCAGTGGAGCTGCGTGGATGATGATAAGCAGGAGAATGGGGTCGTACACATTTATAAGGAATGCGCGTGGCTGCGTGTTTCCCCTGACCCAGAGATCCCCTCTTCTGAGTATTCCGTACAATGTTCTCCAAGGGGTTGCTGGCTGTACTGGCCGCGCAGACATGCGCTGCGGCGGTTTCCAAGGCACGCGATGACGCGACTTGCACGAAGACTACGGTCGCAATTCTGTGAGTTTGAGTGTTTAGTGGAGCGAGCAAGGGCCTGCGCTAACATTGGTTGCAGGGGCGGTGGAATGGCGGGCGTCGCCGCGGCTGTAAGTTGTTTTCCGCGACATGTGGATAGACACCTGGATCTAATGCTCGGTTAGCAAGCATTGCATAACTCGTCCATCGAGGACTTTGTACTAATTGAGTACCGCGACACTCTTGGCGGGCGTGTTGCACACACGGACTTCGGCAAGGATGAGAATGGCAAGCCATACACGGTGGAACTAGGTGCCAATTGGGTAGGTCGTTCCATTTGTGCAAGTCGTTCAAAGGCTGACAACAATAGGTGCAAGGACTTGGCTCTCCTGGAGGCCCTGGTATGGTCGACCTCCTATCAAGTTTGGACAATGCAGATCGCTGACAGGGCTAGAAAATCCCATTTGGACATTCGCGAAGAAATGGAATCTCAACAACACTTATTCTAACTACAGTTCTATCCTGACCTACGATGAGAGTGGATTCAATGACTATGCCTCTATGCTCGATGACTTTGAGGACCTTTACGATGACGCTTCTGAACAAGCTGGCATTCTCCTGAAGGAGAACCTGCAGGATCAGACTGCGCGTACTGGCCTTGCTCTGGCTGGCTGGCGACCCAAGATTGATGACATGAAGGCTCAAGCTGTCGAGTGGTGGGAATGGGGTAAGTCGCGATCACTACAGTCTACCCACATCTTCTAATATTTCTTAGACTGGGAGGATGCTTATTCGCCCGATGAGAGCTCTTTCATTTTCGGCGCTGCGGGCGAGAACCTCACCTTCAACCAATTCAGCGACGCAAATAACTACGTCTGGGACCAGCGTGGCTATAACCACCTCATCAAGGGCGAGGCCTCGACTTTCTTGAAGAAGAACGATCCTCGTCTCCACCTAAACTCCATCGTCACGAACATCACTTATACTGATGACGGCGTGACGATCCAGAAGAAGGATGGAAGCTGTGTGCAAGCAGCCTACGCTGTCTGTACTTTCTCTCTCGGCGTTCTCCAAAACAGCGACGTGACATTCAGCCCGAAATTGCCGTACTGGAAGCGCACTGCGATTGAGAAATTCAGCATGGGCACTTATACCAAGATTTTCCTCCAATTCAATGAAACCTTCTGGCCTCAGGATACGCAGTACTTCCTCTACGCAGACCCAATCACAAGAGGATACTACCCTGTTTGGCAATCTCTCTCAGCACCGGGTTTCATCCCCGAGTCAAACATCATCTTCGTGACTGTAGTCTCGCAGGAGGCATACCGTGTCGAGCGTCAGTCCGACGAAGAAACTCAAAAGGAGGTCATGAAGGTTCTCCGTGAAATGTATCCGGACAAAGACATCCCCGAACCAACCGCATTCATGTATCCCCGCTGGAGCACGACCCCGTGGGCGTACGGAAGCTATTCGAACTGGCCCCCATCGACTACGCTCGAGATGCATGAGAACCTGCGCGCGAATGTTGATCGCCTATGGTTTGCTGGCGAGGCGACAAGCGCGGGATACTTTGGTTTCCTACACGGTGCCTGGTTCGAGGGTCGCGATGCGGGTGAACAGATTGCTGCTTTGCTTCAGGATAAGTGCAGCAATGTGTCGGATACTTCTGACGACTGTGGAAACCGCAGATACTACGAGAAGCTTTCTGGGTCTTCGCCATTGGCGGATTACAGTGTTTTCGATGGGTGGCCAGTTAGCAGCTTCTACTCGAGCAGCTAGGCGGCAGTACAGAACTGAGAGATGTAGACAATCCAGGGTAGATGTTGATAACTTGGTGTCGATAGCACTACTAGTAGTCTTCAATGAACTTGAAGACTTCAAAGTTCCAAAGTTACTAGTAGTAGTAGTAGATGTTGAAATCCGTAACTCGGTCGGCTGGATATTTTTGTCATTCAACCATACTATCCTTCCCAACCTCATGGAATTTTAGAAAACTTGAACATAGGCGAGGGATAGCAGCGACTCCGAGTCGAGCTCATAGCTCATAAGGCAGTAGTCACCACCCGTCTCGTTAATCTGTGGATTTACGCGAATCCATGAATCGGATTGTTGAGTTGAAGATTATAAAAAATTGTGTTCCATATTGTGGATCCATAACAAATGAAATTTCCGTTGTACATCGGATAACCATTCCATCCTGCAGTGCCTGCAGTGGCCAGTTCAAATAATAAAAGATATACCCATTAACACCTCAAATGCAATCATTCCGAACACCCTTAAAGTACTTCCCGACCATGCAAATGCCAGCATTGCGAAAAAAAAAGATCGTGAAGTATCGAATTCCGACAGCGGCGAGTCCGGCCCCGCTGAAATCGGCTCCGCTCGGCTCAGTTCGGCCCAGCGATGGTGATGGTGAGGTCATCACCGCCCATACATGTCCAAGGCCTGTTGAACATCATGCAGACTCTCCTTGTTGCCATAAGCATCCATCAACTCTCGGTTCTTCGCCAAGCGCTTCTCTTCTTCTTGGATGGCGAATTGGCGACGAGCTTGTGCTTGTGTGTAGTAGTTGTATGCGCCGAAACCAAGACCGACTGCTGCGACGACGGGGATGTACCTGGAGAAGGTGAGTTAGTACAATGGAGGAAGAGAGAAAGAAGACAAGAGTCGAGCTCAAACTGGACTCGGTGATCGGGAAAAGGGGCACGTACCATCGTCCGTGCCTGGGCTTCAAGCTCGGGCTGGTTGGGTGGGATCGGTATTGTGAGGGCTTGTTTGTGCCAGGAAATGCGTGTGAAGACATGTTGTGTTGATTGAGGATGGAGGAGCTGAAAGAGATGATAGCTCGACTTGGATCTCTGGAGGAGTGAGAGTGAGTGGTGAGAGTGAAAGAAGGGAGAGAAAGAGAAGCGGCGCGTGCACCGGGCCGGACTTTAATGGTTGGCCGCGGAATGCGGGGATTGCATGACGTGGAGATATCATCAGCCCACACGCGATCATACTATTACTCTTTTAATTCCCCCATTATAGCATGATTGATTCCCTAGTAATACTACTGGTCATAATATACCCCTGGTATACATCTCATGTTTCCCTGGATGCTCAACCCTCCACCATTAACATCACCAACCACCACATCTTCAATATCCGACAATCGGATCTTTGGGGTTAAATGATAATCCCCCCCACAGCTTGGCACAGCTTGGCAATTGCACTGCCCCGCGACCGGAGGAATCCTTTCCAGCCAATCACGAATGAGCTATGCTAACTAGTTGTAACAAGTTGTTACTACGGCAGTTAATCTTCGGCTGATTCGCCAACTTCGTTTTCATAAAATGATCCGGGGGGGGCATAAGAAATTTAGTACATAAAGGAGCATATTTATCGAGCCAACGATTTGCCGGAACTCGTCAATTGATCGCTTCTCTTGTTTCTTGCCTTGTCTCCGCAAGAAGCGATTCAGAACGGGAAGATATGTTCCGTAAAGCTGGTATCTCTCACTTAACTTGGAGCTATCATTTCCATAGACCAGCGTATCGGTGAGAACTTCAGCCAGATCCCACGGGTCCTCTTCAAGCAAACGACAGGTAGTGGCAGCGAAACTGAATAAAGGAACAGAAATCTCAACAAGTTTGCGAATACTTTCTCCGCCAGGCCAATTATCAGGCAGATCATTATCTCTCCGGATCTGGGAAATTTTAGGCTCCAGAAATAAAGAGATATCATGTTCTATTTCAACCTTTGGTACCTCGAACAAAGTCTTCGTGCTGATCTGCTATTTTTGAAAAGCCAAGCCGAATGGGCAGCTGCGGACGACTGGTCAAGAAGATTCCCCTCGTTGTTAATAATATACAATAATAGAAGGTATCGATATCTCAGATCAAAATTTTATCCGTGCTTGCGGCATCCCCACCTCCGCCGTCTTTAGATTGTACATCAACCTTGAACGATTGATGATATTTTATACCCTTGGGATCATTTAAAGGGTCCACACTGCTCCCTTGGAGACTGTGAAGCTGGTAGGAGTGTTGACCTCTACCGTTAGGTTGGAATCTCCTCAAATCCGACCCATGCGATGTTTTCGCAGTATTACTTGGGTTAGATGAGAACAAGGATAGTCGCGGGAGATATGTTGCAATCAATCTTTTCATGCGCATTGCACAAGCGCAGACGATACCGAGATTTATCTCAACCATTGACCATATTCCCAGGATCGCTTCAGTGTAGGTTACGTCTTCAGTTTTGTCGAGGAGGAGGACGTATGGTAGGCGGGCAATCGAGCAAACAATGACGCTGAGCAAGTTAGCCAAAACTCACAACCAGAGATTTTTAACGAAAGCAAATGAAACACAGATGGATAATTGCAGCGAGAAGAGAGGGAGAAAAACTCACCCAGATCCCAGAGTTAGAAGACATCCGACCGTGATCTTGTTCTTCGTCGATAGATGAAGGGCATGGATTGTCGGTATGGGTAAGGCTATGACAGCAATGTCTGATGCAATGTTCAAAACTGATTGAGCCAAAGCAACATTCTCCAGGCATGCCGTCGTTCCGGTTTTGAGCGGGTTGCATGGCCCTCCCACGATGGTACATAATACCAGGGTATATGCGAATATGGATACAGCAACAGCTACCACAATACAGCGATAGATGACCGAGGGATTAATCCGAAATAAAACGGACACAATGGCCATTTTTGTAATGGCTGGACATATCAAATAAGTCAAGGTGTTGGGAAGCAAGCCCTGCTCTGCGTTAGTCTTATACTTCCTTGGAATGTTTCGATGTTCCGATCTGACCTTGTTGAATTCCATAAGATCCGCTAATGAGACATTCCACATGTGTTTTCCCCAGCCCCATTTCATTTCTATCGCATAATTCAGTTAGTATACGCTCCGTTGCGCGATATAGCGAAGGACTTACGATTGACTATCGTGGCGAAGTAGGTCGCAGAGACGCCATAGGAAATTATGATCGTAACTATTTAGCGAATAAAGCGTAAATACTCTGTTCCACATCATCAATCGCGGGAGCTTGATAGCACGACACTTACTCAGATCCAGCTCGATATTTTTGATCAACTTGACCGCTTGGAAGACCCGAAGACCCAGGAAGCACGTAGCGATGAAGAAGGTGACACCAAAGGAAATGACGGTTCCAATCTGAAGTGAGCTATAGGACCCATTAAAATGCGATGTCTGGCCGGCCGGCGGCTGCATTCCTGGTGTTGTAGACAAATCCATTGTGTTCAAATTGAATTACCGCCTCATTCTTCAGACCATTTGAAAAGTGTCAGAACACAATCTGCACATGCAACACTAGACATGGGCTACGACCACCTTATCTAAATTGAAGCAAAACTCCGGTGGCGATTCTGACTCCAGCTACCAATCAATTCTTGGAAGCCTTGGAAAGCCTCCCCACCACGTGATGAAAGGCGAATGCGTGGTCCAGACCATGGATTCACCGAAGAGTGGGGGATTCATTGGTTCTCCATCTCCTCCTCCACATCCCCAGATATCAGGTACACATAAGGAGTATAGGCTGCCCTCTCCATTATGGGAAGAGCTTCTTGAGAGCCAAAGCCATCCAACCAGGCCCATATTGGAAACGTCCGGGCAGTCCGACGGCGGTGGTCGCAAATGTTTCGATCGTGGGGCGCCCAATAGGCAGTCTATGTTGACCAATCCCCTGCATCGCGCGAAGCTCGGCGCGGATGGCTTTAGTTTGTTCGTTTTGGTGAGCTGCACGGACGGCTTGACGGGGCGAGTCTTGTGTTAGGTCAATATCGGCATCGTAGTCGTCATCTTGTGTGGGTGGATTACTAAAGGTTGAACCGGTATTAGCCATCTTAAATTCCTCGCTCAGTATGATGATCTTGTATCTTACCTTTGATTTGATCCGTAATCACTGGACAGATCAAACCCTCCTGGCTGGTTGGTCAAAGCAGCGGGCCCATCTTCCGAATATCCGTATCTTCTGCGGATGATCGGCTTCATATCACTCACGCAATCTTCATGTTGCGAGCCCTCGTCATACTCGTGGTCGATACTGGAGACTGAATCAGATCCTGATCCGGAGCCCATAGTTGTCCGCCAATTCCAGGGGAAGTATCGTGAACTTGGGCGTTGTTCGGCTGCAAAGGGGCTGGTACTACTGAATCGACGGGGGAAATTGCGCGGAAGGGTGTGACTATCACGACGTCGCAGGTTTCGTGGGAGATAGCGAGGTATACGGATCTCCGCAACGCCGTCGGTTTGCCCAGAGGGACGGGACTCATGAAGAGCGTCTGCCACCCCGGCACCATTCTGTGAAACCTGAGAGCAGGCCGGCCCGGTGAGGGAGACAGAGTCATCTTCACCGGCTGAATCCTGGAGAATGACGGACGAATTGCTCGCATTGTGGGCAGGATCGTTGCTGTCACTGCTAGACTCAATGTTTTGCTCATCTCCAGCATCCAAAACCCCCGAGCTTGCATCGCTTCTATTGGTATCTCCATCGCCGTACAGATCAGATCCCACATCATCAAAGCGGCCAGCCCGTTGAGGCCCAGGATGCTCGATAGCCTCACTAGGCTCAGGTAACTGGGGATCGAAAGCAGACTCAAAGTCGGGGGAATTAGAAGGATCCCTTTTCATCGGTTCGCAGTCTTGATTGATGATGCATCCCTGCAGTGTATTATCGGCCTGGAATTCCTCGATCTGGGGCATGGATTGATAGGGTGTATCTGGAGCCGAAGATATCGACAGTGGCTCGAGTCTGATATCCCCTGGGCACAAGGTCTGGATTATGGAACTCGTGATGCTCTGAATTCCGTTGAATTGATCAAGGGCCTCACCCAGGCCCAACTTGATCTCCTCCAGTCTGTCAAACACCTCTGCTCTGATCCGCTTCCATTTGATTCGCAGCCCCACGTGTGATGGACTGCTTGCCGAACACATTGCAATCTCGGCATCCACCGATTGAAGGTGTCTGCTCGCAGCACCCAAGGCCATTTCCAATTGCTCATGAAGGTAGATCAGATATTCAACCTGAAGAGAGTCCATCGGTCTTCCAACCAGGTCGAGTATGAGGCGAAGATCGGCCTTGAAGTCAATGAAATTTGCATCCTCGACTCCATTAACGATATTTTGTACTTGTTCCAGCTTCGACCTGAAGATGCCCGCGGAGTGGAAATTAAGATCGGAATTCACATCCAAGGGTGGAAAGTAGTTCTCGTCCATTTGTTGAGATGCGTTGGCTCCTTGGTAGACACTCATTGACTGCTGAGGAAAGACAGGGGGCAGAAATGATTGAACAGGCATTGGGATAATGACCGGGGCCGGAGCTGTGGTGATTGGGATCTGGTGGAAGACGCTGTCATTTTGTACTGGATCAAGTACGAAAGAGGCTGAACTTTTTACCACGGCCGCACCGCCTCGAATATAATTGCTGTCGATGATCCTCGTAGGCGAACTTTGGTAACATGTGCTATGTTTGGCTTGAGGCGGTTTCCATTCTTCAGAATCCCTCTCCACTTGGATCGAATCTTCTCCGGTAATCATGGGAACGATACGGCCTCCAGCAGTCACACGCTGATTTTTTGGAGAAGAATGTTCTTTGAGAAAGCGAGCAAAGCCTGCATCAGTTGTCGTCAACGGTTTCGGAGATATCTTTCTTTTGTTGGCTGTCGATCGATTATGCGGCTTAGGAGTATGAAGCTTGGGCGTATGCAGCTTTGGCGTATGCAGCTTGGGTGTATGTCCCAATGATTGAACAAGATGTGGGCCTGCAGAGGTCTTCGAGGCGAGCTTTTTGCGAGGAGTCACTCGGGTTGCTGGCTTTTGAGGATGCCCGGGACGTAGTAGTTTACCTGCGAGAATTGTAAGAAATTGTGTGGAGGATGCAGAATGTTACCAACTCGATGATGGGGAGGAGATACTGACAATCTTTGACGTGACCAGTCCAGTTACAGGTAACTTCTGTATCCTGGTATAGTGCCATGAGCGTGGGGATGTTGTACTTCATATTGATCGGGGTGATGATAAGACATACCTGAAGATGGACTGAAGGAGGGAGACTAAGGTTGTAGCAGTGAGTTGGTCGAAGTTGAGGCCTCAAGGGAAGGCACGAGGTGAAGCACAAGCACAAGCACAAGCGCAAGCGCACATAAATAGTGCACCAAGAAAGAAGGAAGGAAAGAAAGAGCGATGGAAGGTGGGAAATTTCACATTGACTCTATCATTGGCATGGACGTTAACATTGTAAATACTCTAACTCGACTTTTGGTATCCAAGAACAAACACATCAATCAACCGCTGCCTGCCATAACAATTGGCTACTTCTACACGCTTTCCCGCACTTTAACCGGCTGCATCCCACTGTGAATCTTCCATTCCTCCTCATTCTCCTCGTCAAACGGCGAAACATGAGGTGCGCCGTCATGAGTTGGAGATGCGATATCCTCAACCTCCTTTCTCTGCTGACCCATTTCCCAGCTTCCGAGTCGCTCGTGTCCCTGAACCACAATTCCAGCAGCGGCACGATCATCATCAGTCCCTATATTTGGCTTGGAGGTACTACCCCAGGTCGGCTTTCGGAAATTGAGATCTGCATCACTGGCGTTCTTGTCGTTGCCTTTAAACCCCCCCGATGCTAGGCTTGTGGCCTCCACGTTTGCGAATGCCACAGAAGAAAAAGCCGATCATCCCAAAGAGAAGACCGACGCCCAGAGTCACGAAAGCTCCAATAACCCCGGCCACCGCAGGAGACATCTGTTTCTTCTGCGTCGAGGAGCTGCTGTCTCCCATCAACCCAGTACAGAAAATGGAATCCGCATTGCACTGAGTACACCATTCCTTTGTCGACTGCATCGCGAAGGTCTCGATTTCGGATTGGAACTCGCTATACGGAACATATTCCTGACTTGGCCCATTTCCGAAAAGCGGATATGAAGCGAACTCGGAGGAATCGGTGCCATTGTGGAGGTAAAATCTCACAAATAGATTATCAGCGCCCGGATAGCTGGGGGAAATCTCGTCCGTCTCGTAACTATAAAGTTCAAAGACAAGGGATCCGCCACGGACAAGGCGAGAATAGAAGTTTGGCTGTTGCTCCTTTGCCAGCCCCAGGAGAGAGGCCAGAGCCACGGCAGGCTCATCGCTACCAAACAGCAATGTCACTTTTTGCTGCAATCCAGACGTTCCAACGTTTATTGAAAAAGCGTTGAGAATACTCGCGGCCAAGCCTTGTCCAGCAACAGGATTCATGAGACCGATGGTAGAGTGTTGATCATCTTGCTTATTCGTAGCATATGTATACTGATCTGCAAGCCATCTTGAACGTCGCAGATCGTAATCGCCGAGAGTCTCGAGCGCCTGGGTATTGTGGAGAATCTCATAGTCCAAGAAGTCGGCAATGTCAACGGCATTCGTGTAGGTTGCTTGTGATTCATCCATTTCTCCCATCAATACTTCCTTCCAGAGTTTCGTATAGAAAGCGGCACTCTCCTGGGTAATGTCCTGGGCTTCACTGCTGTCCTGGTATTCGCTCACGGCGGCTTGATGCATAGGGCACTGTGCCTGACCCGCGACCAGGATAGACTGTGGGTCGGAGCTCCCGAGACTGACAATTTTGGGATATTGGTATCCGCCGAGGGGATAGCTATAGAAAGTGCCATTCGGTGTTGAGTCGGAGTCTTGGACATCGGATTGATTCAATGGTGGATAGAGGCCTTGCATAAAAGCTTGGGCAGAGGCAATGACATATTGATCAGTTGTTGTGAGGATGCTGACATCCTGTGAGTCGAGATAAAAAGGAGCAAGGCCTTGAATTGTGGATCCTGTGTCGTACACACTTCCTCCTGTCTTGACATATCTATCACGGAAAACCGACCCTGCCGCCTCAAGCTGGCTGGCTCCATAGTCAGATAACTCCCTGGTTCTCACCTGCGACATTATATTGGGGAGACTGTCTCCATATGTAGTGTATGCAAATATACCCCAAACGGTCTCTGTATAGTCCTGGGCCGTAGCTATGGCGGCCAACTGGACTGATACCGCAATCACGAGGGAGCAATAGATTGAGAACATGTCGGCGGTTGAAGCAGGCAGTAGCCTCGAGCTAATGGGAGGAGGAGGAGAAAGACGATGTATTGTAGTACTAGTATCTTCGGCAGCATATATCGCGAACAAGTATTGGAAAAAGGTCGCGGGACCTGTTTCCAGATAAAAAGGGCAGTCTAGGATTCTAGGTAGCATGGACCGGTTGGACCCTTGGTGCATACTGAATGGATTCGAGGATAACAGGAATCAGTACCACCAGAAAGCTGCTTTCGGAAACTCATCTTGCCGGGCGTTATTGAGAAACCATGGGCTTGAAAGTCGCTGGGGGCATCTAAGCTCCTCACGGTTAGGGTTTCGGGAGCTTCGGGTGGATCACCACTCGCAGCATTAGCCTAGAGAAAGCCTTCAAGCTTTAAAACCCAGTGTTCCATGGATGGAGAGAATGGTCTTTGGTTGGGTATGGTTAGCTGTTACTGGTCAGAGCAGATTCAGAGCGAAAATCCACCTTATAGCAATGTTCATTTTGTTTGTCCGGGATGCTCTTGGAATCGATTTTCCTTATTTCTTTCTCACAATAAATTACTTGCAAATTTGGATTCAAAGGGGGAAAAATTCGGTTCCCAGAGAATTCAGGTAGCCTGAAATGTAGGATAGGTGTGGTTGGAGGGTTACAGACCCAGGATGAAGAGCCAGCCAGTCCCATGCATCGATGACGCGCACTAATCATGGTTGACATGAAACAGATCACCAGGGGCAAAATGTAGACTACGGACAGATATACAATATTTATGAGACTAGTTTCAGTTCAGTCAAGATCTGCAGAATATCATGATTTTGAAGAGTATCTTACCAAACCAGAAAAGAATATCATTTCTAATTTCTAGTGCTTCGCGGGGATATTGTGGCCTTCGATATCAGGCGTTAATTCCGTACTTTTGGCACTGACCCGCTCGGACGATTGGCAGCATGTACTACATGGATAATATTAATATTCCTAGAAACACCCAGGAGTAAGATAGTGTGAACTTGGTATATTTCAATACTAGATACTCTGTATCTCACTGTGCATTAATTAACTAGTAATAACCACAATAGTGAACAAACAACAATAATTCGCCCTACAACTGTACTCCGTAGTACAATGTATTTCTCCGCATTCAGAGGCGGTCAAGTCATTGACCAATAATATTACCTGCTTATAATCGCACTAGAAAAAAGCCCCCCCCCGAGGCAAAAAACCTGACCTCCTGGAAGCCCTACAGCTGCGCCCTACCCCTACCCTAAGCCCTCATTTCTGCTCTTGGAAGTTGACAGCCCAACCCTAGATACTGATAGTCCAGATGGTCGAGACTCGAGGCAATCGGCCATCTTTCGATGCCACATCCGATCTTCCCTCATTTCCTGACGATGAACTGGGTGAGTGCTACATTGCCCTTGGTGTTTGCCTGTTTCTTGTAGCCCCATGCAGCTGGCGCCTACTACTACTATCTCCTTCTGTTGCCTCATCCTACCTTACCTAACCTACTATCTCCCCATTCCACCCTTATATACTCTTTGGCTGACCCCTTCCTTAATTTCCTGTAATAGATCAAAAGCCACCCCTTCTCCTCGAGGAAGAGGATCATGGTACCCCGCCTGCCGCTAAAAAGCGTCGTATGGATGCTGGCCCGGACGACGAGCCCTCCTTTCAGCAATCCCTTGACAGTTTAGATCAACACGGCCCCGGCCACAAGATTGAAGAAGAACTTGCGACTGCGCTCGGCGAAAGCGTCGTGGATTCACTCGAGCCTACCGATCACCCGGCGGGTGATCAATCTCAATCCGATCCGACCGTCACCCAGAATGACAACCCCAACATCAACGCTGATGTAGCGTCCATTATATCCGAAATAATGGATCACACGGAGCGTCAAGATCAAACGGTAGCTATGGGCACGCAAGAAATATCTCCGGTCGGCGAATTTCCCGGTGCGCGGGGCTTCGCGTTCCTCAAAGCCAATTCTCATCTGAAAATCCAAAGCTTACCCATCCTGGATAACTTGGTAAGTCTGATAGTTGCACTCTTTTTGGGAACGGATGTAGGTTCTGACCTTCCATAGTCGACCCAAATCCTCTCGTTTCTCTCCAAGAACAGTTACCAGGACCTCACTGCCATGGTATCCGAGCCGGAATCCGAGAACGGCCAAGCATACGCCACCATGCGCTCCCTATTCGATCACACCAAGAGGGTTTACACAGTGAAACACTCCTTCCTCCAAACTTCCGATCTTGAAATCACCGAATCATCCCAAGTTGACATCATTCGCAAGGCCAATTTGGCCTCTTTTGTTTCCAGTATTTTCGGCTCTCAGGAAATCGGGTTCTCGGAGTTGAACGAACACTTCTTAGATGTATTTGTGCCAGAGGGTGGCCGCTTGTTGAAGGTTCAAGGGGCTTTGTACCTGGAGCTCAAGACCCAGGCTTTCATTGCAGCCATGAACAGCAAGTCTCGTACGCGGACACAGCTTCTGTGTGAACTGTTCCCTGACGACATGGAACAACGACTACTGGGGAGACGTCCTGGTACAAAGCAATTGGCTCCCAGCGAAACCGACTTTGTGAATCGACTATCCTCCCGTCGTGACATTCTTCTTAATGACATCAACAACGAAGATGCACTTAAGGCTTTGCCCGACAAGTACCATTGGGAGCACTTCCTTCGGGATCTGAGCTCATACATTGCCAAAAACTTTGATCAAATCAATTCGCAACAGGTGTGTTACCACTTCTCCTGACCATCTCATCGATGTTAATGCTTACACTAGGGAAAGAAACCCATCAAAGGACGCCAACCTTCTAGCTCTAATGGCGATGCCCAAGAGTCGCCCAGCACTACCCATCAAGGGCAGTTCTCTGTGAGCCAACCGGTTGAGGTTCCGGTAGACCGCAACATGCATGGCGATCTCGTTGCCCGTGCTGCCCGTGCGGCGCAGATTGCGTTACAGGGCCATGGCCTCCGCCGCTCTCAGCAACAATCCCAGCAACAAAATCAATACCAACAAGCACCCTCTCAAGCTAGTCAATCTCCTCAACCTCATGCCCAACCTCATGCCCAGCCTCCGCAACAGCAGCAGCAGCAGCAACCGCAACAACAGCAACAACAACAATCGCAACAACCGCAGCAGTCGCAGCAGCCCACTCAGCCTGATAACCAATACCTTCACGGCTATACTGCTGCGCAGCAGCCCCAACAGCCTGCTCAACAGCAGCATCAGCATCAACAGCCGCATCAACAGCCGCATCAACAGTCGCAACCGCAGCCGCAACCGCAACCGCAGTTCCACCATAGCCCTACCCCGCCTAGTGGATATCATCAACAACAGCCTGGTGGCCTAACCTTTCAGCAAAGCCCCCTGCAAGCTAATTTCCAGCAATACAATCCGAATGCAGCACAGGCAATGCAGGCTCGAAACAATGGGATGTCTTCCCAACAACAGGGCTACCTTCCAGGTATACCCCACATCTCCCAATCGCAACCGACCCAAGTTCTCTACGAGCGGGCTCGGATGGCCGCATCAGCAAAGTCTTCACCCACCAGTCGAAAGTCCGGTCTCCCCAGTCAGCGGCGGCCTTGGACTACAGAGGAGGAAAATGCCTTGATGGCCGGTCTTGATCGAGTGAAAGGACCGCACTGGAGCCAGATCCTGGCCATGTTCGGCCCTGGCGGAACCATCAGTGAAGCTCTGAAAGACCGTAACCAGGTGCAGCTCAAGGACAAAGCTCGCAATTTGAAGTTGTTCTTCCTTAAGAGCGGGATTGAAGTGCCTTACTATTTGAAATTCGTCACTGGTGAGCTGAAGACTCGTGCGCCTGCTCAGGCTGCCAAGAGAGAGGCCCGCGAGCGTCAAAAGAAGCAAGGCGAGGAGGATAAGGCGCATGTCGAGGGCATCAAGGGCATGATGGCCTTGGCTGGGGCACACCCGTCGCCCGTTCACGGGCACGAGATGTCTGCCTCGCCCAGCCTTCCCCCGGACGCCAATAGCCAATCCGTGTTCGACCAGACCGCCGAACAGAACTTGATGCAGACGCTTAGTCAAGAGGTGCACGGCAGTCAATATCCTCAGCACCACGCCGCCACCCCCGACCACATCGATCCTCACATGCAACTGGGACAATAAGCGATTTTCGGCGCTCTTTATTTCTCGACCATTTTGCTAGTGGAGCTTAAGCTAGGAGTCCTGTATTTCAAACATGCAGACTCTATTTTTTTTTGCTGTTCATTTGCCTGGAGTTTTGAGGGATTGTACTATTGAATTTCCTCTGGAGTTTGCACATTACGAAGCGAAGTATGAAAAGCGGTGGATGAGTCTTGTACATTAGACATAGCTATCTCTGAAATTTGAACTGAACAAACAAACAAACCACCCTGGAGCAACTCAGTAATGATAACCACTCGATTCATCCGAGTTCTCACATGCCCAATGGTCTTCCCTCTGAGTCTGTCTCGTTTAACAAAAAGCACGACTGTTCACTTGCGGTCACATGACTATATACATCAACTTCTAATGCATGTCACATGATATATCACGTGCTGTGTATGTGAGATTGGCAGGGGAAGACATCCATCTTGTTTCCTCTGGACCACCAAGATCAATTTCGCTCTGAAACGGGCCTGTTAGTTTCGCACCACCTGGGCAGCTGCATATCGCCAAGCCACTTCTATGGTTGGGGGTTTGGACAATTCCCTGTTAGGACCTGAACATCAAGTGGGGTTGCGGCGTCGCCAGAGACGGGTCCAAGTAGCTAGAGCGTGTGATGCTTGTCGACTTCGCCGCGCCAAGTGCGACAATGGTGTACCATGTTCAAAATGCATGGAACGTGGAAACCACTGCAGTAATAGTGGTGCATCCAAGGCCTCAACTCTCACGGAAGCCTCCGAGGAAATTGCCCACCTCAAGCGGAAAGTGCAGCAATTAGAAACAGAGCTCAAGCGGCAGGGTTCCGACCAACACTGCCTACCAAGTCCTATAACATCATCACCGTCATTGCATTCGGCTTTTATGTCCACAGGACAGGACCATGGCCCTGGCTTGAAACGGTACCGTGATGGTATTCAATTTAGGCCTACGCGCTCCTCTAACGAGACGTGGTTTGGGCCATCATCGCTTTACTATTTTATCCAGCGTCTTAGCAAGTTTCTCAACCTTCAACTTCGAAAGGAAGATCCCGTCCATCGTTTGCATCCTGTTTCAGCCAGTTATCACAAATTCCTGGATGTACCGGACGAGGGCCTACTTGGAAGTCTAAGCTGTCCATGGGCACCTCCAGCCGAGGAAGTCCCTACTGCGGGCGTTTACCTAAGTCTCATACAAGAGGATTACTTTCTAAATCTTTATTGGCAAACCTACCATACGTCGCTTTTTCCGATTGTGGATGAGACACAGTTCAAGAATCACTATCAGTCTCTCTTGGTGAATGGCGGTCAGGGGCGAAGACCCTCAGCCCTCGTCGATATTATGATTGCCATGTGCATGCAATATGCAACCTCAACAGTGCCTGCAGAGGTTCAGGGAGTTCTTGCTGAGGGCAAAGATGCTCTAGTTGCGGGTCGGTGGCACTATTGGCGTGGGCAAAAGTTGCTCAAGTATGAACTTGACAGCCCATCGTTATCAACACTACAATGTCATCTGGTTTGTGCAGTCTACATATGTGGCGGATCTTTCCACAATATGATGCATAGTACCGTAGGCCTCGCTGTAAGCACTGCTTATATGCTTGGTCTGCATCTGGATCCCCCGCCGACCATGTCCGAAAAGGATCGCGAGATGCGCAGGCGGCTTTGGTGGGCAGTCTACCTCATGGACAGCAAAGCCGGAATGAAGCTTGGTCGTCCCTTTATGATTTCTAGCTCCTACGCCATGCCGTCTTTACCTAGTGACACTCTTGACGCCGCTGTGAGCTCCGGATCCATGTTTGCTCCTATCGGACAGAATGTCACATGGCTGAGCTATAATCTACACATGGTTCAACTTTACATCAAAGCTCGAACAGCCTACACAGCCTTTTTCGACCAGTGTATCCATTTACAGGAAGGTCAGGCTCTATGGGCTGATCATGAAGCCCAAACCTCCAGCGCGGGACTTTTAAACACACACGCCCAGAGCTTTCAAGAATGGGTTGATGGTGTTCCAGAATCTCTGAAATTGAAGCGTCAAAACAATGGTCAACCCATTTCCACAGATTTTACCTCCATTATATTTGAGCCATTTACTCCACCTTGGCTGCAGCGACAACGCTTGCTCCTCGAACACACATATCATCATCTCAGCATAAACATTTATCGACCATTCATATCCTTCGCCTTGAAACCGCCGGCGGATTCGATTGCAGAGGAACTTGCCATTAGATGCGCTTCTCATGCGATAATGTTGACGATGATCACGCACCAGGCGCTCATAGAATCAACGCTCTTTGACGGGTGGCACGAGGCCTTCTTCTGTCAGTGGAATGCAGTTATGACCCTTGTTGGGTTCGTGATGTTATTTCCATCTTCGACAATATCCAACCAGGCTAAGCAAGCAATTAAATTGGCTATCTCGGTCTTCGATAATTTCGGCGCCAAGTTTCCTGTCGCAGCGAACGCAGCAAAGATAGTTCGTGATTTATTTGTCAAATTTGAGGTCCTCGCAAAGCCCAGCGAGGTTGTGTCTAACGCTGCGATTATACCCCCAGACTTTGAAGCCAGCTCCTCATCATCGGTGTCAATTGACCAATCCCTGTCATCACATGATCCTTTCGATTCACCGGGGTTCAACCTGTTTGACATGGCTGTCGACATTGATTTCTGGAATAGTGTTGAGGCGTTATGGCCCGAGTTTGACAACATATCACAATTTTAAGCAGAATCATGAACGCCAAATGATCTGTCTCTCTGAAAATCTCATTATATAATGCCTTTATTGAATTTTAATCTAACTCATAGATCTCGCATTGCATTGAAGTCTAAATAAAAACCCATTAGCGTTGGTTCGGTGGTCCTCTTTGGAAGCAGGAATACTGTCCTCGCCCAGCTTGATCGGTCTGGCTCGGCTAGAAGTCACTGGCTGTCTCTAAACCTATTGTTACCTATAGTTTGACCAGAAATGATTTTGCATTTATCAGCGACTAGAATGCGATCAACAAGGTTTCTAGTGAACCAGGCGTGTTTTTCTTCGTACCCGCCTCAGAGTACAACCATAATTCAGTTGCGTGCGGGCCAATATTCTGTCTTTGTCAATCATTCGATCATCATCAGCATTTCGTTAATTACAATGGCAATTTGGTGGTCAGTCCTAATAAATCGGCTGGACTTTCGTCGGAGGTACGGAGTTGCGCAGACAGTCGCTTACTCCACTCTGCAAGGCGGGCCTGGACGCAAGAGGTATTGGGAGGAAAAGGCGAGCATTCGCGCGAATATGATTGGATACTGGTCAAATATGCACTGGCGGTCTGATAGAGGCGCCATGGCTTGGATCCCGGTTAAATGGGCCTGCGTAATTCAATCTGCAAATAAGCCGGAGTTGCGGAGTCGCGGGATGACGGAGTCGCGGAGTTGCGGAGTGAGGCTGACAGCCCAACTAACTATAGATGAGACGGCCTATAAATTCCCATCCCATCTGCACATTTTCAAAGTAATATTCACATCTCATCACAGCATCTTTCTAATATAAGAAAAGTCTACTATTCCAACAATTTTCCAAATTCAAAATGTCTCCTCCTCGCAAGGCGCTCATCAGCATCACTTCGGCCCAGGCCACACTCTTCCAAGGAAAAGAGACGACTGGACTTTTCATCAGCGAAGCTCTTCACCCATTCAAAGTTCTCACTGCTGCGGGCTTTGAAGTCGATCTCGCCTCCGAGACAGGAGAATACACTCCTGACTGGCTGTCGCAACAGCCAGACTTTCTCAATGGCGATGATCTCAAGACCTGGAACGATCACAACAGTGACTTTCGCCGAAAGCTAGACAATCTACACAAGGCCGCCGACTTAGATGTATCCCATTATGGCATCTTCTACGCCTCTGCTGGCCATGCCGCTCTGATCGACTATCCCACTGCATCCTCCTTGCAGAAAATCGCCGAGGAAGTCTGGGCAAACGGTGGTGTTGTTGCCTCGGTATGCCACGGTCCTGCAATATTTGCCAATCTTCTCGATAAAGCAACTGGAGAGCCTATCATCAAAGGCAGAAAGATTACTGGATTTACCTCTGAAGCCGAGGACACTATGGGAATCATGGCTGAGCTTCGGAGTTGGAATTCTGAGCTGGTCGAGGAAATTGCCAAACGTCTTGGGGCTACTTGTGAGTTATACTTAAATTTGAGAATTGCCCCCTTATTTCAGAGCTAATTCAAATTACAGATGAGCGTTCCGCTGGAGTTTGGGATGACTTCCACGTCGTTGATGGCCGTCTGGTGACAGGCCAGAATCCTGCCAGCGCAGCGTCAACTGCCCAGGCAGCGGTTGAGGTTTTTGAGGGTTTATGATTAAATACTTGTCAATAATTGTCGCTATCTTTTCCAATGTCGAAACATTTGCTAAAGCTTTGCTGCCCAATTCAACCGCCCAGGATATCGGCATGAATTATCGTAAAGCAATGAATTATACATGGGGCCTCTGGGTGTGGCCGTCGTAATCGAGTGAACTTACAGTAGAATTTACATGCTTTCACTATGTTATTCCAACTTGAAAGTCTCTTATATTAGTAGTTACAACTTAGTAGTATAGATCTCATGAATATCAGAACCGACTCCACCGCCGAGATGGGCCGTGCACCTCCACCCGTGACTCGCTCTGTGACTGGCTCTGCGACGATAGGACGAACATCTGACCACCCCCAGCTCACCACTGAATTGATTGGTCTTGTCACACCTGGTCCCTGCAGCCTATTGTTTGATCCTATAGGGGAGTGACAACATCCATGACCTGCCCACCATGAGTGAACAACCTTCCCCCCCCAACCGCCAAACGGGTCACAAGAGCACTCTATCCCGCCATCAGCTACTCCTGCTGAGCCAGCCACTGATTCGGCCGTGAAGCCCGAACCTGACCTTGACACTTCGATCGAACAAGATATCGACATGAATGCAGAACAGACCCAGGCCACCGGCGACGACAACGCTCCTCACCCAACGGATGCCGATCCCATGGCCGCCGCGCCGCAGCCGTCCAAGAAGGAGACCAGCTTGCGCGAGTTCCTAGGCAAGATGGATGATTATGCGCCAATAGTACGTGATTTCCTCCCGTTTCCTCCCGTTTCCTCTTCTGGGTTGGGCTATGCTACGCTGCGACCACCAGCCAAGCTACTACGTACACCCGACTACGTAGACTACCTACTACCCGCGTTATCTCACCTCGCCTCACCTCACTTCACTCTCACGCCAGCTCTCACCTAGAGAGACCTACGCGCGAAAGACATACACAGGGGCCTTCAGTCCAACAACAGCGAAAAAAATGAAGCTAACCTCCATACCAACTCTCTAGATCCCCGACGCAGTAACAGCTCACTACCTCACTCTAGCCGGCCTCCCACCCCCAGGCACCGGCCCCAATCAAACTCCACCACACCTCGCCCGCCTCCTCGCACTCGCCACGCAGAAATTCGTCTCGGACCTCGCAGCCGACTCTTACCAATTCGCCCGCATCCGCGCTTCCAACAGTTCCTCCGCCAACAACCCCATGGGCAGTTTGACAGCTGCGTCTGGTCTCGGCGGGCCCGCGGGCCCAGCGCCTGGAGGCCCTGCCGGCGGCGACAAGGGAAACAAGGGCAATACGCATCTCGGTATTCAGCGGGCTGGATTTGGAGGTGGGGGTTCGGGTGGTACGGGTCAGGGCCGGACTGTGCTTACCATGGAAGATCTTGGCATGGCGGTTTCGGAGTACGGGGTTACCGTTAAGCGCGGCGAGTTCTATCGTTGAGAACTGGCTGACTAGGGCAGACTGGGATCAGGGTTGCTTTGTGAGCGTTTCTTTATCCGCATCGCACTTCGTCCTTTTGTCTGGTTCTCATGCCTCGCCCATTTTCTCCGGTTGGGTTTCTTTTCTTATGTTACTATCTACGATGGGTTTCGGCGCTGGCGTACAAATCGGTCAAGCAGGCCGCTAACATTCGGCCCGGGCATTTTTGGATGGGAGGGAGGTTTTTTTCCTTCTGGAAATGGTGTTCTTTCTTGCTTTCTTTTCGAGTTTCGTCTTGTCATCTAGATGAGTTAGTCCTCTTAAACTATACGATCGATGTATACCATTTAAATCAGATATAAATTATGGTGAATGCATTTTTCCATGGCTAAACTCCATCCCACGAGTAGGTAATGTCACAAGGGATACCACTGATAAAACTATCTGTACACGGCACTGCGGCCAAATAAAAGAAACAAGGTGCTTTCAACAAAGCATGCCATCGATTTCCAGCCTAGATCGCTCTTCTCCACAGGGTATAAGAATTTGATTACGACTGATCTCTGCAATTTCGGAAATCCAGCCTCGAGCAATCGGGCGAAGAAGGGCGATTGTTGGCGAGAAGAGCGCATTGAAGCTGGGCCGGCGGGCACGGAGCATTGGTTTCGAGAGCCAATAAGTCTTCTTAACCGGGATGATGCCGCAATCAGGAAATTCGCTTATTTGTTCTTGGACTGCTTGTAGGTGAAGCGCTTTCGGGTCCTATATTGATTCTCCGGTTAGTTCAGATTCGGGTTGCGGGATACCCCGGGCCTGGAGATCGCTGGCCGGAGTTGGCTAACATACGCGACATATTCTCCGAGCTTGCGGCCGACCATCTCCTCTGTGATCTGAATCTCTTGGTAGGTCTTTCCGTTGTGAACAGCGAAGCGAAGGCCGACGAAGTTGGGGAGAATGGTTGCGGCGCGCTTTTGGGTGCGGATTGGGGGAGTGTTTGGTGGAGGGGGGAGGGTGCGCGGGAGAGGGAGACTGCATTGGCGGAGGTTAGTATTCCAATTCCCGGTTAAGTAAAATCATCCTCCCAGGGAATTTCATCGAGCAATGGCGGAGGGGGTGGTGCTTGGATTGACGGGTTGAACGTACGGGACAATGTTCGGGCCTGTTGGAGTGTGTAAGCAATGGGGCTCCTCCAGGATATCCGGATATTTATTTTCACTGGAAGCAGTGGAACATACCTTTCCAGACCGAGCGGCCCAGCAGAGCACGCGTGGCAAACATTTTGAGGTGCGATTGTCCGTGGTCGTGATCCGCTGAAGTTGAAACCTTTTTGGAGATTTCGAGATTACGTCAGCGTATATATCCAGCGGCTATTGGCCCGAAGTATACCCCGTATTTACTGATGTTCACTGCAGTCTATTGCTATTTCAAACTGCGCAAACTGAGGAGTGAACTTTGCTTTGTTTTGAATGCAGAAAGACCGCTTGTAAATGCATTAACTTGGCTAAATGACTTGAAGGTCTATATATAAGGAACGTTTGGCTAGGCAGAGAATTCCACACACACGCCAGCAGTTGCCAGCAACCAGCTGGGTTGATGTACTCACTGAGCCTGCGTTCACAGAGCAAGTTCCTCAAAGACCTTGACTAAGCTTCTAATCCCCATCAACATGTTTTCATCCGGCCCTTCCCCTGGGGCCCATCTGGCATGGGCGAAATCAATCACGCGGAGATCGTGGACTTTTGGTGGGTCTTCTTCGTCGTCTTCGTCAACTATTGTGGGCATCTCCATTGTCTGAGGATCGATGCTGATGTTGATGGCTGTTTGTGGGGTTCCATTGGCATCAACAAGCTCCAAGGCTTGTTCTGATATTTCGAAGCCAATTTCTTCATCGTCGTCGTCATCATCATCTTCTTCTTCCTGATCGTTTGGATCGGGGATCTTCTTTTCCTCTTCTAATGCATCCTCCATCGCTTCTGGATCGCCCTCGTAAACCACCAATACGCTGGCAGAGTACATACGACTCTCTTCAGCCTCAAGAACTTCTTGGATGTTTTTCAACTCCTTAGCCAACCGCTCAGCAACCAATTTAGAGCGGTCCACCTTGCCAACTTTGGCTCCGGCGAGGAAGGTCTCAAACCCCTGCTTCACATTCTCTTCGTTGAATGAGCGCCCATACCACTTGTCATATCTTCGGTACCCGTCCTTCTCAATGACTTCTCCCTTTGCACCCTCCGAGCCCTCGTATTTCGTAGCATACGGGTTGGTATGAGCGCCCTCATCCGTTCCACCATTTTCACCCGTCCATACCTTCATCCCAGCAATACGGTATCCCAAGGAAGAACTTGTTGTCTCCTTGGACACTGCATCCAGCTTGGTGCGTTTCGCCGGCGGAGCATCGTCCGCCCAGAGTCTAGCTCCGAGCTTGACGTCCAGCACGTTGGGTCGGCGAAACCCACAAGCGATGTTTTCCAGGACGATAGATAAGCCCGTTTCCAGCTTCTTGCCCCCGGACGGCACCCAGTGTTGTTCTAGCACGTGGCTGGGTTTGCCGGCATTTGGCGCGGCGGGGCCCCCCTCCGCTTGGGCTTGGGTGGGGGGAGCAGCTGAGGGCTCAGCAGGGCCAGGAACAAAGTGAGCGCCCGTTTCCTGGGCGGCAGCAATCGCCAGTGGCTCTTGCTGATCAGCGGACGAGAGCGTTCCCAGGAAGAGGGGCATGAACTCTTGGAAGGCTTTGTGGAGTGTACTCGATTCGTAGAACTCGATCTCCTGTTTCGTGCAAGGTTTCGCGATCATGTAGCCGGAATGGGTGCAGCGGACACCCTCACTAGAGGAAGAACGGATGACGTTAGCTCAAAGAACAAAGGTCAAGAAGCTTCCAAGCATATCTCTGGCCAGAAAGCTTAGCTTGTAGCTGGCCCTGATCGCCCATGTAGGACCGTTGACCCGTTGGCGGCAAGCTTTCGGGCGGTCGCGTGGACATCGGATAAGTCGGGGAAAGGCGAAACTTACTGGCCCGCAGCAACATGATCGAATGGGACCAAATCATCGCTGCCCAGCTGTGGCGTCTTGCGACTGTCTAGTTTCGAAGCGGGCATTGTGATGGAGAGGTCAGAACTGAGAAACCAAGTGATTCGGGGTCTGGTTCAGTCGTCTGCCGGATGACTCAACAAGCAAAGCTGAACGGTACTAGGAGTAACTTGAACCAAAGTCGAAAGAAGATTTTGTAGGGTGAAGGGTCAGGAACAGGAACAGGAACAAGAATGGAAAATCCGGGGTATAAATAAATAATTGTATCCACCTGGGCAGCAGATGGATGGGAAATGAAAGGCCGATCGGATGTCAGCGCTTCCACGAAGCCGGTTTCTAGTAATCTCGACCGTGCCAGTGACACCGTGCGACTCAGACCGGGATGTGTTGACGATTCTTTGGCTACTAGGCAGGATATTATAAGTAGTATTGCAAGTAAATGTCAACTAAAATAGGTATGCTTTTTAGATATAAGTAGGAACTGCCAGTGGTTAGCCTTGAAATACTAGTACTACGTAGTACCATAGTGATTCAAGTTTAAGAGATATATCACCACTGGTATCTCATCTCCAAAATATACCTCAACACAACATCATGCTATTCAAGTTACTTTGATACTACTAGTAGTACCTAGTATTAATAGTAGTAGTAGTAGTAGTAGTAGTAGTGATTAGTAAGGACTGTCCATAAGTGGTAAACAACTTGAAAACAAACAGGAAGGAACCACCCAAGCAGAAGCAGAAGCAGGCAGCCTGAGGGCACCGGTTTGCTCCTGCCTCACCAGCATCAACAACAACTTCTCCTGGGGGCGCCTTCCTCCAGGGTTCTTTCTTTCTACCTACCTACCTAGGTAGGTATCCTTCAACTTCTTTTTCTTTTTTCTTTTTCTTCCTCTCATAATCTCTCTTTGATCTACCATCACTCTTCATCAACATCGCTCTCTCTCTCATCTACTATCCTGATCGTCATTTGAATCATACACCAATCGCAACCTCGATCTCTAGCTCAAGATGGGAAAATCCAACTACAAGCGGCCAAAGAGCCAGCGCGGATTGGTCAGTATACAAAAACTCCAGAGCATCGTAAGAGAATACCATTAATCCATTCAAACAGTACAAGCCCACCGGCTTTGAGGAATACAGTGCTGATGGTCCAATCACTCCAGCTGAGCATGAGGAACTGTCCAAGCTTTACAATCCGTAAGCCAGCCCACCCACTCGCCTAGTAAGACCAAGACTGACACTTCAATTTAGGACCCGTTCATTCATTGAGTTTGTACTTTCACTCACACCTGGGACTTGCAACCTCTAACCATTCCACCCAGTCGATTCGAAGATGCCCTCATGCGGTTCCAACACAAGCGCCGGATCTTCCCCGACAGATTGAACGTATTTCACAAGTATTTGCAGTACGGCGGTGTCAGTGCTGGCCCAAATTATGGTACCGGAGTAAGTGCCAAAGAGGTGAAAGGAATGACCGAAGAGGAGGCCATGCAAGCTCGAACCCAGACCGCGGTTGAAAAGTCCCGAGAGAACCTGAATCTACATATCAGCTTCAATGAAGTCGCCAAAGGTTTCCTGTGAGTGATCTGAGATTTGATCGATATTTCCCTGTCAGACTTGTACCGCGTCCTAATTCAGCACAGTGGCTCGTTCTTTGTTACACACTTCAATCCAGAACGCCAAGCGGACATTGAACTTGCAACGGTTACGCTGAGAAATTTTTACACCTATCTTCTCTACCATGATGTTTGTCCCGAATACCAGGATGACCTCGAACAAGCACGAAAGACCTGCGACCTCGCTGCCATTGAACTCTTGAAGAGCATGCATCTCGTTCACAAAGCTCCAGGGGCCTTCAATCGCTGCTGTTCAATGCTGTTCGGCGGATACCATTTTGCTTCAGAGTGGGAAAACACTCCAGCTGATGGTCTAAAGAGTGGGGACGAGAAGTCTGACCAGATTGCCCGCAAAGTGGTCAAGTATGCTATTGCAGGAGCCGGTTCCAACGAGCAAGCTTCCCGGTTCCAGGAGTTGGTCCACCAGAACTTGGTTTCTACTATGAAGCTCGAGGACATTGACGGCTTTGAGATCCTCGAAGTGATTCAACCTGATGATGCCACCCGCGAATTTTACCAGCAAACTGCACCAGACCTGGTTCCAGTGGGCAAGATCCACGCTAAGTCCTACCGCGACCCGGCGAATCCAGACATCGACATGTCTCCAGATGAACGTGCGGAGTGGGACAAAGGCAATGGTCCTGCTTATGTCTTTGAGTTCTTCCTTGAACCTGAGCTTCTCGAGTTCTGCTACCCTGGATTGAAGATCATCACTGGTATCTGGGAAATCAACTGTGGTGTCTACTACTTCGACGAGATCATGTCGACATTGCCCTCGTTCTACACCTTGATCGCCAATGACCTGATGTTGCACTGGAAATGGCCAAAGGACCTGTCAAATGAGGATAGCAAACAGGAGGATGCCATAGAGCAATCTGCTAGGGAGGCAGTGGAGCAGTATCTGAAGGCTAATGATCCGAACAATCCCACTGACACTACCGTGATGGCAGGAGTCTCTGACAAAGTCTTGAAGAAATGCAAGGAGCTGACTGGCATAGACAATCTCAAGCTGGCAGGTCCGCCAAAGGAAAAGACTGGAATGGCAGATTCGGACTCGGAAGATGATGAGCTTTAGTGGTCTGGAATTTCTTCTTTAGCCCAGGGATTTTATTTCTTCCTTCTTTCCGTGGAATGAGCTGGCGTTGGTGGGGGAGAAGGGAGATGGAATAGAGTCCAACGAAGTACGAAGTTATGAATCTTGATTTCCAAGATTTCGGCGCTCCATAGCGGCAACCGGCTCAGTAGTAGTTACTGATTTTAAGGAAGGGATTTGTGGCCTAGGGTACTATCTCAATACACAGATCCGTACTAAGCATGCTCAGCGATATTGAACTACTTCATGGTCATCTCAAACTGTCCTCGCAGACCTACTACAGTGATGTTCCAAAGGTTTGAAACTGATCTCTGCCTTCCAAAGGAGAACATAGCTACCAGTCTGCCATTAGAAGGTGGTCGATAATGGTGGGCAATAGGAGGGTTCAAACCATTGCAACACCACTGTAGTACTACTACTACTAGTACTGATACGAATACCGTTATGGAGGGCCGCACAAGATTCGATACCTAGTACTATGTATTCATGGAAACATTCTCAAATAAAATCACCTTCATATCCCAGTGTCATGCTTATTTTCTCAAGTTAAAGACTCGGTTCAATGTTTTTACATATTACGGCTTCACAAGAGGCTTGCCTGTGGTTTTTCTCCCCTCCAGATCCTGTTTGACTGTCAATAAAGTTCTCCATGAAATAAGGGTGATTAAATTACTCACATTGTGAACCTGGGCGATATCCTCCAAGGGATAGATCTTATGGATCTTCGTCTTGAGTTGACCGGAGCTGAGCAGACTGAAGAGCTCGTTGGTGTAGAACTCGAACTCCTCGCGGGTCTCGATGTAGCCGAAGAGAGTGGGACGCGCAATCTTCACACACTTAGGAGAGAGTTTGCTGCATATACCATTAGTATCACCGTGGGAAATAATTTCAAAGAATGGAAGATACTCACGGCAGAGGAATAGGAGGAACAGGACCGCTTGCATTGCCAAACCAGACAATCGTGCCCTTGCGCTTGACAGCTTCCAAGCTGCCTTCCCAAGTATCCTTGCCGACAGAGTCGTAGACGACGTCAACTCCCTTACCACCCGTAGCATCCTTGACCAACTTAACCCAGTCTTTACCCTTTTCGCTGCGGTAGTCAATCACCACATCCGCACCAAGAGACTTGACCAGGGCGCACTTCTCCGGGCCACCCGCAGTACCAATGACTTTGGCGCCGATCGTCTTCAGGATCTGCGTCATGAGGAAACCAGCACCACCGGCCGCAGCGTGCAAAAGAACCCAATCGCCCTTCTGCACCGGGTAGGTCTCCTTAACAAAAGCGAGGACGGTCAATCCACTCAAGAAGGAAGCCATGACATCCTCATCGCTCAGACCATCGGGGATTTTCACGGTCTTAGCGGCCGGCGCGGCGGTATACTCGGCATAGCCTTGGGTGGCCAACCAAGCAACACGATCGCCGACCTTAAAGCCGGATGTATTGGGACCGAGGGCTTGGACAGTGCCAGCGCCCTCACGCCCGAGAATCTCCGGTTTGGGAGAGGCGTACAGACCAGTACGGAAATATGTGTCGATGAAGTTGACACCGGAGATGTTGTTCTTCACCAAAAGCTGGCCCTCCTGCGGGGTGGGAACTGGGTGAGAAGTCCTCAGTTCTAGGACCTCGGGGCCACCGGTCTTCTCGACCACAATGGCCTTCATGGTGGTGGGGATGGACATGTTGCGGATGGACACGAATGGCCGGAGAGAAACTGGTGTGAATTGGCTGTGAAGAGCAGCGAGACGAAGAGTGGTTCGAGGGAGAGCAGAGAAGAACATGGCAAGTGGGGAGGGAAAACGAGGGAGGTTGAATAAGTACTTATTACTCGTAGATTGTTATTTACTCAGAGCTTCAATTTGTCATCGCCCTCCCCGCATTTAAGCTCCACGGCGGAATGCCGATGACGAATCCTTATCCTCTCACAGACCTCTCTCTCTCAACTTCCAAGGCTAATATATCATCTTGTTGCCCAAAACAAACCCAGAACAAACCCAGATAGAAACGAATTGCACACGGCACTCCCGACTTGAACTGCTGCTCGTCCACTCCGTACAATTGGCCCTCACGGATGCCGTGCCGAGTTCTCGGAGCATCCGAATGTGGGGACTTGACGCCCTTCCGTCGGAGTTGGAAAGCAATCGGATCCAATGACAAGCGCTCCCTGGCGCCGGCACTTGCAGTACCACTTCGACTGCATTCAATTGATGGGTGATGCCTGTCATGTGCTATACTACACCTTGAATTATTGTGGCCGAATGATGAGCACCCGCCAACCATCATAGCCGCTGATGCCGATCTCAAACAAACACTGCAGCCATGAATCGATCATGTGGAACGCGATGGTGGCATGATCACCTTCTTGGTCCCCTGCGAAGGCCAACCTCACGCTCGCACTCGCCTTTGGGTGCTTCAACGGCCCATTGACAGCCCATCCAGAGGCGATGCAAGCCTCACCCCCCTCCAAGATGGAGCTGAGCCACCTCCGTCAGACTGGCTGCAGCCAAAGGTTGGCTCAGTTGGCCCGGAAAGACTAGCGCCGACTGTACGATCCATGCTTTCACTCTGAATAGTACCAAGACCTATACCCTGTCTTGATGTTAAGCGGCAGTTGATACAGAATGAGACACCCACCTATCCTCTCGTTGCGCCCTCACTTCGATTCTCTCAAACATTGAAAATCCCGGCGCGACGCGCAGAGGGTATTTTGAATATTCTTTTGGTCCCTGGACCGTTAGACTTGGGCGATAAATTGAAACGAAACCCATTGAGAAGTCGACGAGGCGTCCCCCGCATGCCCTTTGTGCCCAATAGTTGGCAAGGCCTGGAGTAGCCACGAAGACTCGACTTTTGTTTAGACCAGTCGCTCTTGTGATGCCCCTTGTTTACAATGATCGCTCTGCATCACTCCGCATGGTTTCTTTGCTTCAGCCTGATGCTATTTTGGGGGTGATTCGTCCACTTTCGCCCAATCGACACTGCGGCCCTATCAGCGATCCCCGGCCCAGTATGCTGCCCGATCTTATTTGGCCACTAATTTATATACCCCGGCCAACCCAAGTACACATTTTTACTCTGACCTTTGTTTACTCGAAAAATTTTTTCACTCCCGCCCGAGCCTCATTGTGCGACGACTTTTTGTCTTCTTTCACTGCCCAACTTGTTCCCTACTTAAGACTATGAGCCATTCTTCTCGACAGTCCTCACCAAACCTCATCGTACCCGGCTAGCATATTTTACCAAACACCGACTGATTGGTCTATGATTGAAATTTATTCCTCACACAATGCGCCCTTCTCGAAGCAGTGTTCCATCTGCTCGAAAGAGCGCACCGATTATACAAGGCAACCTTCCTCGCCGTTGGCCTCCGCGACCTTGTGCTGAAGAGGAGCCAGCTTCTCTCGCCAAAGAACTCCATGGTCTTTCGAAAATTGGCGAAAGACCCGGTGTTGAGGGTATCCGCGAAAGAGGTGCTGTTGACCAGTACCCTATCATCGTTGGATTGAACACCGCTCCCGTATCGACATCGATCCCGCCCAGCATCCCCAATGTGCCTGGACTAGGCAACGTTTCTTCAGATGAGAGCTCTGGACCTGCGACGCCCCCGCCCCGAGCTCCTTCGGCTCAAGGACCTCCATCTCGCACAGCCCCGGTGCCTCGCCCTCAGTCCCCTGTTTGTTCGCGACCCCAACAGGGATTGGCCTCATCCACATCCAATAATTCCCGAGGTCGACCACAAGCGGAAGTCCATCAGCAACCTGCTCGCGACGCAAGTATGTATTTGCCACGTCGATCTCGCTCCCGTTCTCTCTCGCGAGCTCCAATTCCTCCCCAGGAGGATGCGCCAGTATTTATCGCTCCCCACAAATCGCGAGGCGAGAGACCCGAGCGACCTCGATCTCCGTCTCGGGGCCCAGTCTACGAAAGGACTTCGTCGCGCTCCTCAAAATCCTCAATTGGCCGGTCCAACAGTGCACGATATAGAAGTTCAGCTCCTCGATTTGGACCCAGTCAACGCCAACGAGAAAATTCGGGATATCTTTCTGACTCGGCCACTATACGGAGTCGAAACTCATCCTCATCTGGCTCTACAACACAAACAAAACCAACTATTGGTCAGTTCACCGGCCTTTCGGTTGCAGAGAGACTTGAAGAGAAACTTCAGCTTCGACGAGAAATGCGAGAGCGGCAGCAAGATCATGGCGAAGCGGCATCGTTTTCGGATACAGAAATTCGCCCTAGGGTATCCAGAGTGAAGCCCCTCGTGTCGGCTGGACCACCCTCAGTCGTGGGACCCATACAGTATCCGCCTCCTCTTGAGCCAGATCGTGGCCCAAACTTCCGTACAAATGATCGACCTCCAGTCACACGCTCACGAACAACCTCTGTGAGTGCAGTCGGGCCGCCGCCCTCTCGATCAGCTTCCACAGCGCGCAAGACATCGAGGTCGGGCTCTACCGACGACGGAACGCCAGCGACACGCTCACGAGCAACCTCATCGGCTTCGGTTGCACCCCCGCTCGCTCGATCAACTTCCACGGTACGCAAGGAATCGAGGTCAGCCTTGACTGACGATGGACCACCAGCCACGCGCTCACGAGCAACCTCATCGGCTGCGCTTGCACCGCCGCCGTCTCGATCAGCCTCCATGACGCGCAAGGTGTCGAAGTCAGTTTCATCTGAAGATGTCCCACCAGGTCCTAGAATATCATCTCGACCACCAGCATCCGTCAAGTTCCAGGAGGAGCCCACGTCAAAGCCCGTTTCGTCTCAATCCATAACCACCCGTCAACCAAGTCCTCCCCAGAAGCCTCCAGCTCCCGTGGGACTATGTCTCACTCCATGCCCTCGCTCCACCCCCGTGGCAGGCCACCAGGATTGGTATACCCTCAAAGGGCTGACACACCTGGAAATCTGTCCAACTTGCATGAGCCAGATCGCCCACTCTCGTTACCGTGACTTCTTCACCCCAAGCCTATCCAAGCCCCCGAACCAAGCAGTCCGCTGCGCTTTCTCCAACGCCTGGGTTCGTTTGGCCTGGACACAAATGATCAAAAAGCAACACGACAGTCTCGAAATGCTCTACCAGATGACCCGACCACCCCCAGGAACGCGCCCATGCCCTGGCCGAACCATCACCGACCAAACATGGCACCGCGTCATCGACCCAGACACCGGCCTTTACCTACCGCGCTTTCAAGTCTGCGGCACATGCGCGCGAAAGGTTCGCATCTTAATGCCACCTCACCGCGACACATTCCACCACTGTCCCGAACCTTCAGAGCGAGTCTGCGACTTCGTCACGAACAGCCCGCGTTTCGTGCAATTCATCGACCTACTTGACAGCGCCGCGACACGCGCAGAACTAGACCCATCTCGTCGACCCGACACGCGCGAATTTCTCTCCTACGCACGGCGCAAGGTTGTCCTGCGTGATTGTCGACGCGATCGACCGACGATGAGTACATGGCATTATATCCCCGCTTTGCCAGAACTCAGTGTCTGCGAAGACTGTTACGATGAAGTTGTCTGGCCTCTTGCTAAGAATAATCATTCCATTGCGCGCATGTTCTCTACATCTATGCGTTTACTTCCGGGCGATGGGCCGAATCGTTGTCGTGAAGCGACTTGTCAGTTGTACTCGGCTCGAGTAAGGGCTCGATTCCGGGATGCGGTGTTGAAGGGGGATTTCCCGGCTTTAAAGAGTGTTGCGTTGAGGAGATTCGAGGCTGAGCAGAGGTTCAGGGATCGGAGGGAGGAGCTGCTTATTGCTGAGAAGAGGGGGTATGATTGTGATGTGGAGATGAAGAAGGCTGTTGATGAATGGCGGAGGTGGGAGTGATGAATCGATGGATGGGATCGATGGATGGGCTTCAGGATGTCTGTTGAAAAATGTATCATCTTTTGTATGTTTCAGTTGGCAGTTGTATGCTCGTCTCTTAATGTATAATGAAATTCCCATGGGGCCTGGGAATTAAGGACATTGTCTGGTTAGAGTCACAACCGAAAAGGACTAGTCTCGTATACCCTCTTTTTGTAAGCACCATGAATAAAGTAGGCCCCGAAGTCTTACAAGATCTTTGGGTTGCGATCCAGCCGTGTTGTCATTGTAGAAAGACATTCACCTGGGCAACATGGTCCAGCCATCAGGTGCGGCGCTCCATAGCGGCAACCGACTTAGCAGATCAGTCAAGGCAATTTAAGCTGACCGTCTCCTAGATTCTATGCTATAGACTAGACAAGAATATCTACTAGTAGTATAACCCGCCTTCAAGGAAACTATTTGATAACTTGAAGATCCATAGCGTCTAATAATTAGCTAGTACCTAATATAGTACTGTAGAGCACTGAACCTGATATTAAGAACCTTAGAAGCTATCAATAAGTGTCCTCGGCTAGGTACCAGCTAGCTACTAGTTTGCCATTAGAAGGCAGTCAAAAAGAGTGGGCAATAGGGGAGTACCGATATTCATGCCTCAGGCATGAAGATCGCCTCTAAGCATTCATTCACCTTCCTGTTTCAGTAGTCTGGTGTTCCTCTCCTCTCTCCTCTCCCATCACCACATTTCTGATCATCCGGTTCCTTCCTAGCCTTTGAATTTTCTTTATGTTCAAGGGAGCAGCTAATCTTGAACCGACCTTTCCATCATTTCATCATGGGAACTCGAGGCCTTGAGATAGTGCGCTTCCACGGGCGTTACTACATTCGCTGGCATCAGTTCGACAGCTACCTTGAGGGTCTTGGGGCCAATATTATCGCGAGAATCCCACCCGACCCTGAGGAATACCAAGGTATGTCGAGAGAAATGATCCGTCCCTTGCGCTTATACTAACGATTTGCAGAATGGCTCGATTCGATGCGCGCCATGTATGCAGACAGGGAAAATGCCCTTGAAGATAACGTCTACGAGATCCGCGACGGCGTTAAACCGGACTCTTCGCTACTAAGCGAGTTCGTGGGTGTCCCTTCCGATATGCCCACCCTGGATCACTGGGTTGAGTTCATTTACATCATCAACCTCGACAACGAAGTCCTTACAATCAACGACAGCGTACACTGGAAGTTGGGGAATATCCCTCGCCGGGATGACCTGTGGCGTCATGCCATTGTGAAAAGCATCTATTCGAATGAGCTGACCATATCCCTCGACATGTGCCCAGAAGAGCATATCGCCTCGCCAGGTTTGGGAATTCCTGAGCGGAACAAGGAAACCAACTACGGCTTTCACCTCGTAACCCCGAAGATGGACCTTGCGGACATGGGGAAAGCGATCCTGACACACCTGTTGGCTAGCACGATTGTTCAATACAAGCGGATGATCCTCAGATTTGGGATGGAGTGGAGCCCAGACTCGTTTCCCTTTCGCGAGTTGGTATTTGCTCTCGTCTCAATTGCGTCTGGTCAGGCCAAACTCCACATGTTTCCTGCGGAGGAGTGTAATCCTCGAAATTGCGCACACCCCACATCATTTCTCTGCCCTTCGAAGCACTTACACGAATGGAATGGATGGCTTGCCAAAGAGTTGGCTGGCGACAACGGCCCGTTGCTGGAATTTGGCTTCCCCTTCCATCGACCGGGCGAGCCTTCAGGTGTGTCGCCCACGGAGACTATGTACTGGTTCGACGACGTGCTTGTCAGCCTTTCACTGGTAGTTGATGATGAGGCCATCATGAAGGCCGTTACTTGGGCCATCGAGCAGGGACGCGCCAACTTCCAGATCGTCATACTATCGCTCTTTGAAGCGGCCTTTGCGGAGGTCTCCTCTGGCAATGACGAGCAAATTTTTGTTAAAGCCAGTGGTGCAGTCAATCTTTCGCCTATTCGTGCAGATTATTCTCTGTGCACACACCCGCGCATGCGACCAGAGCGGAAGCCAGGAATGAAGAAATGGGAACGTCGAGGGAAAGTCATTATGTGGTCAAACTGCACAGCGTCAAGGCAAAGACTCCAAAGCCATTTCCCCGGAGCCGCAGCGCTCGTCAACTTCTTCGACGTCGCCGCGAACCGTCGAGCAGCATCTAAACCATCAGGAATTTTTCCGACGGAGCTGTATGAACGGATTCTGGACGTTGTCGACTATAATACATGGAACAACTGCTTGCGAGTGTCAACAATCTTTCGTGCCTTATGCCTTCGCAAGTACAGGCTTGATGATCGGATGAGGATTGTGGCAGGCCCCTTTGTGAGGCTACAAAAGGAGACTGGCTATGGAAGCGAGTATTTCTATGAGAAGGAGTCTCGCTATAAAGAGGACACTCGATTTAACAAGGAGCGTCTGACATCCTTCAGCTTCGAAAATATGCGAACTGGCGAGGTCCTTCCAATGATGCGGGTTTCTCAGGGTGAACACAAATACACGGAAGAGTACAGGTGGATGCCAATCATTGGTAGCGACCGAAGAGCGCTCATGATAGACGTATCTATACAGTTTGTGCCAATGGAGGATATGCCAGTGGAGGATGTGCCAGTGGAGGCCGACAGTGATACCCCAATGGAGGATGACGGCGATGTTTCCGTGAAGGCTGACAGTCAGCCAGGGGAAGCTTACAGATATGAGGACGATGAAAGTGACATAGCGGATGCGGACAATAACGATTCTGTCGAGGATGAAAATGAGCCAGAGCCAGAGCCAGAGCCAGAGCACGACGACGAGTATCTCCCAGTAGAGGAAGAGGAAGACAGCGAGGATGGAAGCGCATGAAGTCTTCTGTCAGATGCCGCTGGCGTAGGCTGGAAGAAGCCTGACTAGATAGGTCTGCCATATTATGCTATCCAATCTGCCATAGGCACTGAAAAGAATGAATTTCATTATCACTATTCATAGAGTGGTGTTGCAAAGGTTTGAAACCGCCTGTTGACCGCCCTGATCTCTACCTTCCCGGGGGAACAAGCAGCTACCTGAGATGGAATGGATTGGCCCTGATGACCTTGCGCTTATCGAGCGCCCTAGATGTAATATCTACTAGTATACTGTACACATCCCGTAGATACATTCATAGCGGCAACCGGCTATCTCGTAGTTTAACATGTGATCTTTTTGATCCTCAGTTAGTATAGGGTATATAAAAAGACATTTTTTAGCTGCTTGTGCAGAAAACGATGTAAAATTTCAGTTAAAACACAGACTGGAATATCTACCCCATACACCTATTTAGAAAGATGTACACGAACTGTCTTGACTTCTGTATAATTCTCAAGAGCATATGATCCTAGCTCTCGACCGATTCCGGATTCCTTGAAGCCACCAAATGGCATTTGATAGTGAAGAGTGTTATAGTTATTCACCCAAACAGTTCTGTAAATCTGGATCAGTTATCTTCGGTTGATATTGTTAGAAATAAAACATACCCTGCTTTAATGGCATTCGAGACTCGAATTGCGGTGTTTATATTTGTGGTGTGAACAGCTGCCGCAAGACCTAAAGCCAGTATATTAGGTTAGCCAAGTTTAATTGTAGTTAATTCGCTGGATTTATTACCGTAGTTTGTCTCATTGGCCACCCGAATGGCTTCCTCCTCATCTCGGACCTTCTGTACAGTGCAAACGGGTCCGAATATCTCTTCTTTAACAATCGTCATGTTCTCATCGACATCGGCGAAAATCGTAGGCTGGATGTAGTATCCCTCATTCCCATGCCGTTTACCTCCTGTGATGACTGTTGCTCCGGAACGTTTTCCATCTTCAATATAGCCCATGACTCTGTCGTATTGTATTTGGGACACCTGAGGGCCTTGGAAAGTCTCGGGGAGAAATGGATCACCGACTTTGTTTTGCTCTGCTCGTTTCTTGAAAAGCTCCAGAAACTGATCATAGATAGATTCGTGAACAAGGATTCGAGAACCTGCACAGCAACACTGTCCATGATTGAAGAATATTCCTAAATTCACCCAACCAATTGCATCTTCAAGATTGGCATCAGGCAGGATGATATTTGGAGATTTACCCCCTAATTCCAGGGTCACCTTCTTCAAATTGCTATTCGCAGCCTCTCGCAGGATTTGGCGACCGACCAAAGTTGATCCGGTAAAAGCAACTTTGTCGATTCCCATATGAGCAGCGATCGCTGCTCCCGCTGTTCTCCCGAATCCTGAAATAACGTTCACAACACCGGCAGGAAAGCCAGCTTCCTTAATCAGAGAAGCCACGTAAAGTGCCGATAGAGGTGTTTGTTCCGCAGTCTTCAAAACGACGGTATTTCCAGTGGCAAGGGCAGGGCCGATTTTCCATGCAAACATCAACAGTGGAAAGTTCCATGGAATAATCTGACCACAAACACCCACTGGTTCATGACGGGTATAGGTCAAACTATTGGTATCAGTATCAATAGTTTGACCATATATTTTGTCGGCCCAGCCCCCATAATAGCGAATACATCCCGCCGATGCTGTGACATCTCCCTTTGCCATGGTAACTCCTTTACCATTATCAAGAGCTTCGATCGCAGCCACTATTTCGATATCGCGTTCGAGAAAGTCCGCGAGGCGGCTGAGAAGGCGACCACGTTCAGATGGGGTGACATGCTTCCACTCGCCATCCAGAGCCGTGCGAGCGAACTTCACGGCTCTGTCGACGTCCACTTCAGTACCCTCGTGCACTGCAACAATAGGCTTTTCATTATGAGGATTGATTGTCTCGAATGTTTTCCCTTCGACTCCTTTGACGAATTCGCCATTGATGAACCTGAATCACTTATTTTAGTATCGTGCATAACCGGACGAAGATGTTCGCGAATACATACAGGCCTAAAGGCTGTTCATACGTAAGAACTGGTGTCTTGATTGTTTGAAACAAGGCCATTTCGGATAATTTTAGAACTTTGAGAGCGAAAAGTGGGAGTGTGGTTGTCTGAGAGTCAATGACTTATGATAAAGGCCAATGGAAGAGATTCGGTCGAGGGAGTGACCTCTATTTATGTGATCTGAACAGCGTTCATGTGAGATGGTCCGGGGAGCAACTTCCCTGAAGGAGCTAAGATCCTTACTTCCTATAGGCCAGCATATCACGCTTATTCCTTGAACTCTGATCAGAGCGGCTCCGCATTACTAGATCCATTTCCCCGCAAAATTATCCCCATTCCAAGCTCCTTATACCCGATACGACACTAAGCTTTGGGGGATACACCAATTCGAAATCTCGCTACCAATTATCAAAACCTCTGGACCTTAATCCGTATCCCCGAATTGCCTTTTACCAGGTGGCTTGGAATTTACCGGCGAGAAGAGGAAGATAGTCTCCCAAAAGATGATGAGATCAGAAGGATCTGGCGGCGGAGGCAGGTGAAGTCAGAAATATCACTCGCATCATTACTATATTGTAGAAATTTCCTGATTATTCATGATACCGCATATATAGGTGGGATAAATAGAACTTTTTCGAATTCTTATGGATTTAAATTCTTCAGATTGATGGCGATGTGGTCATATTAAGGCGTCCAAGGGTTGGAAATCGGGCGGTGCATTTTCTTTTAGATAATCAGAACTGGAATGCTACAGAACTCTTGCAATAAATTATGAAGATCATATAAAAAAATTCTTTCATTGGTGATATAGAAATTCCCAATAGCCCTGGGTAATACCAAATACAGCCCCCTCTCCAAAGTCAACATCCTAATACACCACATCCCACGTTTCGTCTGCCAAGAAAGAATACCATTTCACCATCCTACTCTGGCATTTCAAGAACATATCGACCTGCAATCTTTCCCTGTTCTACTGATTATTAGCACTCTCGCCAAAAAGTAAAGGTCGATAACAAACACATACCCATCAGTTCGAAAATCTTCGGGAGATCCTTGAGAGGGGCCAGCTTGAATGGGGCTTTGATCAAGCCTCGTGCGAAGAAGTCGAGAGCTTCCACACCATCTTGCTTATTTCCAACATAGCTTCCCTTGATACTGATCATGCGAACAACAGTGTTTATAACTGGGGCCTTCAGGTACGCATCTGGTGGCAATCCTATAGCTATGATCGTTCCACGGGAGCGGACATATTCAGTAGCCTGTTGGAAGGGCTTTTCGGAAACTGCCAAGAGGATAACCGCATGAGCTCCGAGGCCATCGGGAGTTGCAGCCTTTACATCAGCAACAAGGTCCTTGGACTTTGTAAAGTCAACATAAGTCTAGTGTAAATTAGCATCAATCTGTTCTTGTGTTGGAGTGTCAGGCCGTTGTATTAATTACCTCAGTACCGAGCTGCTCACACATGGCTTTCTTTTCATCACCTCCATCTACCGCCACTACTCTGATTCCCATGGCCTTAGCATACTGCTGAGCAAGGGACCCAAGACCACCTCCAGCTCCAACAATTGCAACTGTCTGACCGGGACGAACTCCGGATTCCTTCAGGCCCTTGTAGACGGTAATGCCGGCACAGAGAACTGGGGCAGCTGCATCCAGAGGAACACCCTTCGGGATTTTTGAGGCATGAGTAGCCTTACCAACAGCGTACTGCTGGAAAGTCCCATCCACAGTATACCCAGAGAGCTGTGCATGGGCACACAATGGGTCGTCTGATTGACGGCAAAATTCACACTCGTTGCACGATCCATTCAACCATTTGATACCAGCGTGGTCACCAATTTCAAATCCTTCGACCAAAGAGCCCTTGGCTACAACCACTCCAGCACCTTCGTGTCCTCCCACCAAAGGCATTTTGACCGGAATCGGCCAATGGCCCATCATGGCATGCAAGTCGGTATGGCAAACTCCAGTATAGCGAATTTTCACAAGAATCTGATCAGGACCAGGCTTTGGAACCGGAATTTGCTTGTACACCAGTGGACCTCCAACCTTCTCGGCCACTTGCGCCCATTGAATCTCGGGAATGGACATGATTATATGTTCCTAGAATGAATCGGCAGAAATTGTATGTTGAGAATGAGCTGATAAATCAATCTTTAATTGAATGAGATTTTTGTATCTTCATCGCAGCGTGAAAGGAATACTTAAATAGTTGGCCTACAGTGCCGAAAAGGGCATCGGTGATCGGAGAAAATGAGCGTCGATCTAGGGCCTCCTTTCGCGCATCACCTGTAATTTCGGCGAAATATGCCGGGCAAGCGGATCCCATCATGCGAGAATGTATACTTGGCATGGTTTCAAGTTATCAAGAGGACTTCGCAAATGATTCCTTTCGGAGCTTCGCCGGATGTTTTCATGCGGGGAAAGTTTTGCGGGGTTGGGCGCACGGGCCCCGTGCGGCTCCGCATGAATCACCAACGAAACGCCCGAGTTCGACCTCCAAAACTCCACAACTTTTGATTTGGGGCAATCTGTCACCGGAGGACCCTTTGGGAATCGCAGCCGCTAATTCCAGATTTAATTTCAGTTTCTTGATGGGCAATAACCAAGATACCCAAGGTGATGGCATTGATTTTCGACTTGTGTGAAGTCTTAGCCTAAGCTACATTGGGGGTCACTTGTTTTAGGAAGTTACTTTTTTGAGGGAGAGAAGGAATGCATTGGAATCCAGATTTCTCTTTGGATATAACTATTTGCTGTCTATCTCGGCCATTCGTCTTTCCGGTTCCCTCTAGATGAAAAATGTACTCGACCAGCCACTTTTGATAGCGAACCCGAAATTTGTTGTGTTGTGGTTTATGTCGCAGGAGCTATCTTCATAACCGCCTCCGTCAAGCTCTGAAGTAGAAATTACTGCCATGGTAGACGATAGGCCCAAGCCATCACGAAATATCTCTCCGGATGAACTGTCTGGGATATCTTTTTCCACTGGCCTCTTCGGTGTATCACGGATGGATAGCGGGGAGATATGCAGCTTTTTGTTAAAATCTGCTTCATCATATCTCGATTCCAGAGGAGCCCCTAGCTTCCATGAGCTACGCAAGTCCGTATATGGAAAACTGTTGTGAAGCACTTGAGGATCCACAAACTCCACGGGGTTGTTTCCGAGCGACTGCCTTCTATTTTCGTGGAGGTCTTCTTTCCAATTCGATTCGGAATGGCTATGTTTATCTCTAGCTAAGTTTAGTATAAAACAGAAGATAACTCTTTTCCGGTAAGCACATACCGACTTGTAATGTCTATATCCAAGTATTGCTGGGGTTGAATCGCCTGGGGATAGGGAGTGGTCGGATACAGTTGGCCAGTAATAACTTTGATAGATGAATCGCACATGTACTTCGGAAGTTTGCGACTACCATCAAAACAGCTGAGAGGTATTCCACGCTTTATGCATTGCTTGCATGGCCTTTCGTTTCCTGTTTTCGTTTTTTATTAGAATACTTCAAGTAAGCAACATTACGATCGAGCTTACCGCATGTTTTATGTGACTTTTGACACTTTGAACATGATCTCCTTGCCTTTTTCCGGCGGTGTATAGTCTCCTCGGAACTCATACTTGTGTTGCCCCGACAGCACGCTGGCCGGGAGAACGATGTTTCACTTTTCAATTTTGGATCGCACAGGACAGAGAAGGAAATTGCATACGGGCTATTTGCATTCACCGCTGAAAGCCCTTCCACAAAAGAAAGAAAAAAGAAAAGAAAAATCTGGCCTCAAACTTTGTATTCGTTCGTCTTAAGACACAGGTCGCAGCTGTCGTTTGAAGAACGCTTGGGAGACGCTCCAGCTAGTAAGTGACCTCAATCTCTTCGAGCTGGATACCACACATGGTATAAGTACTAGTGGATATAATTCAACCTCTCACCTGACATTATGAGAGGAACCTTCTAATGTGGTGGTGGGGAAATGCGGATAATTCTTCCCTATTAGAAAATTGGACTACGCCGTACACTAACATTGGTTCCAAGGTTAGTTCAAGTCCCATACATCGCGACTCGGAATTACTAGTTTCGGCTGTAGTGAGATTAAGGAATGCCTAAAGTGCTAAGGGATAGTAATATTCACGGTAGAAAAAGTAAATGTGTAACGTCATTGATTATTGTGCACTGCACATGGCCTCTCATGTTTCCGTTCATGCATTATTTTGCTTTAATTTGAGTTAGATCAGCACCTCGGAAACTGTGGGGGCCCTGCGGTGCGGCTCCGCATGGAACCAGTACATCCGCATCACCTGAACTTTATGAGCCCCGGACTCTGGGCAGTCAAATTCCTGGTTTCAAGGGATTAAGCTGATCTAAACTTGCAATTATACGAGGCACCATCCGTTGAGAAAAGTCTAATGTATTTTTAAATAGTATATCTTCATGATGGATATCGAAATGGTTCGCCCTTGAGAGCAATCAATCCATCAAATCCGACCTGTCCAAATACAAATTTCATAGCTCCAATAACTCGGTCTGCTTTTTCTCCGGCTCGAAAGTGAGAAGAGAAACTTCAGGGGTAATAAATCATCTCCTGGGCTGCCTAGAATTTTGACAGATGTAAGGGTATAGAAGTTGGCTTGCTGATCATGTTCCACTAGTTGGACAAACTCAACTAGCTCATAGGCCTTTCATGACCTAGTCCGCAATCGCTAAGCTTCCCCCGCAGTCAGGCTAGGGCTTTTTTGGATATTGAATTTGAATTTGTGATTTCCCCGTATCTCTCCGTTTCTCCGTACCCACAGAAGCTTGGACTGAAGCTAGCCCAATCTTGGCTTCCTTTTTACCGCTCCCAATGTATTTCCAGTCGAGTACGTCTCTAATAAAATTTGTTTTAAAGGGCTTATCCCCTCTTTCCTTTTTTGAAGTCCTATCAATCAGTGGACTCTATTATTCCATTCTCCTTTCTCAATTTTCCTTTGCCTTTTACATTTATACACCAAGAGTAGCCCAAATATCCAATATGAACAATGACCACAGCCAAAATGGGGATACGAAAGTATCCTCACAGATTGGCGAAAATACAACACATGCTCTCTCGACAATCCCTACGTCGGTGACTTTGTCGGCTGAGCAATTTGAGAGGCTGTACCTGACACCAATGACTCGCCAACAGCCTAAGCTTGCCAAGCAGGTCGGAAATCCAACACCACTGTGAGTTCTTCATTATATCATTATACCACCATGATTCCCTTTATAACAAGAAGATAAATCCCAGAGCATTGGGAGGTTTTGTTATTACCACAACTCCGCTTTCGTGCTGCCTGATGGCTTGGAGGGGAGCTAGCGGAAATGGGATTGCATTTATGTAAGAGTGCAAGTATTGATGCTTGTGAAATTATATCCGATTGACACAAAAAGCGGACCTATCGTGTTCTTGGGTGGACTTTTGCTGCTCATCACGAGCATTCTTGAGTTCATTTTAGGCAATACATTCCCATGTGTCGTATTTGGTACCATCGGTGAGAAGCGAATTACATCCGCATAACCTCAATCTGCTGATATCATTAAATAGGCGGATTTTGGTTTGCATTTGCAGCCTCCATGATTCCATCCTTCAATGCCGCAGGTTAGCCTTTCTGTGATTTTCAATTCTTATGTGCTCAACTTTCTCACATATTCAAAGCACCCTATTCACCATCGGCTTCTGACACGGTTGCTGGACTCTCAAGTCCTGGGTTTATGACTACATACGGTTAGTGTGAATTATCAATTGAAGGCGATTTCAGAGTTTCTCACGGATGATATCAGCTTTTTTATTCATCACCATGGCAGTACTCATGTTGATCTTCATGATCTGCGCGACACGAACGAACATCGTTTATACTCTGATCTTCCTGTCGCTCCTTTTGGTCTTTCTTCTCTTATCTTCTGCTTATTGGAGAATAGCTGAAGGCGACACTGCCGTCGGCGACCGTTGTGTCAAGGTAAATAAAATGTTCTTGCTGGGCCTTTTTGGCATACTGCTCATCGGCTAAAAAAATTGAATATTCGCAGGGGCGGGAGCTTCGCTTTTTGTAGCCAGTCTTCTTGGATTTTATCTGCTTATTGTTCAGCTTTTTGAGGCTTTGGGCTTTCCGTTCCACTTACCTGTTGGCGACCTGGGAATTCTCTGGGAATCTCGTAAGAACAAGTCAGTATTCATCCCACAAACTCGCGCTCTACCAATTCCGGCCCTGTTCTAACGACTTTCAAGGGGCAATGATCGCTACGACGTGGAAGATCCTGCTGCTATTGGTGATTATGGCAGTTCTTGAAGTCTGCCGTTGTTGCTAGTAACATCACCGAATCTTGCTTCTGGTTGCTCCTAAAGGTTCTCTGGTCGAGATCGCAAAATTTGGGGAAATTATTGTTTTCAGTTACTCGCGCTACGTGCATTTTTTAATGAAGTTCACTGGTTCTGTGGGCAGCTCTTTGGACTAGTAACTTTGCTGCAACATCTTGTTCTGAATAAGCTCTCTTACTATACTTCAAATCACCTCGTTGACGATAGATATGGGATTACATCCATAGTCATAGCATGATTGCAATTTCCTATTTTTTTTCTTTCAAGTTTTCGCTCGCGAAAGCAAGTCTTTGGTGAGCTTGGCGTTATATTCAACTCCGAGTCATCTCATTTACTACTAGTAGTTATAGGTGTCGGGAGACATATTCAAGTCTCACTAGATAATCTGAAGTCAGCTCTGGAGCGTGATTCTTTTTCAAACTTTCCTTTTTAAAATAATAATAATAATAATAATAATAATAATGGGAAGCTGCCTTCAAATGTCTGCTTCAATGCTACCGACTCAGGTTGCCAGCTCATGCTTCTATAGAGTAGGGTTTTCCCGGGTCTCCCTAGTCAGCCCCGCTTGAACAAACCCTCCCCGGGATGTCGATCTGTCGATCTGTCGGGTCTATACAGGAATAACACGAACGGGGTTTTCCTCTGCAAAGCTAGTCTTTCAAGAATCAAGTCAGAAGGACCGATCAAGCCAAGATCATCACTGGGTCTGTTGCCCTTTTCGTAACGAGCGACCAATAAGGGCGTTCGAATGGGGTTCCTTTGGCCCGAAGGGACGCGCCCCAGACGCCCGCCCCGCAGCAACCCCCGCAATGTCCATGATGCTGATGTTCCCCACAGATCTTGATGTCGCACGGCCAGGGGACGTATAGCTCTGCATCTGTCTACATGCATATACAAATATAATATACCGTCGCTGAAGCAGTCCTGCTCATGCCAACTGAAACTACGGCCTCCATATTCACCATCCGCCATGGAGGACACCCGCCGCCGTCAACTGCATAGCTGCGACCCCTGTCGCAAAGGCAAAAGGCGTTGCGATGCCCCGGTTTGTGAGATCGCTGTATATATAATTAGTCTATTCTAACACCTAAATGCAGAAAAATCGAAAGGACAGCGGGTTCAGTCTATGTTCCAACTGTAAGCGATGGAAGAAGGAATGCACGTTCGACTGGGTCTCCTCGAAGCGTGTGGACTCTCTCGGAGCTCGCCGTAAAGCAAAGATTCCCGCTATGAATAAGCCTGGGGGGGATGATACTCCCGGCGATGAGAATTCATACGAGCTACCTCACGATTTTCAATGGCACCCTGTTGACCCTGTTGATCTCGACGACACACTTACCTCTGGCGACATCTCAAATTTCGCTTTTGCCTTCCCATCGCCTGCTCAAGGGGCGGCTTTTGACGGATCAGAAGGCTCAAGCTCAAGCCCTGATAAGTCCGATCTATTCCCCTGGGGATTGGACATCCCAGTCAACTGGCAAACCAGTGTTGCGAGTCGAGGGCCCCAAAAGGGGTTCACGGGTGTTGAACCTCAGCCGGACTTCTATGACCCCCCTAGCAAGTCCGCTTGTCGATCAATTTGACTATGAGAGAGAGCTTGAAGATGATGAAAGCAGTCCTCTTTCTCTTTCGTCCACAGCCTCGTCGTGCAAACAGATTGGTCTCAGATATTCGTCAGCTCCCGGTGTCGACCGACGATCTAATCAAGGAATCCCGCCTAGCTTTTGCATCTCTTCTGAAAAGGCGGCAAACCAATTCGCTCGCTCGACAATGACACGCAATCTGATTCGCATATATCACGATAGCATGGAAAATGCGCTATCGTGCTGGTTGACAGAGCACAACTGCCCCTACAGCGACTCTATCAGCACCATTCTCCCTACAGGAGAAAGGAAAGAGTGGGGCCCCAATTGGTCGAACAGGATGTGCATTCGAGTGTGTCAGCTGGATCGTGTATCTTCATCAATCAGGGGCCGACATTTGAGTGTAGAAGAAGATAGGACCGCAGCTCGTGTTCTGCATCTTGCCATCATTGCATTTGCCTCTCAGTGGACTCAGCATGCAGCGAAGGGAACAGGGCTTTCTGTACCGGAGCCTATCTCCCGCGATGAACGATCAATCCGAGAATACGTTTGGAATGAGGCAAGACATGCCCTTGAGCATTCGACGAGAGTTCCTTCGTTTCGGGTCATATTTGCCAACATTATATTTTCTTTGACGCAAAGCCCGCTGGACCATTCACAGGATATAGGCTTGAGCCAGCTCCTAGAGAATGACGGTGCACCAACATTCCTAGAAGCTGCTAATCGCCAGCTTTATACATTTCGCCACAAGTTCGTACGGCTCTGTCGAGAAACCCCTCCCAAAATAACGGAGATCCGGGAGGGGGTCAACCGGGTCAACTTTGGCCGATGATCCAGAATCATTGAATGCTTCAGAGCCAACACAGCTTGATCCTATATTAGCTAGCCAAGAGTATAGAAGTACGCTTGGTCTTCTATTCTGGCTTGGCATTATGTTCGATACGCTGAGTGCAGCGATGTACCAGCGTCCTCTTGTCGTATCGGATGAGGATAGTCAAATATCTTCAGGCTCGCCTGCGGTGCCTGAGGTCGAGGACGAACTTGAACTGAGCGGTATTTCGCAAAATGGCACTCGCATGAAAAAGGATGTGTGGGACGACTTTTTCCTTCACCCTTCAGCCGAGCGTGATGATCTTGGTCAAATTCATGTAAGATGGCCATGCTCCTACGAAGAGGCTGCAGCAGTTCTTTCAGAAGCAACTCCGGTCAAGGTCCTACTTTATCGTCGAGTCACACAGCTTCAGACTCTTGTTTATAGAGGGGCTAGCTGTGATAAACTCGAGGAAATTATTCAAAAGACTCTTCTAGTCTACCAGCATTGGAATTACTCATATCAAAGGTTCATGCTCGACTGTGTCGAGAATCATGAGTTCCTACCATCTCGCATACAGTCATGGTATGTCATCCTCGACGGCCATTGGCATCTTTCGATTATGCTATTGGCAGATACGATCGAGGGCATTGATAAGGGAAGGCTTGGCTCAGAGAGTGAGCGTGAAGCCCGCAAAGCTACGGATTTTGTATCCACATTGAGAACAGAACATGCGTTTGCCGTTGGCGGACTTGCCCGTGCTTCACTTCAAGGCCAGAATCCATCTATGTTCGCCAACTTCCACGATTCGCTAAATGAGGTGGCGTTTCTGGTTGAGCCTTGGACTGTGGTTTTGATTCACTCATTTGCCAAAGCGGCCCATATCTCTGTCGAGAGTCTAAATTTGCCCGGTGAGCAGAGTGTGCTGGCGGATTCGTTCAAACAAAATTGCGAGTTTTGTATATGTGCTCTTCAATATCTTGGAAGGAAGTCCGACATGGCTTTTATGGTCGCCAGAAATTTGTCAAGGTCTTTGAGCTTGAAACTGGCGCAGATGGCTTGAAATAGCAGCAGTCTATGTTTGCTACTTTGCGTATTTGTAAAATACTATGTATTGGAAGACACCAATAATACCGATGAATTTTATTGAAATCTTGCTCCAACTTCTCCATTTTTCGCAACGAGTATGAATATTATGTCGACCCCCGAATTCAATTTCACTGGCAACAGGTAAAGTCCATGCGTAGATTTCCACGGCTAACCTTGCACTGCTGTCGTTCCTCAAAGCTCAGTTGTCTCTTACCAACACCTTGAGCGTGCATTGTTTCCCTCGCGATACTCTTTCCTGTTAAATCCTCGCTGTGGATCTTCTGGAATGACTGTCCCTCTGGTTCAATTGTCACTGAATGAACGCCATATGCATGGAAACACTTCCTGGATGCCTTTGAGAGTCCATCGAAGTCAAACACGACTTCTTCATCCAAAATAATATTCACGGAAGCCAGAGACTTTGTCCGACTGTGCAGTAAATCCATTCATGTTAGATCATGACATATTCCCGTTTTGAATGACGCAAGAAGAATTAACCCGATATTTCAGCAACAAAGCAGAAAGAGATCTCAATATCCGCGCTTAGCCGCTGGATGCGGGTAAACTTGGGCGCCATCGTGAGTTAAGTTGTGGTATCTTCTATCTTCCTTTCTAAATTGTTAGGGGTTCTCTTTTGTGTAGTTGTGAGATTATGAGGGTCATCGGAAGGTAAACCATACAATGGAAGAGGCGAGCCAAACGTTGTCGACTTCTTTCGGTAGTGCTGTGGTTCTGTGACGGTCATCGTTCCTGATAATTCGGTTGTCCATTTTCGAGGGTTGGTTGCTGAAAACAAAAGGCTCTGGTGATATGGCTCTAACGAAACTTGGAAGGTGACTATGTTCTTGCTAGAATCAGCCTCCGCTGTCCCTTCAAGGGTTGGATCCCCCTCATATTCGGTTTAAAGCAGATTCAGCAGGAAACGGACCGTGATATGTGATCCCTAATCATAGATTAGGGTCGTTGCTTTAAAAGCCCAAGCCTTGCCTTTTCATGGCCGGTTTTGATGACGAAGGGAAATGGATTGAACCCTTCATCGCCTGCGCGGCAGCGCATGAACTTCCGATACTCTGGCACAGCTTCAAAACCGCCATGTGCAGCATCTCCGTCGGTTTCTGATATCTTTTTTTTAGTTTTTGGTTTTTGGGGAGTTTTTTTGGATCTACATAGTGAGGAAGCTTTGATCTCCCATTGTGAGGTGGAAAATGGTGGAAAATGGTGAAAAATGGCATTGTCAGAGTACAATCAAAAAAGGCATTTATTCAAATAACTCGCCATAAACATTGGACCAGACCATCTTGTAAAATCAACAGCCAGTCACCTATAAGAGGGGGAAAGATAAGCAACAAAAAGACAATCCCCGAACTCCAGTCCTTACGCCTTGTCGTAGAGATCAAGGACAGGATATGCAAAATGTGAATGTGAATGTGAATGTGAATGCGAGTGAATATACTGAGGCGGGTGGTATCAGTTTACCAACCCAATAACTTCATCAGGCCAACGCTTAGCCCATATCATGGCTCGCTGAGGTACCCGTCCGCCGACGGGAGCGAGAACGTGAATCTTGCCCTTGTCGGGCTCAACACTGGCAACGTAGAGGAAGCCGATGATGCTCGCGTCGCGAACTTGAGCAGGTGTGGCCGTGGTGGGCACGTGGGTGATTGCCAGGAGGGTATTGGCTAGTGCTTGAGGAGCCGGTGGGAGGACCTTCTTAAGTGGGATATTGCTGGAACCGGCGTGATTCGGGGTGGAGGCAGGATCAACTGAGAGACCGACGATACCAGGGAGAGGTGTTGCGCGGTCTGATTCTGCTGGGTTGTTATTATCGCCAGCTCCGAATGAGTCGCCCATGCTGAGTTGGGAAGGATCGTATTCATCTTCGTCTTCGTCATCTGCAGAGGTAACTGTGTAATTGTAGACAGAGAGTGCGGCGAAGTCTAGTTGCGACGTATGAGGTGATAGTGTGACGGTCGTGGGAGAAGGGGAAATGACGGACGTGCCGAAAAAATAAGACTTGATTTGATATTCGCGGGTGGTCTTGAGGAATGCGGCGTCGCGGTCAACGCACCCGCCTGATTTGGATAGCTTCACGACTGAAATGCGTTCGTCAAAGGCGTCTGCTGAGGGGCTTGAGCTCGGCTTGTCGTCATACTGTTTCACCATGTTGCTGTAGAGTCTTTCAGATCCTAAAACTATGATTGTAGTGATGGCAAATTCCGTGACGATGTGGTTGATTATTTCCAAGGTGCCTGGCTTTCCAGAGCTCAGGATCCCTGGTGTGTCGACGATAATCCCCGTCTCACGGGAATCTTCATCCTCGGCCATGCGTCCTGTAACAGACAAAGCCAGTCGCGACACAATCGGTCGATACACAGACCCATCAGCGTCGAGGGGGCTGGGGTGCGGGTAACTGTAGACAAGAGGCAGTTTCACTGGTACAGAGCTAGGTCCGGACATTGGGGAGCTACCCCAACCCTCTTCGACATCTAGCATTGTTCGAAATGCAGCGGCTGTGAGAGTTCCGGGGACACTGAGCATTCCCTCGCTGGGGTCCAGATTCACTGCGATCGGCTGTCGGCCCATCTTCGTAGCGTAGGCAGTCAGAATCTTTGCTACAGTAGTCTTGCCGGCATTTTCGGGGCCCAGTAATAGAACTCGAGGGCCGTCCTTGCCGGAACCCTGAGTCTCGTCTCGCATCGTCTCGAGCGCAAAATGCGCATTCGCATATTCTACCATTGGCGTGTCCTCTGCGACGTATTCACTCTGACAACCTCCAGCACCGTGGCCGGCTGTCGGCGTCACCCCATCTAGGGTCGCTGTGTTTGTTTCGCCGGCGCTTACTTCTAATTCGCAGCCATACCAGGTGTAGATTGCGCCTTTCGTTCCGCAAAAGGTGTATGTCTGCGATTCGGCGAGTTCGGTGCCGAAGAGCTCAGCCGTGCCGGTGAGAAGCTACGATATCTCATGTCAGTCTTCCGAGCTTCGGTGCATTCAATCACAAGACCATGGAGCCGCAGGAGGCGCACGGCCTTGCAAGGTCCAGGGTCCACGATATGAAGGTTGGAAGCGAAATGCGCGTACTTTCACCTTAATGCTGTGTCCAAATGCGACTTCAAATCGCCATTCGGAACCTGCAGGCAGGTTGATCTGTGAGGGAGGGGCGGCAGCATGGTGCCTCTCCTCTGAGGGCTGGGTAAGCTCCAGGCCCGGGAGAGACATTTTGCGACCGGCTTTGAAGGTTCAGATGGAGCGAAATATGGCGGAATGGGGGAATCGAAGGTGTTGAGTGAACTGTTGCGAAGCATGGAGAAGATCCGCGGCATTTGGAGCTTCTCCGCCTGTTTGGACTGTTTGCATTGCGGCAACCACAGTGGGAGTTGTAACCACCTTGGAAGTACTAGTATAACTCTGACTATACTGGTACTACACAGATCTCTTTCATTACATTGAAGATAGTTGTTAGACATCCTTTCACACTCTGCCAATTTGAATAATGTTCTACTTTCTACTAGTAGTATTGGAAAAGCTTTGGTCTTTTTAGGTGAAAAAAAAACTTTGGAAGCTATCAGTAGGCTAACCCATTCTTTGACTCCATGGTGTCCAAGAAAGCCACACTAAACTTGAACAAAGGTGTTTGAATATTTGGTATCGGAGAGAGAAAGGGGAAAGAAGATTGGGAGGGGGCTGGGAGTGAATAGATTCAACATGGTCTCTTTAGTAGTTGGGGGGTTGCGTGGACGATCAAGTCTCGCGCAAGGGTGTAAAAACAGGTATTAGAAATGGTGATGGTTGAGGCAAGTACACAGCACAGTGAAAATAGGTGAGGACGAATATATTTATCATAGCGACAAGGGGAATGTTGGAAGGGGGAGCAGAGATCAGGAATCGCGAATGAATGGAACTCTGCTGTTGAACGTGAAGAAGCAACAATTCGAAGATTCAATAGCGAGGCGGTATCAAGGGAAATGTCAAGGTATATCTTTGGAGCAAAAGATAAACAAATCAATCCAATTAGGAATGAAGTGTCGGCCTCACCGACTCCAGCTTCGATCTGGTCGAAGGATCTAGAAGAAGTAAGGAATGGAAGCACTAAAGACTTCGTTAGTTTGAAAACTTGGCTAAATTCCAAGGGAAGGGTTCTACTCACGCAAGAGCAAAAGCTGCGGAGACACCAAACAGTGCACGATTGCGGACCCGCTCACGCTTGAGCTTGTCTTCTAGGACCTTGGCCTTCTTTGTTCGCTGGGCGGCCTCGGCGGCGGTCTCCTCGTCATCCTCCTCCGGCTTACGCTTCTTTGTCACCTTAGCGACTGAAGATCCTGTGGCACCCTCTCCTGCTTGGCTCTTGATGGCCTCCTCAACCATCTCTTGGGCTTTGGCGATCATCTCTTGCGTATCGGCGGCCGATGGAACCTCCGGCAGGCTGATCGGCACATCAAGCGAGACGGTAGTCTGAGTGGTAGTGGCTTGGTCGGCAACCTCTGCGAAGGCAGTAACCTCCACCTCCGTCTCCTTCCCCTTGGTATCCTTCTTCTTTTTCTTCTCGGACTTCTTTTCTTCCTTCTCCTTCTCCTCTTCCTCAGCTGCAGCTGCAGCTGCAGCCTCGGCCTCGGCAATGGCCTTCTTAGATTTGCGACCACGAGACTTCTTCTCGGGTGATCCACTCGTCTTGACCTCGACCTCTTCCACAGTCTCGAGGATAACGTTTTGTTCATCGTTCTCCAGGGAGACGGTGGTATCCAGGGCCTCTTGAAGACTATTGTTGGCAGCAGTAGTCGAAGGGGTGCTCAGGATATCCTTGATGGGGCGACCAGGGCGAGACTTGCGAGGAGACGAGGGCCTCTTGCTGGGAGAGACGGAACGGCGGCTACGACGTTGAGAAGGAGTAGCTTCCTCCTCGGGGAGCTCGAACTTGGGAGGCGGGGTGATATGCTTCTTCGCGCTAGACGGGCTCTGCACGATATCGGTGGGATCCAGTAGGGCACGAACCCAGTCGTACATCTTGTATTCCCTGGAAAGCTCAAGAGCTAGAGACGTATGGTCAGCACCCGTTGGCTTGGTGTCGCACGGTGAGATAGCTTACCGAATAGAGGCGAGATCCAGACATTGCCGGCAACCTCTTCCTGGCTTGTGAACTCGCGCGACTTCAGATACTCTCGCTCTGTCTTCTCTTCCTCGGTCTTGGCCCACGGGAAGGCAATTTTGAACATGCCAGTGGCGCTAACGAAGCCATCCTTGCTCCTCCGCTATTTTTAAAGTAGGTGGTTGATTAGCGACGGAATTTCTTGGATCAGACGGCTAGGCGCAGCTTACCATGAGGAAGTAAGTCTCCGGGTGCTGGGCAGCATTGTGTGAAGGAAAGATTTCGGAGCCCTTCAGGTCCTTGGGCAAAGGTGCCCGCAAGTGGGCATATTCGAAGAGGCCAAGGTTTTCGGGCTTGGTCGCATTGGAAGTACCAATTTGCGCGGCCTTAACAGACAAGTTGGTCTTCCCAAGGCGACGGCGCGAAAGAAGATCATCGTCTATAATGAGAGGCGCAAAATGGCACGGATTAGCGATGGTCGTTTGATGTATGTGTTGAGAGGGGGGATGATTGAGGAGGGGAGGGGAGGGGAGGCCTCCAATGCGCGCATGCGCGGTTGCGCGACTACGCGCCTATGGGGTGAAGTGACACCTACAGGTCGGTGAGGCATCAGCCAGGATGTGCGGGTTGTTCTTCTTGGGGAGAGATCGCGACATGGTGGGCAATAGCGACGGGTTGAGACAGGGAAGATGTCTTAGAGGAGGATGCGAAAAGGAAACGAGATGCGCCAACGGCGACCACGTAGCAGGCGCGTCGGCAGATGAAGTCACGGGTCGGAATTTTCAACCGAGAACAGCTGCAAACACTCGGGGCGAAATTGGAACGAAACAACTCGAGTGAGAAAAAGAGACCGATTGACAAGCACCAAAGAGTCAAAAAGTGAGATTCACGAAGATCAGGGGAGAAAGGCGACGGGATGGAATTGAATTATTGGGGCACTTTCCTACACCGTATGGCACTTTTCCGCATCCGGGATGGTCCAGTTTGGTATTGTGTATTGTCCGTGTATTTATGGGATGTTATTGGCCAATGCAGGTCTGTTACGGTCACAGCCGTATACCGCTGTTGGGTGGGCGTTGGCCCCGTGACCTGCATTCTTTGAGAGGTGAAAGGCGAACTACAAGTAACTATGAGTATAAGTGTTCCTATGTGTGATTGAGTACTAGAATACTACTAGTACTACTAATATAACTCTATAAATACTATGGGTGTGAGTATATATGCTATATCGTTGGAGAGTATAGTGGTCAGCCAGACTACTCCCATCGGGCATCCTTACAACTGGAACTAAAAGGCTACGTGTATCCATCCAGGTACTTGCTCCATTTGCTCCATTCACTCCGTTCTCCGTACTCCGCAGGTTACCATCTGTCTCATATACAGTAAAGGTGGTCCCTAGATTTTGGAAACTCGACCATTTGAAACCAATGCTCTATTTATATAATTATATTTTTATAAAACCTTCCAATGCTGCTCATATACCCACAATTCCAAAATGACCGGAAGGGGAATAAAATAAGCTCGCATTGCGCGTCGCATGCACAGTAACTCACTGGCGATCCGAATAGCCTCGCCCCTCCGCCACCGCCTTTCTAACCCCACCAGACACTCTCTTGTCAGGAGACTGTGCCAGCTCCTTTTCTTTCCTACTAGTACTCTTGCCGATTCCCCTCTTCTCTTCCCCTCCCTACATCTCATTGCCTCTTTGCTGCCCAACTTCCTCTATCTGTTCCCACTCTTGATTCCCTGGTTCCGACTTTCCCCCACGTGTGCCCCGCTATCAACAATCAACAATGGCCGACCAACACAACGACGATCTCGCTGCCACCAAGACTGAGGGTTTCAAGGTCGGTGAGAAGAAGACTCTCCAGGAATACCAGGAGCTTGGTGCGTTACACTTCCCATCCCCATTGTCTCGTCTACTACAATCATCCACTCCCAATCCACCCATTGCTGCACCTCCGTCTACATACAACTAGCCATCCAGTCTCTACACCGTCACCAACTGATCAATCCTCTTCTCCTACACAGACAAGGAGGATGAGGCCATGAACCGCTGGAAGGCCTCGCTGGGTCTCAATGCCGGAGAACCTATCGGCCAGCCCGGCGACCCTAAGTGTGTCATCAAGTCCCTGGCCCTCGTTGTCGCCGGTCGTTCCGACGTCGTGATCGACCTTTCCACCGAGGAATCCGTCAAGACCCTTAAGGAAAAGCCCTTCACCATCAAGGAGGGGGCCAAGTTCAACATCAAGGTTACCTTCCAGGTCAACCACGAGGTTCTTAGTGGTCTCAAGTACGTCCACGCCGTGAAGCGCAAGGGTATCCGCGTTAGCAAGGATGAGGAGATGCTGGGCAGTTATGCCCCCAGCACTACCGTGAAGCCGATCTATTCAAAGGAGTGTACGTATTTGCCGTGGCCTGACCGCCATCTCTGACCCATGACCCCCATACATAGCTGACCATTCCAATAGTCCAGGAGGAGGAGGCCCCCTCCGGCATGATCGCTCGTGGTCACTACAATGCCACCTCCCGCTTCGTCGATGACGATGACCACACTTTCTTGCAGTTCGAATGGTCTTTCGATATCACCAAGGACTGGTAATCGAGGGGATACTCTTGGACTCCCTGTGTTGACTTCAATTGAGCGGCCTCTTGTTTCCAAGCGTGACGAATTTCCTTGATACCAAAATCCTGGTAGAGATGGTCCCCAGTCTGGGCCAATTACTGCACATTTAACAGACTTTCTCGCGCACACACACACACATGCACATACATCCCCCACGGTACCGACTTAGGACGAACTCGTGGGGTATACTTCATGTCTTTATGTTTATTTGTTTGCCATTTCAATTTCATCTCCGACTGTATGGCAGAGAGTATATCTTTGTATGCCTATGGCCCGTTTGTTTTGGTCTTTTCCCACTCCCCCAATTCAATTCGTATGCAAAAGATAGTAGGAAACGCTGCTCGATGGGTTGTAATGTGCAGTCCATAGTTTTCTACCCTTCTCCCAAACTCCTGTACGGTGCAATTGCAAAAAAGTCAAATCAAACAAAAAAAATATGAGATATTACACCTCCAGGGGTATCACAAGAAATAGTCAATCGTCGGCTGAGAATCCCTGTTCTGCTGGGCCTGCTGCTCGCTCCGATGCACGTCATTTTCGGGCGCCGCGTCGAAGATATTGAAGTAACGCTGCATTTTATCCCCAACCTCGAGCACACTGGCGAGGTTTCCGCAACGGTAACAGTAATTGGGTGCGCTCCAGACCGTGCTGAGTCGATCGTCAAATAAGACTTGGTATCCTTCGTTACAGAGCTGGTGGGCTCGCAGAATATGAGACATGTTGTTGACCTCGAGGAACTTCCGAACCACCTGCGCTCCAAATGTATAGCCAGCACCGCGAGGCGAAAGGGAGAACTCGTCGCGGTCCGGGTCCGGGTCGGACCAAACTAAATCGGCCATGGGGCCTTCGTGCGGAATTTCACGGTATCGGTCGAGGATCTTGATCTGATCAATGGAGTGAATCGAGGGGGAAAGACCGCCGTGCACGCAGAATATCTCGTCATTGATAACCACGCTCAGCGTAAGGTAGTCAAACATGTCGGTGAAGTAGTGCCATACGTTTGCATTTCCGTATTTGCGAGCACATTCGGTATAAAAGCCATAGGATTGTGTCACGCCACGGGACTCGTGATTGCCCCGGATTAGGTGAACTCGTTGGGGGTATCGTAACTTGAGACAGATGAGCAAGGTGATGGTCTCTACGCTGAATAAACCGCGATCTACATAGTCTCCTGTTCGTCATCACCAGCAAACGTCAGCAATCAAGTTCGTTCCAAGCAGCGAGAGCCCCGGCCCTCCGTCCGTATATACCCAATGGTATTCAGAGCGGTTCAAAACTAACCAAGGAAGAGGTAATTCGTATTCGGACAGAAACCGCCAATGCGGAATATCTCGAGTAAATCGAAGAATTGGCCGTGGATGTCTCCGACAACTGTAACGGGTGCCTGGATGTGAACCACATTGCTCTCCTTCATCAATAATTCCTTGGCTTTCGCACAGATCGCCTCGATTACCGACTCGGCCAGGAGTTCTTTACGGTAGAGTCGCTCGATGCACTCATCCAGATCGACAGTTCCTATCCGACTGTTAGTGGATTCTTTCGAGCCTGTTGCAAAATGCTGCCGAGTTCTATTCAGCCCGGCCGCGTTCCTCGCACTTACTAGGAAGACCCGGCATGGTGACGTAGTGTAGAGCCCTGGCAGCCGATAATTTTCAAGTTCTCTTGTATATTCCCTTCAAGCAGAATAACGGAATATTTCCACTTGATCGTGTATTGGACTGTGCCAAACGAACAAGGCGAAGCTGTTGAGAGACAGGCTGCGGTGAATGCGAATGCGGAGGGGTTCGTTGTCTGTGGAATGCTTAGGGAGGGAAAGCTCGGCACAGAGGGTATCGGAGAGACGGAGGGGGTTCAACGAAGGATTAATTTGGACGGCGGGTGAGTCGCGGGCATCATGATATGAAGCAGATCCGCACCTCAACAATTGCGCTCCCAACTCAGAGAGATCAGTGTGGAAGGTTCGGTCCAGCTGGGCGCCTCGGGGTCACCCGCGTTCTGCCATTGGCTACCGCCTGGGGACCTCCTTGTACCTTGCACATGACCGGGATCTAGTTAGGGCATCTCTGGGGGTAAGAGTATGATTTTCAAGGTATATGAGCTTTGTAGGTAGTGGAACAAGCTGGTGAAAGCTTGAAGGCGTCGATGTATCAAAATTTTAAGATCCTGATAACTTGAATCCTCTCAGTCCGGAGGGTGCCAGTGAGCTCCAAGTCCGAGTCCTTCCTGCCCCGGAGCCATAGAAAATATATACAGTACTAGTACTACGAACCATAGTATGAATGCTTCAAGTTCCAAGGTTGAACCCCCGGTGGAAAAACTTCTACTAGTACTACTAATTTTGTATAATGAACATTTCAAGTATTTCCTCCCTATTATATGAAGGCCGAGGTTTCCCGTATTTGCTGAACATATCATCCAAGGTAGCTCTAGATGTAGCGCCCTATCTATGCACATGACCCAACACCGGCTACCAACCAACGATGATTTCATCCAACTTCAAGGCTTCGAGCCGGGTTGTGTAAGCAACTGCTGCGCCTCTTTATGAACAGCCTCGCTCTCAGAATCGGTCTCATCCTCATCCTCATCCTCTTCAGAACCGGATTCTTCTTCCGAATCGGTCTCTTCCTCGGACTCAGTTCCGGACTCGCTCTCTGTCTCTGTCTCCGACTCTGTTTCTTCCTCTTCCTCATCGAGCCACTGATCCAGATTCTTCTTCCCAACAGCTGCACCTGTTGCAGCCTGCCGGCGTCGCGGGTCAGTGGTCTGATGTTCACGGAGCGCTTTGTCTAAACGTTCGCCGGCGGTCATAGAAGCTTGAAGCGAAGGTGCCTCTGTCTTGACCTCTTCCATGCGAAGACTTGGATCAGGCTCTTGTCCTGCCTCAACCCAAGGAGGAAGGTTGGTGTAACCCCTTAGGCCATGGTAGCCAGCGTCAGAACCAACAACAAGTGTTGCAGTTCCAATAAGCAGATCCTTGCGAGTTTCCGAAGGGCTTGGGGCATGGGGAACGGGCTTGGGCGCCAAAAGTAGCAGATTCGCTAATTGGGTGGAAGACGGGCTGGCGAGGAGGGCTTTGTAGAGACGGGCGCGATCGCGTAGATCATATGAGGTGTCGTAGCGAGCAAGAAGGAGAATATAGCGCCATAGTAAAGTAATACGGTCCTCTCCGTCTTCTTTCGCCTCAATCTCTCCCTTGTCATTTTCTTGTACGTCAATGGCGTCATCGCCGCGTTTCTCTTCTTCTGCTCGCTCTTCGCTCCATTCGTTGCGGATTTCCTGTTCGAGGTTCGCGGGGCGTTCCGAGAGAGATGAAGAGCCGGCCTGCGTTGACTCCTGTAATGGGTTTTGTAGGAGATGGTGGAGATATACCTTTGCACCAAGGAGTACGATCTGCTGCTTGACAACCTCCGGCTCATCGGCAAAGCTTTTGATCAAGATACGGAGAACATCCGGCGCAATATTATGTCCCGGGTCCGCGCCCGCAAACTCACCAACCAGCCAGATGATGGAAGCCCGGGCATCAGGATTGGTTGTGGTTCCAAGGTGCGTGATGAGTTGAATGACAGTCTGCTTATGCGAGGTCGGATCTTGCTGAATCAGGTGGCGGATGACAGTGAGAGATTCGGAAACAAGGTTCCCATCCAGACTAGCGACCTGGCCGAGAAGAATACGTAGGCACAGGGCTGCAGTAGTGGCGTCTCCTTGGGCACAGCGACCAAGAGCTCGTACACTCTCTCGAACCAGTTCAGGGTCAGTACCCTTAGAAAAGTGCTCAAGCTCGCTGATGATAACACTCTTCCAATGCTTCCCGCAATGGGGAAAGATGATCGTCAGAACCTCCAACTTCAGGCGCCAGATATGCGGGGGATCATTGGCATGAATTAGAAAGTGGGCAATATATTTCGTGAAAGGCTTGGGCTCCCTCAAGGCAACGGCAACAATGTTATAGAGCGCGATGAGTTGCATGTCTTGCGGACTTCTAAGTAGAGCCACAAGGGGACCGATGGCTGAGATGAGATATTCCGAGGGTGCAAGGTAGAGGAAACAGCGAACCACACTGACTATGACGGCCGAGTTGCGATTATGAAGCAGCAACTTACAAGCCCGGAGAAGGAGTTCAAGGTCAGCGTCAGTTACTGGTACCTCATGGCCCTCGCCATCACTCTGAGCGGGCTGGTTCTCCGTTTCTTCATCATAAAAGGGCTTCGACACAGTCGCCTTTACCCTTTGAGTTCGACGAGGAAAGCATTGGCGGGCGTAGAAGGTCAGCAGACGAAGAGTCGCCAGTTGGCCCCATTCATCCATATCGACGAGCTTCTTGACGAGGCTGCGGTAATGCTTATGAACCAAATCAATCTCTTCCGGGCAAACCTCTAGAAACGCAGCAACCGCCGGACCCACGACGAAGTATTGTGTATCCCCCAGGAGGGTTGCGACATACCCGGTCAATTGTGGCAGCGTATTCGGATCTAGACGGTAGCATTTCGGGATAGCCAGTGCAGCAGCCTTGCGCACTTGGGGGGCTCATATCACCGCATCCTCTCTTGATTGCTAATGACACAATCTGACTGATGACCGGTACCCGGATTCCAGACATGGTCCTTAGTGCCATCACTCGCACCTGAGGATTTTGGTCGGTCAGGGACTTCTGGATCGCGTTGATAGACAGCAGCGCCATGTCCGGCTCGGCCTCCGCATGATGTACCAGGTAAATGTAGACCAGTTTCTTGATCTCGAGGTTGGCGCTGGCTGCATTCTTGACGACAGCCGAGAAGAAATCGAGAGAAGGTTCGGAACGGTACATCAACTAGAACAGAAATTCAACATTGTTAGCGGACATTTCTCCAGTTCGTAGCGGTTCGCCATTACGACATCACCATACCGAAATGACCCTCCGCAGCCCATCCAGAGTTTCCTTCTCATGGCGGCTATCCAGAAGCTTTTTGATATGAGGAATACTATAGGTGCGTGAAGAGTAGTCGGTATTCGAGCTTCGATTGCTTGCTGCGGACTGTGCAGCCTCTAGGGTGAGCTCTCGAGCTATGCGCACAGTGAAGTCACACGGTCAGCTTCCGTGCCAAGAAGAAGCGCTTGCGGCCCTGGCAGATCGGCTTACCTGTTTCCAGCATCGAGGATATCCTTGAAATAGTCTCCATCTTAAATCCAGCGTCCGAGGGGCCCAGTCCAAGGAGCGCGAGAATTGGCCGAGGGAGATGTGGAAGATAGGGGGGGGAGAGCGAAGGCGGAGGAGCGTGACCTCCGCGGGAGAGGCGATCTTCCGCGCTGGCTGGACCGAGTCCCAAACTTATTTCTCAACTCTTCCCCAGGCTTCCCAATGTCTGTCATATGAATCATGATTTCATGTCGGATCAATCGGATTTCGAGCTCTACGATGCGATTTGAACTGCGGTCCCGGAGCAGCTGATTCTTCAATGACATTATGGTTTCAACACCGACCATCTCGTTTTGTGACCTAGTCACAGATCTACTCCAACGATTGTTGAAGACCTGCAAAATAACTCGTCTCATTGTCTGCGGTACCAGAACCGAGTTTCTCGTTCAACTCTCTGCGACCATCCGAAATCAATCTACCGACCCGAATGCTGAATCCAGTCATGATCTTCTTACAAAGACAATCGGACTACTGGCCAACTCGAGCAAGATTCAATTAGCGTTTTGTCCTTCACTGGAGAGCCTTCGAGCATATCTTGCGGTCTTTACTTCGGTACATGGTGCCACCATGGAAGAGGAAAAATTGGAGAAGCCGCAGGTTCTTGCAATCCTGGATCTCGTGGCTTTACATGCGACAACGACCGAGTTCTCTGCCCAAGGACTATCAAGAACACTTGCCACTGCGGTCGAGACTGCATCCCGCGCAGAAATTGATTTGGTTCTCTGTGAATGCACTAATGCGGTACACCCTGCAAGTTCTGACTGGGGTTCAAGATTATGGGATACGCAAGTTCCGCTACTTAATGGGTCCCTACGAATCCGCAGCGAAGACGGAGGTTGGGGCGGACGTGGTTTGCCCATTAAACAAGTTGTCGAGCGCTGGTTTGAGTTTGACCAGAACAATACATAATAGAAATGGGATGAATGAATTGATGAACATGAAATTCGAGCAAAAAAGCATCGTAATATGAACCAACTCCATAAAATGAACATGTACTGCCCGGGTATCCTAGAGCCGACCGCTGAACTCCTGTTCCAAAGAAAAAAGCTACAAGTCTTGGTTTTTCACAACGACTTCTCCATCTCTGTGATATAGAGTTTAATATGCGACTCCAGTTTGAGGTACTGGTCATGGGCTGATTGGATTTCACTCTCAATGTTTTCCTTGAGATCAGCCATCTGGAGGATGGGTTAGCAAAGTTGCTCACAATAATGGGGACACTGAAGTCATACCTTCTTCTCTGTCTGCTCAATACGAATGCGCCTCCTTTCCATATCGCGTTGCTTATCCGCACGCTCCTCGCGCAGCTGCTTTTGAACGTTACGGAGCTCTTCCATGCGCGCCTGCGCAACCTCAGCCTTTTCCTGCGCATTCCTGCGGAGTGACTCGATTCGATCGTTTAATCGAGTGAGTTGTCGCTGAAGCAGATGTTCGGTCTGTTCTACCTCTCGTACGCTGTTGCCTCTGTCCGAGATAGCCTCTTTATTCCGAGCGGCATGTGATTCCTCCTCGTCTTCCTTCTGCATTTCCGTCGCAATTTCATCGAGCAATTTCACACATGCTTGCACATCATTCGAAACCACAGTGAATGTATCTGAGGAGGTCTGGAGCGCCCTAGCTCGCTTTTCCATCGCATCAATCTGTGCCTTCTCGCGCATCAAGTTCTCCGCCAACTCGGTCAACGTAGATTGTAACGTCGCCGGAGATTCAAGAACATAGGGTCGAAGTTTCTCAGCTTCTTGTCGGGTGCGAACTGTCTTCTCGGTTTTCTCCTCTAGTTGTTGCTGCCGACGCGATCGCTCGGATTTGACTCTTTCGAGATGGTCTGCCACTCTTGTCTGCTCCCGACGGAGCTCCAAGAGACGAGCCTTCAGCTCGTCATTTCGGGCCACCTTTTCGCGCACCTGCGTCTCATTGGCTTGTTGATCTCGTCGCATCTCCGCTAGGCGCTGCTCCATTTCTTGATTTTCCATGTGTAGAGTCTCAATTCGTGATTTGGTCCTCTCGGTCCTGTTGAAGTGCTCATCGATAACGGGAGCTTGGGATTCGCGGAACCGGACGAAGTTGATGAGATAAGAGAAGATCTTAATTAGTCGGTCGTGAGTCGGTTTGGTCATGTCGGTAAATGTAAAGTCGTTAACACCGCACTTGAAGTCATTAGAATCAGCTGAGCAACCATTTAACCCTCACTGACGAGCACAGGGGCTACGTACCTCAGCTAGAAGTTTCCGGACATTCACAAAGAAACCCATGAGGTTTCGCGTGTCATTGGGAACAATATCGGGATAGTCGCCGCAGATATCTTCAGCTGCCACATGCATAGCAGGCTCGACCGTTTCGCGCGTCGTGTTCATGAGGAGCTCTGCGAACCATTCGAAGACCATCTGGATTTGCTGGGCGTTGGGTTTGGCGAGATCTGAGGGACCGAAGGGAATTCCAATGTCATTGATACAACCTGCGATTTCTTTGTCGGGCTGCTATGGTGTTAGTGATATATTCGCCAGAGGCCCGAAGTCTTCCGGCCCCGGGTCTAAAAGGTGCAACTGACCAGGCGCATCAATGCGTCATTATCATCTTCCTTCTTGCGCCGATTGTGAGGCTGCTGGGTACCAGCCATGCTCATGCGATGGTTGTATGCCATCACGTCGGACGTATGAAGCGATCGGTTTGAGCCTGGCCCAAAAGATCAGACAAGAATGGTGGACTGGGAAGGTCAAGACCGAGTGTTGTGATGATGTGCGGGCTTTCTCGTCCCAAGTAAACAATCCGCCCGCCCGTCCACATCGGGTTAGTCCCAACCGCCGAGGGGCAGAGTGCAAACACGACAAACCCTTCAAAGAAATCATGACTCTTCCTTCGCATCGTGAGCTCCTTTGTGCAGACATCATGGCGACAACTACTGAGAGCGCGCCCGCGGCCGGCTCAAAGCCGTTTGAGTGAGTCTGATCTTCCCGCTGAAGCTTTTTCGCACTACTTACCCTCCCTGTAGCATCGTTGCGACGTACAATGAGCTCCTACGCTCCGACCCCGACCTTACCATGCCCATCGCGGCTATTGAAGCTCTCGTGCTGCTTCTCACACATTCACCCTCCTCGACAATCTCCGAAACCCTTGACCTACTGGCGCAATCTACAGCCCACCTGAAAAAAGCCATCCCAAACCCAATTGGTCTGTCGGCTGGAACCGATCTCTTCCAGCGATACCTGATTACCACATTACAACGACCCGGGCAGCTGGGGCCTGCTGGGGACTTCAAAGCTATCCGAACACATCTTCTGTCAAACGGGCGATTGTTTATTAGACGCGCCAAAGAAAGTCGAGAGAAGATTGTTGCATTTGGACGAGGATTCATTCGCGACGGTTGCACAGTACTCACAAATGGTGGATCCAGAGCTGTCGCGTCTCTGCTACAGAAGGCAGCCGACGAGGAGGGAGGTCCTTCGGCGGTCCGTTTCCGAGTCATCTACGTCCTGTCGTCCATCAGCAAGAACATCGAGGAGCCATCTGGCGAGCCGGAGGGCATGGAAACAGTGCGCGCACTGAGAGCGAAGGGTGTGCCAGTGTCGACAATCCCGGAGTCAGCAGTGGCATATGCTCTTGGAAAGGCGGATATGGTTATTGTCGGTGCTGAAGGTGTTGTGGAGAACGGAGGTATCGTGTCCCGCATGGGTACCTACCAAATCGGTCTGCTGGCCAAGGCCATTGGAAAGCCGTTCTACTGCGTGGCCGAGAGCCACAAGTTCGTTCGTCTTTACCCGCTTGGCCAATATGACCTGCCCATCGAGCAACACGTCATAGATTTCAAATCCGAGGAAGACATTACCGAACAAAGCGAGCAACCGGTCGATACAAGTGCCGACCGCCCGATTGAGTTGCCCCTTTGTGACTCAGTGGACTTCACTCCTCCGCATCTCATTTCGGCTCTGATTACCGATAGTGGTGTTCTGACACCTAGTGCAGTCAGTGAGGAACTGATTAAGATTTGGTTCTAAAAAAGTACACGGGCATTGGGTTGCTGCTTATGGGTGCTTGATTTATTCTCTTGTTGAGAAGCCTGGCGCTGACGCTTTTTGTATCATTGAAGTTAAAAGGCTTTACGAAATAGATGACATGATTTTGAATGACTTCGGAAGTCTCTTCTTTCATCCGCTAGCTATGCGGATCTACTATTACTCCTATTTAAGACTTTATTATTCAACGACAAGAATTCCAACAGTCTTCATATCAGTTGAAAATATCTATAATTTACGACTGGGATGAGGGGGATAGAATCGCAAGATCTTTTTTAAAACAATTGATGATTAGCAAGTATACTGTAACTAACTAGACAAGCAATTCTGGGTTATAATTCATCTTCCCCAAAGCCATGGCATCGTAATCATTAATCATCAAACGAGTGTCGTTGTGCCAGACAACTTCATAAGCCCGTCTCAGCCGCATAATTTCTAAAAGGTGCATGGTATAACATTCCGCTCGAGCAGCAGTTTTTCCATCGGGGTATCGTTGAAATCACAAAAGGTCGTAATCATGAGGTAGTAATCGTGACAAGGTGTTGGGGGAAAGAGTTGAGCGGAAAGATAGTGAGGATAAATGTTGAGTTTCTCGTCGTCTCTCATCGATTGTGATCATTCATGAATGAGTGGATAAACCTCCCTTCCAGTCTGAAGAAGTATAGTAGTCTTGGTTGGACCGACTAGTCCGAGACACGGTCTAGCATCATCAGGTCGTTATCCGATTCGAGACAACAGCGTACAGCTCTTGCGTTTGCATCGCAGCAAAAGCGTAGAGAAGTAGGTATCCGAGAGCTACGAAGATCCAAAGTGGTGCCATAATGAAGGCAACTGGGCACAGAAATGTTTCGAGATAAAAAAGTCGGTGAGGTTGTGATCGTGGATATTGGTACGGAAGATATCGAACGGCCCACGGAGAAAACAGTTCACCGATATTCCGTTGAACTAGGAGTGAGATCTTTTTATTCAAAATCTCTTTGGTAAAAGGGAGGAAAATTCCAGCTTGTCAAAGTCGCAGTTGTACTAGAGACTTTTCGATGAAGGATTAAAGACGAAGAGGACGTGGAATAATCTTCGACCACCCCTCCATGAGCAACGTGCAGTCATCTAGGGTTTTAAACCCAACCAGACCGAACATATGAAGAAGGCCAAACAGGATCTCATCCGAGCTTTTCCATCCAATACGAGGCGGTCCTCCATTGAACATCCGGCCATTAAGCGTGTCCCGAGCCCAAGCGAAGCAACTAGAGCGACGCGGGGTTCCTGGCCGCCCCAAGTTCTTCAACGCGGTTGGTGGGTCCACTAGCGACGGTGAAGGGTCTTATGGCCTGACCGGTTCTTTTGGGGATAGGGCTTAACAGAGTTGAAGCCTTTGGGGCGGGCTCGTGATCTCATAGGAGCCATGAATCGCCATGGCGATCGTGGCTTGTCCTTGTGGTCAGTTGCCCAATGTAGGATGAAGTGGGGGAGGGGGATCAAGCTCTGGTCAACTAGGGCCTACGAAACTATCAATTTGAAACCAGCTGGAATAGCAAGTGCGAGAGGGGACTTAGGAAGCATTGTCGATCTTGGTCGACCGTCGGATTCCACCGTAATACGCTTGGCCATATTGATTAATGTTTTGTCGAATAGAATAGATCACCACACATCATTCAATACTGTCATTTGGTAATACTGGCGTCTTTCCGGAGAGGGGGGGGGGGGAGTACCAATGTCGCGTAAATACTGAATATTGCAGCACACAGAAGCTATGGGCCAACATATGGTCCTTCAATAGCCTAGCAGTTGTCACGGGCCTAACCCAAACCTTCTTATGATCTTTTCAAGACGTTTATCATGGCCATAATATTGTGGCATTTCCATCTTCCATGATTTCCAGTCCGTGTCTCTCTCGATCCTAAATGTAGCCCAGATAACTCGGATCAATCGGAGTGTTTCATCCCATCATGCAACCCGCGAAATCACAAGAAAAGAATCTGTCAAACATGGGAGATTTGATGGAGTGAAGTTCATTAAATACACTATTGCTGGGCGCACCCAATGTCGCGACACAAATTAGAGTGATAACTTAAAGCCATTGTAATGATGATTGTGATTAATGATCAGCGAATTCGTCGCTTTATATGCATGCTCGTAGGTATAATCTAGGCGATCTTCAGCCTGTGAAGCCTACGAATATCTACATGGCATTCCTATCTACTGTATGTTCACTCATTTTCAAGTTGGCCCCAGTGAATACGTCCGCTTTTACAATAAACAATTTACGATCGAAATGACATATACTATGGTTGCGACTCCGACCCAGAGGAAGTAATACTATGATGCCAGAGTAGGTGGGCTTTTCAAGGATATGGTAACCCGCGAGCCTCGAGATGACGAAATAGTGATACACTGCCCCAACATCGATCCGATCGCCGCGTAGGTATCTTAGAAGACCTCGTATTGCTTGAATGCAGGGTAGTGAATGACCAGGAGATGTCAGAAAATCCCCAAGTAGCCTGCATATAGAAGAGAGATATGGCAGATGGTCAGAAGCACCGCCTGACCCTCCCATCCAAGAAATAGCAGCAATAGTAGAATCAGATAAAACAACCCCAGGACGTCCCCAACGATCACAATCTAACATGGTCATTGCCCGCCCCACAGCACCAACCCCGCTCCCCAGTTCCTGAACCAACATCTCTGACAAAAACACCCATCAAAGAAAGAGCAGCAGAAGAGCCTTGAAACTAAATCCAACATCGACGAATCCCGCAAGTATCCGAAACGCCCAGCTTTCCCTTCCACCCCTCACTCTCGCCACATCAATTCGAACAACCTCAGTCCTTCTCCAACTCGACGGGTCACAGGGCCAGATCAAGTACCCGTACGAGTACACCCACTACACTACGGAGTAAAGTACAGCACAGCAAAGGGCACTACAGTACAGAAATTTGCCTGACCGGACACATCACATCACATCGCATCACACATCCCACACCATCGCTACGAAAACCGGAAATGGATGCCCAACCATTAACAAACCTCCAATCCGAATCCAAGTCCAACAACACTCCCTACACACCGCTTGACAGCGCCGGCTCCCCACCCTCCGACTCGTGGTCAATCCGGCGATTTCTCAGTCGACGCGGTAGTCGCCGGTATCGGGTCCTGGAGCGTGAACCAAATCGGTTGCGAAAACGTGTCAGCCAGTGATAGATGGATAATGGATGGATGGGAAAGTGGGAGTTGATGAAGAAAAGAAACGAAACGAAGCGAAACTCAGTTCACGGCTTGGAGTAGTATCGAGGGTATCAGATCTTGGCTATGTACTGCACATACATACATTGATGGCATGGAATAACTAATCCCGACTACGAGTATTGTATCCAGTCTATAGGGATCTGGTGGGGCAGCAATGCATCTAGCCTAGGGTACGGTAGGGTTGTGGTTTGCACATGGCTGAGGGAGATTTGAATGTGGGTTCCCCATTTGTCTTGCAGAGCAAGCAGATTTGTTTATCTTTCCTTCCCCACCCCCGGCTGGGTCTGGTTCCGTTTGGCTTTGGTTCTGGATTTGCTTCCGGGTTATGATTTTGATTTTGATTGTGAATTGGTTTGCTTCCTTTCTCTTTCGGTCGGAATTCGGCTCTGACGGACACCGAGACTGCATGGTATTTTTATCTGGCGTTTTACATAGAGAGGGGCCTTCGATTGGGGGGAGGGGATTGGATTTGAACATTCACGTCGCCCAGCCTCGGGGCTACTTGACCATTTTTGTTACTACGGAGTATGGTAGTTTGTTTTACCTTTAGCCGGAGACAGCCGCCAGTGCAGAGACATCGGTTACTTTTCGATCCGTTGGTCTAACTTTGAGACAGTGGTCGACTTTACTCCTCCGTTGATTGTACTATGTAGTGGCAATGCAAGATTGAAGAATGAAGCTGATGACCTGGCTGCCACATTGTCTTTTCGTGGCGGTCCTTCACTGGTCGAAGTAAGGCCAACGCCACCTTAGTTGGCTTGGATGTATGTACATAGATACATAAACGGTAAGGACTCAACTGCCGTACTCGACAAACTACCAGTGCATCGGATAGAATGTAAGGCGTGTTCGGCTTCTACGCCTGCACAGGCTCGGGGCTAGACTCCGCTCAATGGGGTGCAAGGTCGGTGCCTCTCCGCCGCTATCGACGCCATTGACAGGGGATCGCAGGGGTTAAGGTCCGGGCTTTTGACTGCCGGCACTCATGTCTCTCGGTGCCTTTCCAAGGTTGCAGGGGTGTGTTTGTCTGTGTCGAAGGTGGATGATGAGAGCCAGAGATGTGAGGAAATTGTGTATGATAGATTATATGTACGCAGTAGAGTAGATGCAACGGGTCTCTTTCTCTCCACGGGGCCCATTCCTCATTTGAATGTCTGGTGTCTCAGTGTAAGGCGGGGGACTGGATGGCTCGGGGTAATTCCTATCTCGGACGAGATGCAGGACAGTGGAGGGAGGCTGCGGCAGGGTCTGGACCCTCTGAACTTTCATGATCGACTCCAATTTGAGGGTCGATTTGATGATCAGGTGCTGCCAAAGGATCTAAGCAACAAGAACATCGGCGCTAGCTGGTTAAGAATAATGGAATCAAAGTCAGGCAGAGCACGACAGGTACTAACTAGTACGGAGTCGGTACGGAGCATATGGAGGGTAAAGTAAATTAGAATGGAATCCAAGAGCCACAATTCCGAGCTAGTCGCAAATTAATCTTAATCCATTGGGATGTGACTGGCAGATGGCTCCAGTTTAACGGTTTGATTCCCAATTGCCCAAGCAAAGCTCGGCGATTGGAGACGGCAAGCCGTTAGCCCAATGATTGGGCTCCAATATATTATGAGTATTATGATAATACTAATACTCCGTACTAGTAATAATAATATTTTCCGTGGCGAGGCCATTCAATTCAACTCGTCCGACGCAAACACCGCCACTCATTTGCCAAGACAAGGCTGCCTCTAACCGAAGGCTTTCTACAGGTGATAGTTGAATTTTTCCAGACATTGAATGTTGGATATGGCGACGGCGACAGCACCGTTTAATGTCGTCACATCACAATCCTGCAGGGCGGCCCCAGTGCAACGAAGAACTCACCATCGTCCTTAGCCCGACCGTAGCCCCGACCAAATCGGCCATTCTTTCGCTGATCAGATCCACTCCGACGAATCTTCCCCTTGGTGGACGGGCAAGAGAGATCGGGGAAGGAAAGATGTAAACATTTCGGAGAAAAAAAAAGGACGACGGGATGGATCCGTGGAATGGAGCCAGGAACATCGAGTCAACCGCACTCTGGGCCAGTCATGGGGACAGTGAGTGCGTAAGATCGTCTCCATTCCCGCGTGTCAACCCAAGGAATGCAGGCTTCTGGACCGACGGCGGATGAGGGAGGGGCCCACCGGGCGTCCAACGGTGGTCTTGGCCTCAAGACTGGAGAGGCACGCGCGCAGTGCACGAGATCCTTTGGCCTGTAGACTCTTTGCCGCGGTTCTCCGATGGGGCACTGCCACCAATATTGGGCTTGGGGGGTGGTGGGTGGTGGGAGGAAGGGATAGTCGGAGGGATCCGAGGACGAACACAGATCGCGATCAATGTACAGAGTAGTGGATGTATTATGCACCCATCCCATAGGTAATCTGCAGAGCAAATGATGATCTGATCTGATGATTGTATTTTTGTTTTTGTTTTTTCCCTCTTCTCTGCTCTCGTTCTTATTTTTTTGTGTCATGTAAAAAGTGGATATCCCCCACAAATGGAGACAGCAATTTCCAATGACGATGTTGATGCCGATCTCCCCTGAGGGACTCGTGCGACGGAGACGAACAGAGAGGACGAGTGTTGACTGACAAAAGCGTTATGCATCGTGTATGGAAGTAGGCCTTTTTCCTCTTTTCTTTTTCCTTTTCCCCCAGGGACTGTGTGACCAGAGATGGGAGGAATGGGGAGAGGAGGGAGTTGTGTAGTGTACGAGTAGGCAGAAAGAGAAGAGCAAGAGGAATGTAAAGTGGGTTTATTTTTAGGGAAAATCAAAAACGCCCAAACAATCTGGGCCTGAATCGATGGAGATGTTAGTATTGAAATTGAACTGCACTCTTGAGAGTAGTACGGAGTACTCGTCCTTGCTTCCTCTTTCCCTTCTCTCTCTTCTTCCCCCCTCTCTCCCTCTCCCTCTTCTCTTCTTCTCTTCTCTCCTCCCTCCCCTTCTTCTTCCTCTATTCGTTCGCCCCTTTGGCCCTGTGGCCCACACGATCGCTCTACCCTGTTGGGTATCTTTTTCCTTCCCACTTCCTCTGTATTTTCACTTTCAGTTTCTATTTCCGTTACGGTGTTTGACTTTGGCGTGCTCCTCTTCCCTCCCCAATTCAAAACTTTATCCCACATATGACGCCGGTGGCCCAGCCCAAGACTCGACTTCGCCTCTCTTCCTCCAACACTCGATGAAGTCCCGTTAGCTACTCGCCTTTTCTCGAGACAACTGCGACTGCGACTGCGACTACCAGTGCGACCACAACAATAATCACAACTACAACCCTGGCCACTGACTCGTTCCGGGGTTTACCCCCCCACCCCAAACCGTCATGGCGATATGGCCCTTTGGCCGTAAAAACAAGCGCCACACCATTCAAGTGAGCGCCGAAGAAGCAGATGTCCTGCAGACATCGTTGGAACGTGAAGCACCTCCCGCCGAGCCCACGTTGGCCCGCAAACCCTCCCGCCGCCGATCGATCCGTCAAGCTCATCGTCTCTCGCGCAACGGCGATGGATCCGAGAGTCTTCGCGGTTCGGCACGTTTATCGGTGACTCGCCCCATCTCGTTCCTGGACCAGCGGACCTCCGAACCAGAGGATCGTGCCCGACCCGATGGTCCTCCCCGACCACTCTCCCGAACCGGTTCGTTGCTAAGGAAGAACCCCCAAAATGGATATACCGGACCCAACAAGCTGCGCAAGAGTAAACGCAGGACCGACGAGGCCATCCGAGAACGAGAAATCAAAATGTTATCCTCCACTCCCATCGATATCCCGCATCGCTCCGCTGGCGTGGCCGGTGGTGACTATGTGTTGGAACACCGGCGCCGCAGAGCGGCCGGCCGACGCGCCGACCGCTACCTGTCAGATATCAGCCTTTCGATTCGTGACTCAGCCGCATCTTCCATGTCAGACGCCTCCGATCCCTATACTTACAAGGTCAACGCGTTCGCTGCGTTGACCCCTCGTCCCGTTGTGCGATATGTGGAGGCCCCCCGACCGACGACGGTGAGAAGCAACACTGAACCCACTGGCCCAGGTCGACAAGATAAGAATAAAATGCAAGCGATGAACATGTCGCAGGAGGACCTCTACTACTCCAGACGGCGGGTCAATGAGTTGGCCGATTCGCTAGATGCCAGTACATTGCGCGAGTTGCTCGATCGTGATCGCCGTCGTCGCGAGAAGAAGCAGATCGACGACACAGAGAAGCTGCGCCGTAAGCTACAAGAACGAGCGGATGCGCAAGAGACCGAGGGCGAGAAGGACCAAGTGGAAGCCCAAGAACAATCCCAACCACAACCCATCGAAACACAGGAGCCTCAATCACAAGTCGAGGAGCCACCAGTCGAAACCCCGGAGGAGGTATACAAGGAGCATGTCGTGGAGACTATACCCGAAGAAACCACTGGTACATCCCCCGAAGAGCAAACCGACTCTGGTTTGCATGGTGAACCCAAGGGTACCGATGCTGTCGAAGTAAGCGAATCTCGACGCGAATCCCTCGAAAGCGCTCATGTCATTCGACCTGTCGAAGAACGCTCCACTCGTGAGCCGAAGCTGGTCCCCCGGCCCAGCTTTGCTCCTTCACACGAGATGGGAATGTCCCGAACCACACTCTCGCCTTCCCACTCCTCCCTGCGTCATGGTGTCAACAGTAGCCATTCGCAAAACTTTGGTATTGGATCTGCCTCTGATATCTCTGATCGTCGGCCATCTGAGACCAGCGGCCACCGCAACGGTAGTAACACGATTACATCGTTGTTCCGACGCGGTTCTTCTCGCCTCAAGCGTCGTTACCGCGAACGCTTCCAAGAATCCAGCCCCGATGTCTCGAACGCGTCCCATGAATCGTTCTATAAGATCCAGACCCAATCCTCACCACCTCAAAACTCCGCCGTGATTATCCCTCCCCGTTCCTTTGTCCAACCCACTGGAATTGTGAAGCGTTCACAATCTAAATTCACGGAGCACTTTGGCGATGATGATGACACAGCTCTATCGCCCTCCGACTCCCGACTTCAGTCTCCTGATATTCCCGAGCAAGTGCCCGAATCTTCATTAGAGACTGAGAATGAGGGCACCTTCTTGCACGGCCCGACACCTACCCCCGGCATGGATATTATCAACCCAAACAAACGCCGCCACCAATCCTGGAACGAGAGCATCGACGCCGAATCCGACAATGTCCCACTCTCCCAGTCACTCGCTTCAATTGATTCTGAGGGCTCTTGGATGTCTGGACAATTCTTCCGCCGCATGTCGCAGAAGAAGCCCAGCAGCCCAGTTCGAACTCACATGAACTCATTCGGCGCCGTCCCAGCGGACGGTTCTGCCGATGTTCACGACGACGCGCGAGACTCGGTTGACTCCCGCAGCATCATGAGCAATGTGATGGGCGAACCCGAGATGGAGACTGATACAGCTGCTGCCGGTGCCAAAAAACCCTCTGAGATGTGGCACCATGAAGTTGGACGACGTCCGATGATTGTCAACCCAGCCAATCGCCCCAAGTCCAACCAAGGCATGCTGCTCAAGAGCATTCCTTCGCTCTCGCCCATCTCTGCCGAGGACGGCCACAGCTCCGAGGAAGAGACCGCTCCGCCCGTTGGCGTGCAACGTATCGTTAGCATGCATGGCGAGATCGGCCACATTGAGCAAGAGTGATCTCCTCTCGATGAAAACTTGCATTTCGATCGCCCGCTAATTGCATGCTTACTGCATCAGTCCTTCGCTTCGCGGGCTAGGCTTTCCGGACTCGGTTGGCAGCATTCCGTACATATCTTGACACTCCTTTCTAGATTTTCTTTTCTTTTGTCACTTTCCTTTGTTCATGGTCGCTCGATGCTCTTGCGCTGTCAGATTGCTTTCATGTGTACGATGAGATGAGATGTGATGCAAGGCTCCATAATATCCTTCCACCGCATAATTATCATCTGACCCCTTCCCTTCCCCTTCCCCTTACCCACACCCCCTACTGCCCTGTCCTATCTACCCTATCCTGCCCTATCCTGTCTTCGCTCCTGTTTGACCTATCGAGCTTGTCATTTTCCCAAAGTTGTTCCTCTGTGCCTCGTTGATACCCCAACTCGCCCCATGTTGTTTTGCTTTAAAAATTCCCAGATGCATCAATTCCATTCTTCCATGTTTCAATAGCACTGGTCAATTGACCTCTCCAGATCTGTTTGCCCTGTTTCATATACCATGCTGTCATTCCTGGTGTCGATATTGGACAAAATCCCCATTTTGAGTCTAATGCCCTGTGTTGATTGAGGGATTGTTTTTAATACACCTGCTTCGTGCGAACTCGCCGGAGATGACCCTTCTATACCTCTTTCCCTTCTATTGCCTATTGCCTATTGCCTTGATGGCAGCCACCCCTTCCCAGCCAGGCCTATGCGACCAACTAATGCCTGGCCTTCCATCTCGCCACCTTGGTTGTGGTGTTGCCACTGTAAGTATACCAGAAAGTGCTGGAATGGACCGAGAGTTCCTGCTGGAACGGGATCTCGGCAGTTTAATAATCATGTAATTGATAATCTGATAAAATATACCAATACTTATAAACCGAACTAAGCCAAACCATGACTCTTTGCTCTCTACTACTGTAAGTTATCTTTTTGTTGGCCCGACTGGTCCAACTTTGTAAGCTGCGATCACGTCATCTCCACTTTGGACGAACCAGCATTCTGCCTTTTCCCACCGCTCCGCTGCTTTTCCCTCGGGCCTCCTTTCAAGCAGCCTACAAGTGAATCCAATTGGACCATTGATCACGCAACCCCGTCTTCTGCAGCCTCAGACCATATCTAATCATGCGTCCCGTAAGTCCACACTGCCTGTACCCCATCTCTGCCTCATATTTCCCCTAGAGGGAACCGTCTGGACAGAGCCAGTCGCATTATTCAGCCGCGGCCTTACCTAAGCCCGCCTCCACCTCCGGCACGCAACGTCACCGGCCTATAAAACCCAAGGCGCCCCTCAGTAGTGCCCCTCTCTGGAATTTCCTAAAAGCTCACCCCTCCATCTCCAGTTCAAGACTTCTCTCCGCCTTTCGCGACTTCCTATCTGCAGAGCCACTCCCTCCGTGCTCCGTTCATCCTTCCAACAGCGCATTCCCGTGCAAACTTCCCTCCGACCCTTCTCCTCCACCCCAATCCCGCGTTTTTCGCAAACAACCCACAAAATGGCCGGCGGCAAGGTTATTGAGATCAAGAGGTACGTTAACCCCAGCAGCAGCAGCAGCAGCAGCAAACCCCAGCAGCTCTGAAGGCACACATACATACACACACACACACAAAGCATATACACTAACATATCCCACAGCAAGCAAGAGTGGGACGAGAAGATCGTTAACTCCACCGAGCCCATCCTCGTCGACTTCTTCGCCACCTGGTGCGGTCCTTGCAAGGCCATCGCCCCTCAAATCGAGAAGCTCAGCCTGGCCCACGAGGGCGTCAAGTTCTACCAGGTCGACGTTGACCAGCTCAACGACGTCGCTGCCGAGAACGGCATCTCCGCCATGCCCACTTTCCTCTTCTTCAAGGATGGCAAGGTCGTCGAGACCGTCCGCGGTGCCAACCCTCCCGGCATCCAGGCTGGTCTGGCCAAGCTGCTCTGATAAATGCGGCTGAGAAAATAAATGGATATGTTATGTCATTTCGCCTGTTTTCAGTGTGTGTTTTTAGTTTCTTAGAAGTGATTGCATCGCGTCAATTACAATTATCGAGAGTGAATTGATAGTGATTCTTTGGGTCTGAGGGCCCTTCTTGATATCCAATCGCGATATTCCTTTTGTGTATGGCCTTACGGATCTTTCATCTCTGTTTATTTGTTCTACAAGTACCACATGGGTATTTGTAGTTGTAGAACCTCATACTAGAGCCCCTGTCTGGTAACGGAACCGCTTGAGCTTTCAAATGGGTTTATGTTGGCTAAGTCACGGTTGACGATATCTACCTTGAAGTCGACATACATTGGAACGTTCCACAGACGATCTTCAAAGCATGCATGATCAACGTGGATCCTGCAGCATTATGCACCTAGCACCCTTGCATCGGATTCTCAGAAAAACTTCCGAGTCCTGTCAGTTTGTGTGTAGGTTGGAGTATGCACGAGACCATATGCACCGACCTCGAGGGGTAGGTAAATAGTTTTTACTAGGCGGGCATAAATGCCAATGTGATTGTGATAGCCTCAAAGCTAAATTAGGACTCGGATGAAAAGTGATTCGTTCCAAGGTTCTACTGAGATGACGTGATATTCGTTCGTAGACCCTTTAGTTGTTTTGTAGAACCACATAATTCTCCGATGATGCAGCATGGTACTAGTACTGAGGAGAGTTAATTCTGTTCCATTCCACCGTCTCCGATCTATCAACATGTTGGATTGGACTCTTGATCCCCTGCGTTTCGAATACTGTGAATTGAATATAGTCGACTTCCGTGCGTAGCTGTAATCTGGCAGCATCGCTTTTTAGATTACGATTTAACCTTTCGGGGAATTGAGATGGTGACAGTTCCGAAAGACCGGGCCCCATGATATGATCCGGCAGTTCTACGGATTTTCTAGCTTGTTTCAGGTTGCAGCGATCCTCTTTGATTCACAGGATCGCCGCAGGTGTATTCCAGCACGGTTTGTGTGGGGAAACGGCTTCCAGAATCTTCTTCTTGTTGAATATTGGAATGTAATAGTCAAACATTCAACCAGACTTGGACAAAGACGGAGTTAAATGGCGCGAGCGTAAATGCATTATTTTGGCAATATCGAAGGGAGTCTTGGGGCGATTGGGCTGAAGGTGTGATTAATTGTGCTTGAGAGATACTGTCTAGATCACTGACTATTCGGTGCTAGGACCTCGCCGTCAACTGTCGCCACCACTTGGCTCTGTGTTCAAGACACGATTTTGATGGTTGCTGTTTGACCATGTCTCGCGTTGGGTGTGTTGAAAGACAAACTTGGAATTCAAACTGACAAGTCTAAAACCATAATGATTCTCGTGAGAGAGAGTGAGAGAGAAAGAGAGAGTTTCGCTAGAGATATCTCCATGGGGGTTTGATTCTGGACCGGTTTTCGAGTCTCGATGTGACGAACCGCTCTCGGCGTTTTGTGTCTGTACAGTACCCATGTCTGCAGGGCTTTTTTAAGCTGCTGACGTGGGACCTTTGAGGCAGAGCTCCAAAGAGAAAATAGTACGGAAGTACCGAAAATATTCCAGTAGGTAATAGCAACAGTGAAAGATAACCTTGGAAAGCTCCGTGCCCACCGGGGAATGGATATCGTGGAGCCTACCCACCATGCCATGCGATTGACAGATTGACACTCGATAGATCACTAACCTTTACATTCCATTTTCCCCATTTGCATCTGAGCATGAGCATGTAGGTTTGACCAAGGGTTCTGTAAGCCCCACATGCGAAACGGAGAATTGATGCGGACGCAAACAGTGTCCGACGAGCCGACAGGCTGCGGCGAGTTTGTGGTTCGGCTACGTTGCCGAGAGAGAGAGATAAAAGGACAGAAAGAGGTCCCCCATTTTTAATTTCTCGATTAATCATATCGATCTATCTATCTGACTAGGAATAGGTAGCTAGAATCCGACCGAACCTGTAGGGAAGATAAAAGCAAGCCATGGGCGACGAGAGACAATTCCACCAGAATCACCACGGCGCTGGAAGGCGCTAACGAGATCGATCAAGATCTCGAGGGGTTGCCAGTGCGGGTCTGGCTGAGCACTGGCAATTCACAACCCTGCGCCACCAGGCACTCCACTGCTACTGGCACATTATGATAAGAAATGGGGTCCGATAATATACATTAATTTGATTGCGATATCTTGTTGGGTCTCTTTTCACGCGTGGCCGAGGCATGCCCGAATTTTCGGGGCCTCCTCTTGCGGCTCTAGTGCCATCCATGGATCGCTGGGTACCGAGGAGAGGATCCTCTTGCTCGGTAACTGAATCCTTCGAGCTTGGATGGAGTTGACCAGTGTCATTTTTGGGTGTAGGGCTACGCTAACAGAGCTTGGATGCGTTTGTGACTGATCGTCCACAGCAGCATGAACCGCCGGGTGGCAGATCCGGGATGAACGATGCAGGAGACACAGCACAAACCCTACCTTCGGACTACGAGTACGAGTACCTCGTACCCCTCCCTCCTCCCTCAATGAAAGATCTGTCGATTGCTCCGCCCAAAGGTGGGTGGGCGTGGGGCTTACAATGGATCTTTTCTCATTTGTGACTGGTGACTGGTGACACGGCGCAGCTGAACTCGACATTTAGTTTAGCCCCAATCAGCCCTCTTAATCATTGTCCCTCGGTAGGATCTTACCAGAGCTCGAAATGGGTGCGTGCCCAAGTCCAGGAAAAGCACGGGTTGTCAATAACTGCTTTATTTGAGTTTCGTGTGAGCGAAACTGCAATGCAACAATTGCATTCTCTCCTACCGTAGCGTGGGACTACTTTACCTCCCTGGGGCTAGGTCAGGATGGTTGTCTTGCCATTCTATTGAACAGATTGTCTTGGGGGCCACGCTAGTACAGCTCGGTGAGTGCTTTGATACGCTAGATGCAAAGCTCGACCCCATCGTTCTCTGTCCGCCTCGATCCGATCTAGATTGAGCACTGTCGAATAGAGGCGTCGATAGCAAAAGGTCATGCTCGCTTCAAAAGTCCACCCCTGACAAGGGTACGGCACTAGACGGGGCTTCCTATTTGTGTTTTTTCCCCCACCATCGTTGGATCCTCTCGATTAATCTGAAACTTTTTTTCAGCCAGCATGGTCCACTGTCCTCGGTACATGTTGGCTTGACCACGCGAAAGCGCCCCCATGAGCAATCATTAGATGCAGGCCATGTGTAGCTCCGTGGAGACCTTCCGTCTTCCAGATCGGCTCTAGGTCCATATCGCTTGCATATGGGGCGAATAATATGTCCGATGCTTGCCAGTGCGAGCCCAGCACGCATCATCATGCCGGTCCTGCTAGTATATTATTCTAGACCCCCCGTGTCGCCGAGCTGATCTGGGTTTAAACTTGAACTTGAACGCATACCACTATCGCGGCACTTACAGTGTTTTTTATGACATTCTCTCCTTCTCTATCGTCATATTATCTGATCTAGTATCCCCTCCTTACGAATTGGCTTCCGTCATTCTCATTCCAGACGCAAACCACGCACTGTGAATGCCTGGCAAATGGTGTAACTGTACCTGAACTCCCACTCACTTGAAAATGCCTAGTGAAGGCACTCAGGATGGGGGCCCGTCTGTCAATCCGGGGGCTCTTGTCCATGTCACCTACCTCGCGGGGTACATCTTCCTTTCCTACGTGATCAGCTCCATGGGATGTGCGACAACATTAGAGCTTCTTCATCGGAGGACCTCAAGATCTGGTTTTTATAACTGGTGAGTCAAAACTAACGATCGGCCATCATTTTCACCGCCACTATGGAATAGACAAACTAATTTTGCTACTGCAAAGGTATCTACTGCTCACATCCTCGATTACCATGGGCGGCATTGGAATTTGGTGCATGCACTTTATCGGTAATCGTGCCATCGTCCTTGGAAACGGGGAAAAAGAGATTCAAATTCTTTACAACGTCGCTTTCACCGGAACCTCTTTCGTGCTCCCGGTAATCGTATTACTTGTCGCTTTTTATTCCGTCGGTGTTGAAGAGAAGGCATCATATCTTCGCATTTTGACCGGAGGACTGTTAACGGGAAGCTCCGTCTGTGGCATGCACTACGTGGGACAGCTGGGTATTGCGAACTATAAATGCTCATATCATGTTGCGAACGTCGTCGGCTCTGCCATCATCGCTATTTTCTCTAGCACGGTGGCTCTTGGAATCTTTTTCCGATGGAGAGCCACTTGGACCGATAGCTGGTGGCGTCGGGGACTCTGCGCCTGTTTACTTGCCGCGGCGGTTTCTGGAATGCATTGGACCGCTACTGTTGGTACGATATACAGAGAGCGTGATAGTTCCATGAACCATGGAACTCAGCTATCTCGAAGTCAAGTCGTTATTATCTGTGCCGTTCTGGTGAGTCGCCCTCATCGATTACTCATATGGTTGTAGCCTGCAGGGACTAACCTTGGGATATAACGTATAGGCCTGTGTCTCCTGCGTGATTTTATCTGCCTGTGCGATTATCGCTGGTGGAAACAGAAGAAGATCAGCAACACGCGCCCATCAGCTCGTCCTCGCCTGCGCATACTTCGATCCAGCGGGACGAGTTATGGTCACGCCACAAGCTCTTCTTCCCACCAAGAAGATCGTGGACCATTATATCGGACGGGTTCGTTCACTATAGGATTTCTTGAAATCTGTCCATAGGTATAAACTAACTAATTTATGATTTGCAGACTTTCAAAGATGATGATCTCACTCGCACCCACCCCACCTTTCTTTGGGCATTTAGGGCCAGTCGAAACTGGAGTGTCGTGAAAGACCTCATTCCATTCATGCGAAACCGCCTTGAATCCGAGCAACACGCCATTCAAAAGCACGTCCTGTCCCGAGGAGTGGTCATGGACAAGGACACAGAACTGCAGACGAACTTTGATACTTTATTCAAGCAGCTGTTCTGCGTCAGTGCCCAGGAGCTCTCAAACGAACTGCGACAACCCCTGGAGGACCTTGGAACATTGTACGATGATGTACTCTCAACAGCAATTCCAGTTTCCAGATTCTCTCGCGCATTGGGCCGCACTTCTTTGCGAACTGGCAAGGGTCAACTGATTTTTAGCGTTCGCCAGCTCCAGAAACATGAGGCAAATCGTCTGGCATCGTCCGGTTTCCGATTTGCAACCGTCGAGCATGTGACGGCTACACTATCTCGCCGTATTCATGTTCCAGAGGTAGATCTCCTAGACCATCTTCGTGATATGCGCGACTATGCGTCATCCAACCGCGGCTTCTCGGAAGGAGTTCACCTCATCTCATTCGTTATGCGCCCTACCGTTCAAGATCACTTCGAAATTCTCACCACTAAGGGAACCGGAAATCCCCTCCCATCTGCTACCTTACCGATCAAGAGATTGAATGTGCAACATTTAGATATCCTCTCTCACTTGGATGGATGGTCCATGAACAACTGTCTCAAGTATCTCCAGTCCAAAGCAGCGATCCAAAACGACAAAGCTATGGACGAATTCCGAGAATACCTAGTGCGAGGAGTCACCTCACTCGCCAGCTCATTACCAGAAGACATGCGATCCGCAGCAACATTTTCCGCACGACCGCTCGTCGCACCCTGTCACAGCGCAGAGCGCTCTGCAGACGAGATTCAACAAACCCAACAATGCACCCTCCTCACCTTCTGCGTCGTCGGGACCCTCGACACGCAAGTTCCCAACCCCGACTTTACCTTCACACCATTCCGTCTCTTCCGCGTACAGCAACAAGTCAACGACACATTCGCTGACCGCGAAGGCTTCAGCCGCGAGCTCAACCAAGAGCTCTTCTGCACAGACGTCCGATCAGGATCCAATGCCTCTGAATCGGACATGGCCTCATCCAAACGCTCTGCAATCCTCCGCATGTGGCCATTACGAAGGAACACCACCTCACTACCATCGCGTCGCACTTCACAAGAATCCTTGGTTGACCTCAAAGCCACAGCCATGGGTGATATCACCGTTCAAAAAGAAGTCAGGGTAGATGTCACCCGCCTCAACGAGAACAACGCCGTTCAAAATGCGCGCGGAACTCACGACGCCGTCATCGCCGCTGGCGATGGAGTCATTACACCTACTACCTACGTTGATGAACTTTACAGCCTGTGCTATGCACCGGGACTTCGCCTGCGGCCAGATTCGACATTGCGTGCATCACGACACTCCAATAAATCATAATGTTCTTTTGTTGTATTTTTTTTTCTCTGCAGGGCGCTGAAACGGAAATCTAAAAGCTGGCCTTATACGACGTCTGATTTTATTTTTAACTTGAACATGTGTTATACGCATTTTACCCGTGGCTGGAAGCTGTTGTATATAATATACGATTCACAATTGGATTTCATTTGCAATCAAACCCGGCTTCGTGAATATAAAAAATTAGGCCATTATACTACTAGTACGTGCCATATTTCCTACCATTACTCAGAGAATAGTAATAAGAACGGCCTCTATTAAGCACCTAGTCTATAACCAGTCACAGAGCATGGTGATGTAGTCGTGGATCTCAACACCAGTTGAAATAGCTTAAAGCGTTTTTCAGAGCAAATAATACCATGATTCAGTGCTATTACAGCGTGTGCACGCCTTTTGTCCTAGTGGAATATTTTTTATACTAATGTTTCACCTCCTTGGTTTGCGACAGCGTTCGGTATATGACTGGTCACCTGACAGTGCTCATGTTCGGAGTACGACAGGGCTGCTCATTGCTTCGCCATACTGGCTATGTTATTTCCCATAGCTCTGCACTTCTGTATCGTCTTTATTTTCGAAAAAGGCGCCTCTTTACTGAATTTCCGTTTCTTGTATCCTATCATTTCGTCAACATTCGTCATGCCTTGGCTGGTTCTTTGCTTGTATCCTTCACCATCCTCCAGTCCTTCAGCGTAAGATGACCCAAGGGACCTGGGAAGCTCAAGAGGAATTTATTCACGGCTACAGTGCAGGAACGATATGTCAACTTTGTGGTTTAAATGTTCACAGTTTATTGTTTTTGAGGGCTATTCTCGAAGAGGATGGGTTCAAAGATCATTACGAGAGAGACCCTGTTCCCAATCACTTGCTAGTGCCATCAGTCGAAGATGAAAAAGCAAAGTCCTCCAAGCGTCCTTGGTTGGCGTTTTGCTATTATCGAGTAGGTCAGTAGTTTCGAGACTCCTACAATTATAGACTCAAGTCTAACAATACAGCCGTCGAATCTCCTGCCCAAAAATACTCTCTCGAATTGGAACGATGACTCGGAACTTTGGTCACGAGGGATACGATTGGTACAATCCGACAGACAGAGCTACCGCTCTCATATGGAGTGGAGCTTCAAGATCACCATATATTATCCTATAATGGACGCAATTTTATTCAGCTCCTAGAACAGAAGGACTTGAACCACCGGTGTTCCATGAAGACAATAACATTGGTCACATCTTCCATGCTCATTGCTAGAAACTATTCGTGCATCTTCTAGGGAAAGAAGTGACGGATAGGATGATTGGTAGGGTCGTCCAGGCTGCAAGGCAGTATTGGCAACCTGGGCAGCCTGAGGTTTTCAGGTCTAACTTGCCCAGGTGTCAGAAGGTTCGTTCTGCTACTGACTTGGCACAGGTGTATACCTCCAGATTCTCGAGGCACAGCAAGTTAATCCTACTCTATAGACAGAGATTTGTGGGAAATTCACCAGGAGTGCTTGGCCCACTTACGCTTGAGGGTGTTATCACGCTCTGACGGTAACAACCCTAGATGGGTCTCCTGACTAGATATAGAAGAAAATAAATCGTACACTCCGATTGCTATTAAAACCTTGGTAACTATATACCAGAATGAGATCATTGTATCGTGACACGTCAAAGAATGGTCAGTCGCTTAATGAATACAAAAAATAGAACACCATGGCACGGCAAGTAATTTCTCATCCTTTTATGCGCTTTGCAATAGCAAATTGCGACGTAGTTTGCAGAATGGATAGCGGCAGCTTGTTTTCTTCCCTTTCTCCCTTTCTCCCTTTCTCCCTTCATGGATTTCCCTCAATTGGCATTGGGATCCTCACGCTCCAAAAAAGCCGGATCCATCTCAATGCGGCGCTCAAACTTTGTCCACCAATCGCGAAAGCTCTTGAGTGGCACGACATCATGGCCCTTATTCGAAGGATCTGATTCGGCAAAGCTGGCGAGAAAATTAAACGCACTGCCGATGATCCGTTGAGCGAGAACTTTGGTAGAGATTTGGTTTTGCTGGGAGCCTGAGCCAGACAGGGTCACTAGGGCTGTAGAGCTGGATGTGTTTTGCGCGCGCTCGGCCTCGAGGGCAGAGAGCTGAGGCGCAATGTTCTCTACGGCCTCGATTGAAATTCCCAGTGTCACGACGCCGTTGGTTGCGATTGAACCCTCGTCGAGCATGGCGTCCTCCTGCTCGGCTTCTGAGCGGCCGTTTCCATTATTCTGCGCTGGATTGCGGATGTTGAAAATGCCCGATTGTTTCTCGTTTGCTAATGCGCCGACAAAGCGGAAATCGGTGGGTGTTCCGGTGTTTGGATCCGGGAGTTGAGCATAGATTGCAGCACCGGTGTTTGGTGGGAGAACTGTGCCTGGAAGGAAGAAGACGACGAGATCGGTGAAAGGTGGGTTGAATGGGATTGTGAATGCGAATTTGGTAGCTTGGCCGTTTGGTTGGCCGTCCACGGGGACAATATCTGTTAGGCACGGGCGGCCGGGAACGACGACTGAGAACATTGGATTAAAGTAGATCGGGTAGGGGATCGGGTAGAGGGGGTGGCGATTGAGAATAGCTGAAAGACAGGTAGAAAGAGAGGTAGGAAGAGATTCAGCCTGATTTCTTTGAGGGTCAAGTTGAACGGGTTTGCGCCGGTGACATAACCTGACCCAATTAGGCAAGTCGGCGGGGGAGCTACCCTTATCGGGCGATAAGGGCTTGGCATTAAGGTTTCATAGGACGGGGATTTCCTAGAGGTTCCCATGTTGACTTGTCTTGTCCTTTTAACCATCCATTGAGTAATACTCTCTATTCTCCTCATTCACCATGGCCAAATCCAATCTGGATCTGATCAAGGAATGCGATAAGTATTGATTCCCCGTTCCATCAGTTGTCGCATCCTCTCACCCACTCAGCTTCCCCTACTACGAGGACGACCGTGCCGCCTACACCGAGAATCTCAACAACTACCATGCATTCCGCGTCTCTGGATATGATGCTACCCTGGGATATATAATTAAATCGGTCGTTGACCAATTTCCTTGGCCGCAAGAATACTGGAAGATCGACTCTCAAGCAAAGACCGTCACTCTCATCACTCCCGCTGGAGCGGACCCCGCACTCCGCAGTAAGCTGATCGCAGAGACCATTGAAGAAGCAGTCAAGCAAGAAACGTTTGAGGTGCTCAAGGGATGGCGCAATGAAAGATATCCGGTCTTTGCACCTGGTGGTGAGTACATCTTCGAGATCGAGCGGAGTGCGGCGTGTCTGTTTGGTGTTGTCACCTACGGAGCCCATATGACCGGATATGTCGAGGATCCGGCCGGCGTGAAGCTGTGGATTCCTCGACGGGCCAAGAACAAGCAAACATATCCAAGTATGCTTGATAACACCGTTGCGGGTGGCATGTGCACCGGTGAAAAGCCATTCGAGTGTATCGTCCGCGAAGCAATGGAGGAAGCCTCTCTACCGGAATCCGTGGTACGTGCCTCTATCCTTGCACGAGGATGCGTCACCTACACGCATGTTCGCGATCCACGTGCTGGGGGGGAGACAGGTCTTCTTCAGCCGGAAGTGGAGTACGTCTATGATCTGAAGCTCGACCCGTCCGTGATCCCGAAGCCCGGAGATAGCGAGGTCGAGGAGTTCAAGCTGCTCTCGGTCTCGGAAACTCAAGATGCGCTGTCGCGGGGTGAGTTCAAGCCTAACTGCGCGATCATTCTGGTTGATTTCTTCATTCGTCACGGCATTCTGACAGCGGAGAACGAGCCGGATTATCTGGATATTGTGGCCCGGCTGCATCGCCGTCTGGAATATCCAACTGCATCGCACTGCGTGCGGTAAATGCTGTTAAGACTCGTCTAAGTGTGTATAGAAAATGGATAGCCGGACCGTCACGATTTCTAGTGTGGCATTGAAGCATAATGTAAATAATGCTAAAGTAAATACGATCAAAGATAAAGCCTTCAAAAAAGACAGGAAAATCTCGCTTGGCCAATATTGAGCCTCAAAACATCATTTGTATCTGCCAATGGCAAGCAGATGAGAACGAAACCGATCGACGTTGGTTTCATGTATTGAAAATAGATGTCTGTGCCTCCCTAGTAGTATAGAAAGGGCTTTGGTTGCGGAAGTTGCCAGTGACTCGCTCTCTTTAGTAGCCGGCGGCGACATCTATACTTCCACTCTATTGGCCAACTCGATACTATACCAGCCCTAGCGTAGCTAGCTCCTCGATACCTACTACTTGTAATTACATACTATTATACCCTAGCAAAACCACCCAGGCTTGTGGCACATCGACCGCACGAAGCATGCCTAAGACAGTCATTCATGGCGAGGTGGATTCTGCTACAAGCGAATATTCGTCCCATCTTCGTCCCATCACAACCTCTAACCAGCCAATCGAAGTAGCTGGAATAACCAGACCACATATAAAAATCCGGTCCTACATCCTCCGCATAAACTGGCTTGAGCAAAAGTAAAGGTTTTGATAAATGGTCATTCATCTATCGGTATCCAAACCCAAATCGAAATGCAAGGGAAACGCCAACGCTGCACAATAACAACAAAGAGATATGAACACATCCGCCGGAATCAAAGACACCCCTAACTTTTTCTATCGGTCCATGGCAGACTCATTTCGAAACATGGGCTCTCTTCATAAAACATTCATGCAGATTCAAACAGCGGACAGAGGGAGCCTGTCTATTTCTTGAGAAGCAGGTAGACGTAGTCAATTCGCAGAGGGGCAACCTTCTTATAGGGACCCTCCAGATAGAGCAACAGACCACCGAAAGAAACGAATACAGCCCTTAAAACCGTTTATCAGCCAATGTTTCCGAGGATGGAATATGTATGGAGTAAAGTATCTGCGAAAAAGACTTACATGGTATCCTTGGTTGCGCCCTCCTCGAATCGGTAGACCTTACCGTGGCAGACGTAATCGTAGTCATTAGCCAGGGTCTGCTCGCCATTGCTGACATCTCTCCAGCTGTTGCGGGTGTCTTCCTTGCCGTCGAGGGACAGGGTAGATGCAAGCGCCAGAGACAGTGTCTCGCCGACAGCGCATGGGTAGAGCTCAGAATTCACATCGAGGGTGAAAGTGAGGGAGGCATCGGTGGAGGTACAAGTCAGACGCGAGACACGGTCATACTTTTGGGCGTTGACCGAAGTGATGGTGAAGGTATCTTCGAAGAGGAGAGGGTCGGACATGGTGGGCGATGCGATTGCACGAAGGCGGAGTTATGAGAAATATAGAGGGCACAAGGACTGTGCGCGAGTGGTGATCGAGTATATTAGGACAAGGTGAAGGGGACGCGCGAGTCGATTGAGGCTGTAAGGTTGGGAGAGAAGCGGTGGTGAAAGTTGGAGATGGTCGGAGTTGCAACTGAAGCTTGCCGATTCTTTTTTTTTCTACCGCCTTTGCGTCTCCCCCGCTGGATGAACCACTGGCACCAACCCGAGCCTCACAAACACCTCTTCATTCTCGTGTAAAACGAATTCACACTCTTTTGCGACACAATGTCCTTTCGCAAGCGCAATATCGGTCTTGGAACCGATCGCTCTGCAGTTCCAAATGCCACACAGACAGCCCCGCCAGAAGTGACGCCCGGCATTCGCCCCTCCCCCGACGATGGACGACCAACTACTTCGACCGGAGCACCGTCTTTAGACAACCTCCTCGCGGGCCATGCAGGTCTCCCATTGGGAAAGAGCCTGCTTATTGAGGAGAATGGAACTACGGATTTTGCTGGTGCATTGCTACGGTATTATGCCGCGGAGGGAATTGTTCAAGAGCAAAAGGTCCATGTGGTCGCAATGCCTGAACAATGGGGACGCAGTCTACCAGGCCTTATTGGTACCGCAGAGTCTCTGGATGAGAAGAGATCCGACAGGCGTAAGGATGAGCGCATGAAAATTGCCTGGCGATATGAGCGATTAGGCGAGTTTGGCGCAGGCGTTGCAGGTGCACGAGGTGGTGAGTACCCACGGAGAGGAGCTTGATTGTATCGTTTCATAAGACTGATTGTTATGGTAAAGCTGCTGCTCCTTCATCGTCCAATGCCGGAGAAAAAGACCCCAATGCGAAGCAACCACCTGCCTTTTGTCACGCCTTCGATCTCACCAAGCGACTTGCCCACCCCTCCATCACCAATATGACATTCATTCCCTTCACGCCCGCCAAAGACTCGCCCTTTCCAGCAATCCTCAACCGACTCGAGACAGCCATTGCATCGAGTGCCGCAAACACCATTCATCGGATTGTGATCCCCTCCTTGCTCAACCCGACCTTGTACCCGCCCGAGTCTTGCCGGCCTGAATTTGTCCTGCAGTTCTTGCACTCCCTCAAAGCACTCCTCAATGCGTACCCCGCACGTGTGACAGCAATGATAACATTCCCCTTGTGTCTGTATCCTCGTTCATCCGGTTTGGTCCGCTGGATCGAGCTGCTCAACGACGGTGTCATTGAATTATGTCCGTTCCCTCATTCTGCGGATAATCTCACGACTTCGGGTGCCGCCACCTCACAGGAGGAACCGCCGCAAGGCATGCTCAAGACCCATCGACTCCCAATTCTACACGAACGCGGTGGTGGAAGCGATCAGAATGTCGGAGAAGATTGGGCGTTTACTCTGAGTCGGCGGAGGTTTGAGATTAAGCCATTTAGTCTGCCCCCAGCCGAAGGAGATACCGAGGCGCAAGACACGGCTGCATCTAGCGGTATGCCCAAGAAATCAGACCTCGAATTCTGATTAAAGCATGAGCATGATGATTCCGTCGTATCCGCGAATTCAATCCTCTTCGTCGAATTGTCGATGAGTTCCGGGCTCGGCCAGCATGTCGTCCAACTCGATCTGTTCAGACATGGCGGCACTCGAATTAGCCATTGTTCGCAGGTAGCTTTGGCCGTACGAGCCCATTCCTGATCGTGCCGAGAATCCTCCAGTGCGATTACGGAGACGATTCCCCAGACAGGATGAGGCTACCAGCCATGCTGGAGAGTGTGTGAGCAAACTATGGCCATATATTCAGTGACAAGAGCAGATGGGTACAAACCAACAAACAGCAGCAATGGGGCAAAGAAGACCAGGAACATCAGAAGTAGGAAGTTCATGACGACCACAGGAGATGGGAATGAAGCCGCGCGCCGCCATCGCCGAGGCGAGCCATACCTATAGCTGTTGTGGCAGAATGACGACCGCCTACCCAACTCGACCTACGGCCGATGACACATCCACTTTTTTCGCTTCCAATTTCTTTTCTTTCCCTCCCGCTTCGACTTCTTCCTCTTTCCCTGCTTCCACACATTCCGTCTGGCTTTTGCTGGTCAAATTCCAGACTCCGCTCGCTAATGGTAAGTCATGACTGTCTTTATTTTTTTCCTTCCTTTGCATGATTATATATCTACAAATCTGTCAATCCCCTGAAGCTCGAGATAAATATCTCAAAAAGAGCACCGGTGACGAGAAACGTATAATAAATGACCTGCCTTGAATCTTCATGTTTTTGCTATCACATCTTTCTTTGATGAGCCTTGGCTAACATGGCATTCGCTATAGTTACAGAACCTATGAGTCAAGCCACGCTCTTGAAGGACAGTTGAAGAAGAACAAAGAAGAAGAAGAAATAATCAAAAATGGGGACCCCTACCATTCCAATTCCGATCTCATACGTATCTGGCAGATACCTGCTCTTCTCCATTGATGCCGTCACATACCTGCGACGCGAGCACCACATCTGCGGCGTGTTGATCGGGACTCTCCCACAAATACCACAGCAGAATGTGTTCCTGGGTCTGCCGTTGGAACTGATGCCCGAGGAGGCGCGGCTTTTGGTGGACAAGGGTGTAGCTTGCATCGTAGACGAAACAAAGGCACACGATAGCATGAAATCTCTCCTCGAGGAAGACCGCCGCCAGTACCTACGCGAACTAGACTCCCAGGGCCTTAACGCCTCCCGCAAACTGTCGGACCGCAAGGGCCAGCAACGGGAACAAGTGTTGAAGAAACTAGATGAGAAGGCCAAGGCTAAAGCGATCAAGGCCTTGGAGAATGAGGGTGAAGCAGATACCCCGCCCACGCCCACGCCCACGCCCTCGGTGCTCGGTGAAGAGCGGTCGAGCAGCAGGTCCTCCAACCGCACATCTGGTCATACAATGGCCATGGGCGTCACCCCAACAACTTCCTATCCTCCATTAGCCCAACCGACCTCATCACAACATCTCCCGCCACCTAATGTACCTCTCTCCTACCCGCTCTTCGCCCATCTGTCCTCGCGCGGCTACTTCCTCTCCCCTGGTCTGCGATTCGGTTGCCAATATGTGGCGTACCCCGGTGATCCGTTACGATTCCACGCGCACTTCCTCTGTGTGTCCGCAGAGTGGGATGAAGAGATTGACTTGATGGCCATCGTCAATGGAGGCAGACTGGGCACTGGTGTGAAGAAGGGCTTCCTTTTGGGCGGACCAGAAAAGCCCCGGGCTGAAGCTGAAAGTGAAGCTGAACGAGTGGAAAATGTGCGCACATTCAGTATTGAGTGGGCAGGCATGTGAAGGGGCTTGCTTCTGTTAACGCTGTCTCAAAACTTCTCGCCTCCTGTCGCTTGTCTCTGGCTGCAGTCAAACATCCATCAGGAGACGCTCTCCCATGCAGTATCCAAACACCACATTCCAAGCCGAGGGAGTCACTCGGCGATGAAAGATTCTTGACCATCGAATCGCCAGTGAGTGTCTCCGAGCATACTACAATGTCTCGAATTGACTATGTATGCGCCCAAATCGAAATGGCCTTTCGGGTCACCTGCTGCAAAAGAAATGGGAAGATACGATTGTTGAGCTTTTATCCTGATGTGATGATGGCCCGTTATCATATCTGAGGAACGAAACTAATGCAATTCGAGCTTGGCAAACCTTAAAAGATATAAGGCTACAGTATAGCCACATAAAAGCTTCACAATAGAGCAGATCAATGAATTGACGACGCAATGCTCTACCAAAGTGGTCTATCAGGCTCTAAGCCCACTCGGACACCGCCAAAACAGCATAATGGAATCGGGAATCGGCCAGATTCAGTCATGATTTTTTTTTTCATGAGAAAAATTCACTGGCATCGCATAAGTTGATTGCATCATCACAGCCCTTGGATGTGATGATTTTTATAAGATACCCATGAATCTAAAGAAACAAATAAATGATCATTCAAAACAAGATTATATTCGCTCAATATGTACTCCGTACCGCCCATGCATGCCTCGCAAAACTTTATTCAAGCCCAGTGGGATCTGTAGTCGGAAATAGACCCGCTATATGTAATCGATATTCCTCCACTTGAACTTCTTATTCGCCCGATCCACAGGTCGATTCTCAAATTGACTCCCGTGCAGCTCGAAAACGAGTGGTTTGGGTGTATTCGATGCATCACCCCCGTCTATATTCGCTTTCTCGGAAGCAGACCCGTCGCTCGTCGGTACTGGCAGCGGCACAGTAAATTTGAAGACCGTATGTTCCTTCGGGATAGCTGTGATCATTCAAACCCGTTAGTTTCAAGTAACAATACCCAAGAACAGCAACAGCAACAGCAACAGAAATAAGATACCACTCACTCTTAACCTCATCCTTCACCGTAACAACCACAAACGTAAACTTCGTATCTCTCACCACAATCCCCTTCAACCCCACCCGCCCTGAAGACCGACTCCTCACAACTTCCACCTCCGCCCCATGATAGTCCGCACTAACAAGCTTCGCACCATGCGACGAAGGCGTCAATAAACACCCACCCCTAGCCGCAGACCCTCCAAGGTCCAGAACATCTTGCATATAGCTAATCCATAGCTCATGCAGGCCCTTAAAGATCGCGTACTTGCATTCGTCCTTTGGCAAGTCGTGTAGCCCGGAGGACCGCTTTTCGCGCGCAGATAAGGGTTGCGGGCGCTGGTGGCGCCGGAAGTATTCTTTCTTTTGGAGTCTGTGCAGGCGGCGGCGGGATCGGTTGTCAGAGGCTGAGGGTGAGGTTGGGCGGAGGAAGAGTGGTTTCTGCTTGATGCGCTCGGTGAATTGTTGGGTTGCGCTGTCTGGAGAGTGGGCGCGGGAGAGGAGGGTGTGGGCGATGTGTTGTTTGGGGGTCGGTGAGTCTGTCATACTGGACGGTTTGGCCTTTGTGCAAGGCCGTGGCTTTGTGCACGAGAAGAAAAGTGGTAGAGGAGTTGTTGGAGGTCGAGTTGGAGTTGAGAAAATTCCCGCGGGTCAAGTTGATGTCAACCGATAAGATAGCAGCACCATGGTAGCCCGGGGCCGTATAGTTACTCCATGCCATACATATCGTGATCAACACATATATTCAGGTTGCTACTCTATTTACTATATTCTATAATCTTGCCAATGGCCCATCCGATCGAAAAATCCCAAGACTTGACTGCCCAATCTCAGAGATTGATTTGCAACCCGCCAGCTGCATACACCTTTTAAAGTCCTGGTAAAGAATGTCGAGCATTAACTCCACTCCTTGCTGCCCATTATACTATTCGAGACATGCGATTAGCCTTCAATGCTCTTTCACGGAAAAGATAGGATCAGTCTTACCGCCAATCCCCACAGCATCGGACGGCCAACCCAGCAGCACTCCGCCCCCAATGCCAAAGCCTTGAAGATATCGCTCCCAGACCGGATGCCCCCATCAATATGGATGCGAATGCGCCCTTGAGCAGCTTTCGCACAGGCGGGTAGAACATCAATCGTTGCTGGTGTCTCATCCAACTGCCGTCCACCATGGTTGCTAATCACAACGCCATCACATCCATACTGGATAGCCATCTCCACATCCTCAGGCGTGAGTACACCCTTGATCCAAATCTCCATCTTCGTGACACTGCGTAACCAGGGGATCTCTTCAGCCCAGGAGTGCGAAGCCGAATTGAAAGATGAGAATCCATCGTCGTGCGATTGCTGCTGGATCTGCTCCGACGTCTTCTCGATCATGGGGTAGTCCAGCCCGGCTGGGGGTATGAATCCATTCCGCCATTCGTTAAACCGCACACCGAGAACTGGACTATCCGCTGTAAGGAAGATCGCTTTGCAGCCGGCTTTCTCAGCGCGGTGCACGATGCGCGCTTCTTTCTCACGGTCTGTCATTGAGTATAGTTGCATGACGTGGTGGATAGGTCCGACTTCGGTTCCGGCAGCGGTGATCTGCTCTACGGAGTGATTGGCATACGAGGAGACTCCCATGTTGACACCTGCTTTGGCGCATGCTCTGCTCGTTGCGAGTTCGCCGTCTGCATGGGCCATGCTTTGGAGGCCGGCTGGCGAGACGCAGAGTGGGAAGGTGATGTCTCGATCGAATAGTCTGATCGCAGTGTTGACTTTGGAGACATCTTTCAAGACACGGGGCAATATCCGATATTTTTGGTATGAGGAGGAGTTCTCATGGATGGTGACTTGGTTGGTTGCACCGGAATTGAAGAAGTCTGGCGCACCGATGCCCCTCATTAGCCATTGAGCACTATATATTAGGTGAAGGGTTCATCACCTCGAGTTGCAACTGGTAAGATCTGCGATGCTGCCCTTTGAAGGTCTGCGATGCATAGGACTTTTTCAGCTGCCATGGTTGAGGCCTGCTTATATTGAGGAGGTGTTGTGGCATCTTCTGGTGAGAAATGCGGGGTGGTTGTTGTCCTCGGCGTGGGGATTACTCCACTTGGGTTAATGGGGATTGCTTGATCAAACAGGCGCAGCAGTGGTGCCTTGAGGATATTGCTGATACCAACGACATTCCGTAGTCATAAAGCATGGGATAGTTATCGTCATCCAAGATACAGCAGGCTGTGGTGGCGGCAAAAAAGCACCCGCCCTGCTCGACGCCAATATCAGGGAACTCGATACAAGCAGTTGTTTGTACGAGTACTTTGCTGGACAATTACCTTCGGATCAACATCTGTGAGTCCGACCACGGAAGCATAAGTTTTCAATGGTCGGTTACTTCCTCGGTCCATTCGGCTTCCCCGCATGGATGTGTTACTTCCATCGTGGATTGAATCATCTGAGAGCGCTACCTACCCTGAGCAACGTCGACAAGAAGTCCGATTATCTACACAGTATTCATTTGATTAGACTATCAACCATGACCCAGCCTTCGGATACTGAAAATCTGGGTAGCTTCCCCGGCCTACCTCCTTTCCCAGACGACGTCGCCACGGCACCGCTTCTTCGGCTATCACTGGGGAAGTTGTTAGCCGGGGACCTAGCAGAGTACGAGCGACTATTCGAGGCATCTGTCGATATTGGATTCTTCTACCTCGACCTTCAAGATTCAGAACAGGGGGAATCGCTCCTCGACGACGCAGATGACCTCTTCCGGGTTGGAGAAAGTTTGTTCGAGCTGCCACTGGAAGAGAAAGTGCTGTATGATTTCAGCAAGCAGAACTCATATTTTGGGTATAAAGGCCAAGGAGTGTCAGTAGTCGACAAGGATGGAAATCTAGATCGAAATGAGTTCTATAACGTATGTCATGTTCTTGCAGAGTTGGCTCCCACGGGCCTTCAAGCAGTCCCAGTTGACGTGAATAGGTCTCCAAGGATGACATTATGGGTATATCGGAGCAGCTGCCAGCACCGGATATCTTGCACAATAGCAGAGCAAAGCTGAGCTCGTTCATGAAAGGCTCACATACCATCGTGTCTCTCATCCTGCAAGTTTTGAATGACAAACTAGCGTTGCCAAAAGATTCCCTCGCCAATCTACATCGTCTCCAGGAGGTCGGTGGCGATCAAGTTCGCTTTATAAAAGCCCCGCCTCAACCTATAGACGACAGACGCACAGCACTGGGCCAGCATACCGATTTTGGCAGTGTCACGGTTCTCTTTAATCGGCTGGGCGGACTGCAGGTTCTACCACCGGGCGAGGACGCAGAGTGGGTGTATGTGCGGCCACTACCTGGTCATGCAGTGGTGAATCTAGGTGATGCGATGGTCAAGTTCACCAATGGTTTGTTCCGGTCGAATATTCATCGTGTCGCCGCACCGCCGGGTATCCAGGGAGACTCGACACGATATAGTCTTGTCTATTTTGCACGGCCGGAGGATAGCGTTATGCTACGGCGGCTGGATGGGTCGGGTTTAATCCCGCCTCTTGCAGATGGTCAGACCGAGGAGAAGATTAATAGTAAAGACTGGATTATTCGGCGGGCCCTGGGGCGACGCGTGGACTTGGTTAAGCCTGAGGATATTGATTATGAGAAGTCAGCCGGTACGGAGCAGTTGAGTCGGAGGATTAAAGTCTGATATTATCATTCGCATGTACTCCGTACATAGCTAAGCATGTTTGGATATTTAAGAAACCAACTGTTTCTACACAACCAAGCTATTATCAGCGCTAACGGTATTATCGATGGTGCAATATTCAGCCTTGCCTCACCCCAGTTACAATCCTGCTGATACCTGTAATTTCACATCTCAAACATTCAGACGGATGTTGTCCGACAAAGGATGATGACGTATACTTAGCTGAGCCTAAATCTCGGTCGAAGGATTCAAAATGGTCATTGCCCAGGCTGATTCAACAGTGTACCCACGGAGATCAGACCAGACTTGATTCATGCGAATCCTTGCACCGTAGATCCTAGCATCTCAGACTGATTCAGAGCCAGCCCCTGAACCGGCCAGACCTGGGAAAAAATTTCCAACGTGGCCCACAAGGCAGAACAGATGAAAAAGATACGGTTGAATTCTGGCCCTGTGCAACTCCCGTTGATCACCGCTGTCATCTACGGGTACTCCGTGTACTAAAATCGAAAAAAAGCAGCGGCCGTTAGCTCCACATACCCACCAACTCATCTCCTGTCTTTCCCTCAGTCCACATCGATAGCCCGCGAAGGACATACGAGTAGTCGCGGCAAATAACCACCTCCTTCGGGGTCTAAACTTTAAAAAGAGGTCAGAGTGGACAGTCTCCTGCGAACTGACAGTTAATGCTTGGTAAGATGTTGACAGCTTCGAAATGCACGACCCGGTAGGCTGGTCAAGACAGGTCTTCCAGTGGAGCACACATATGCCAGCCCCCCCTAACCTCCGTGAATGTAGTGAAATGTCTTGAAATGTCTGTACATTCATACGAAGTAAACAGGGCGCTTACCAGTATCTTCTGGGTACAGACAGGATACCTATACATTGTATGCACCAGGGTACGAATACAGCTTTACAGCTTAACAAATGTCCAGTTGTATACTTAACATTTCTACGCCTCCGCAGGTCTCACAACAGTGGATACCGAGGGACTGGCATTGACGTGCCAAGCGCTAGAAGTGGTGAATTGGACTGCTGGGGTTTGCTGCGAGGGCGTCAGGGGAGCCAGAACCCCTGTCCCGCGAAACGCAAATCCCGCAACCTCGGGATCTCCGATGTTTGTTTCTTGTTTTGTTTTTTGCCTGATTTCTGGTCCTTTTTCGCTTGTCGGTCTGCCCACTGTGCTGGGTGGCATTGGATTGTGGGCATGCATTCAATACTCCGTATGGCGGGACTCCGTACATGATTAAAGTATGTGGTCCGCCACGAATGCTGCCACCAGATCCCGCGGAGTTATTCAAAGTTACATTTCTATTTTTTTTGGTAGATTTCGACCGGACGCATCTCGGCGAAATGGTAGCAGCAAAATTTTGGGGAAGTACGTGCATTGCATTATGCAAAGGCAAAGTATATTGCCTCGGGACCACGAGTTCATGCCCAATTGATCAATCCGTTGATGTGAGGACACATATTCACTTTCGGTACATACACAGGCGTACATCTATGTACAGTAGTAGTATAGTCTTCCATCAAAAGTATAGTGGGGGAATTCCGAAAGTGTACTCCGTTGATACTATATTTTCAGATTTTCAATTCAATTCAAAGCAAGCCAACCCAAAACCAGTACGGAATCCTCCGGTGGACCTATTGGAAACGGTTAGTTCACCGTTTAAGACTCCATCGTCATCCCTATCTTCCTCCCTCCAGGGCTCCTCCTCCTTTGGTCTTCAGCCATCACATGCACCAACCGGATGGCTTTGAAATTCCCAACGATTCGGTTCCGACAACCTCCTTGCTGCGAAATGACGCCGCACTACCCTTGCTGGTGGCCCGAGCCTATTCTACTCTATTCTCCCGTGCCGGGAGCCTATATGGTGCATGGAGCGGAGAACGAAGTACGCAGTACATGTACATACAGTAGGTACAGTATGTATCGCTGAGGAATCTGAGTCCTCCAGGTCTAGGGCCAGCATTGCATGACAGAAGTACATTGTCTTTACACAGCCGGGTAGTTTTCTAGTCGCGAGCCTGAGGCCAAGACCCATGTACTATGAGATGCAGTAGTCGCGTTGCATCCCAGGTGGAAGGAATATCTAGCGCAGCACAACGAAGTAGCGCGACCTGGATAAAGTACGCCTTGGAGGGGTAAAATAGTTGTGCAACCGTAAGCCAAAGCAGTGTGTCGTGGGTGGCTCTCCTATTCGCGCGTGTTTCCTCGTTCTCGCTCTTAAACCTTCATAGCTCAGATGCACAGATGCACAGATGCAGATACGATGGGTGCCCCATTTCGTCACTCATCCCCCAACCACAACCTCAGCCACAACCTCAACCCAGCCGTATTCATGTACAGTATGTACCATGCTCGTATGGAGGTGCATACTCTGCGAACAACGGAAACAAAGTCCGCCCCGCTCCAGTCCGAATTCGAATTCCGACAGAAGCAACACGCCCCACGGCTCTAGACTGGATGTAGCAGGGAACCCTTGCAAGGTCCGGGCGCCGGCGCCTCGCACCTTGGACTCGGGAATGGTGCGTCCAATAAGCGAGGTTGCAGTACGGAGTATGTTTTGTCATTTCGCAGTGTTTCCCCGCTGCTAGCGACAGTATTGTCCAGTTGTGTAGGGAGTACAGACTCGGAGTACTGCGTACGAATATAGATTCAGAGGACTCTCCTCCGTATACATAGTACGGAATAACCATGGATCTTTCAACGAATCAAGAGTGGTCCACGGCTGGGGATGTCCCACTTCGGCTCGGACCGTTTAAGCACCTCCCTTCCGTCCAACACTTCCGTCTTCCGTCTTCCGGCCATGGGACTGTTTGAGGCGATATCATGATGTTATATAAAGCAAATAGCGACTCAGGTCTGGCCATACTCATACTGTATATTGATCTGTAGATCCACTTCCGCTTATCCGGAAACTGAGGTCAGGCCAGGTCATACTAGTAGTACTAGGACCATGCCCACGTGTTGGTGTCAATATTCGAGAAGAGAATCTAATATCAAGTCTACGAGTAGGTAACTGCATAACTAACTTTAACTAGTTCACTATTACTAGCTATAACCCATTGCTAGTTATGCATGCCTACAGCCATGCAATATAACATCCTTCCTCTAGCGATACCCATGCCATACCCCGTAGTAAAGTAAGTACCCGGCTGTACCTACTCTGCCAGTTGTCCACATGCATTTCAAGGTTAAACGGAAGGACTAGAAACACAACCCGGTGCAACCCCACATCGCGTGCACCATAGATTAGCCATCCCGAGATGAAGGCACGAGTTCCTGTCTCGAAGCGGACACTAGATACACCCTGCTCCCATACCTAGGATGGAGTCGGAGTCGGAGACCGGCGGTATGTACTGCTCTAGAAGGTGGACTAGAAGGTGGAGTATGTAGTACGCACTGTGGAATGGTACGACGATCATCTATCGTGCTTAGTTCGGTTTGGTTTGGACTCTTGTCTGCCAGTGGCCTTACGTTGACAGCCGGGGCTTAGTGGTTGGGCTTTTTCTCGGCCGAAGCAACTATTTCGGCTCCGTGGAGATAAGAATATGGATATGGATGTGAATGTGGACGCGACCGTTCGCCTGGTTGGGAATATTCACCGCATGGTGAACACTGCAGATCCGTCCGTCGTGGAACGATGGTACAGTTCCGAAGAGGTAGTATCACATACGATCGGAGGTGAAAATGAAAAGTATGGGGAGTTATGAGGAAGGGTATGAAAACTCTATACACTTTCACTTCCACCCTCTATGTAAAGATGAATCAATCAGTGTTGCTTGCAAGAGTTGCAATTGACACATTTATATCTCTTCTCTTTATCTGCTATGGTCATGCGCGAAACGAGCGAAACGAAAAGGATCGAGGGTCGATCAAGATCGACAGCTAGGAAACACGAAACACAAGATGAACAATGGGAAACATGGCTATCACGGGTCCGAAATCGGTGATTCATTCCCCTGTACAGAAGCGTTAATCCTGGGTATCATGGATAGCTAGGCTCTTTAATTTTGCCTCGACGCTGGCGAGTACAGCTGGGTCGGGTTCTCGTTTGACTTTCTTGGGTCTGCGACGGGGTTAGCTTTGGTTTCTTTCCGGACTGGGAGAAGACAGTAAGGGTGAAGACGTACGGAATTCGTATAGTGGCGGCACATTTCGCCTGTCCACATTTCGAACAATTAATTGCCCCCTGATTATACTGGGTTTCACAGACGTGACAAATGTAATGTACCCGACGGTGTGGCGACTTGAACGTTCGGTCGGGTTTCAGTTTGGGCGGGTCGACATCGCCAGGATAGCCGTCCGGATACTTGTCGAGCTTGGGCGGTTCTCGTGGACATCTCTTGCAGCGAATATGGCTGCAAGAAGCGCACTCCTTGGAACCCTTGACAAAGACTGTTTTACAGAGATGGCAAGTGCGTCGAACACGTTGAACCACTTCCTTGCGAACGAGATCCTGGCCGCCCGAGCGTGAGGGGATCGTGAGAGGAACATCCGGGTTGCCGGTATACTTGAAGTGCGGTGCAAGAGGGAGAGCGCCGCGCTGGCGAGAGCGGATTTCACCGATTTTGGTCTTGGGGACCAGTTCGCGCTCGCCTTTGGTCTTCTCTTTGGCGGGTGGGAAGCGGGGACATTTGGTGCAGCGCGGGTGTTGGCAGTTGACGCAGACCTTCTCGGGACCAAAGGTGGTTTCACAGCGGTGGCAGGTTCGGCGGACTCGCATGCGAATGGGCTTGGTGACCCGGGTCAATTCGACGTCGCCCGTGGGAGCCTTCCATTCGCCGGGGTCGAGAGTCAGACCGTATTTGGCGAAAAGGGCGCGCGCCTTTTCCTGCTGCATGACGCTATAGTCGGTGAGCATGGCGGGCTGCTCGGGGGCAGCTGTTGGCTTTTTGGCAGGGACAGTCGCTGGAGCACTATAGAGGTAGATGGTTAGCGATCGGATCTATAGTGGCTGGAAGTATAGCGACCGGGGGGGAGGGGAAATTGGTCG